ATGTAACTGGGAGATATGTTTTAAGTGGACATCTGTGGATACTTTCATCTGAAAACGTCCAATCAACAACAACATCAGTGACGCAACAACGACATCAATTAAAGGAGGGTCACTAGCAGTCAATATCGTGTGTGTCCACGGTGCGCAGCAAGACATGCTCGCAGTCTCCGGGACATTGAAAGACACAAATTTCTCAGGAACAGCTGTAGGATGGTCTGCCAGTGATGTTGAAGGAGCTGTGTCATTTCAACAACTGACCTTGGTGGATTTCGACCTCGCTGTCCAAGTTAATCTCACAGATGCTCGATTGGGTTCATGTCTGGGGACAATGAAGGCCAGTCCATCACATGAACATTCTCATTATTCAAAAAATCCCTTGTTACCCGGGCTGCATGGGGACGTGCATTATCATGTTGAAACACAAAAAGTTATGACCCCCATGTTGATTCATCATTGTGAGTACAGCCGGACGAAGGATATTGTCCACATAACGTTGAGCATTCAGATTGCCGTTAACCTCTACCATCTGGGATAGGAAGTTGGCATTGATAGCACACCAGATCATGACACCACCTCCTCCAAAACGATCATTTTCAAGGACACACTTTGGCTCAAGTCTTTCTCCTGGACGTCGATAAATCCGCTGACGTCCATCTGCAAAGGATACGTAAACCTGGATTCATCAGGAAACATGACATCTCGCCATGGCCTGTTGCCAGGATTGGCGCCATTAGCTGCCCATCGCTGTCTGGCAAGTCTGTGGCAATGCAATAAGGTTTTGATTGAGGCTATGTTGAGAATTAGGAGAAAAGGGCTTCACTTTAACGGACCAGTTATCTTTACATGTGGCATTTTGTCACATCACAAAGTGATATTTAGGTAGATATAATACTAATCCATGGATTTAAACACAATTCAAGATACATGAGCGGGACACTGTTATAAGGGTAATGCTATTTTTTAGGGCATTATCATTTGCAGAAGCCCTAGGTCATCCATTAACTGTTGAAAAAGACCGAGGGCTTTTGCAAATGATAATGCCCTCAAAAATAACATTAACGTTATTACTGCTAAAAAACATGGAATTTGTTTTGAAAAGAAAAAGGAAACAATGAAGGAATTTGACTGTACGTTTACCTCTTTGGTTAACTCAAAACCAACTTCTGACGGGGTTAACTGACCGAATGCAATTATGTCATCGAACAATTCAAGTGACGTCACAACAGAACGTGACGATATTCGACCTTGGCCTGCAACATGTCAAACTATGTCAGACACAACGTCAGTTTTCAGGGTTCGGTTTTGGTCCAACAACAAAGTTAATAGTGCAATTGTTTAACCTTTAGCACCAGCAAGAAAGCCAATATTATGCGGGAATTCGGGTTGCTTTGACTTGTTTGCCCCAGAATATCTGCCAGTCCAAAGCCAAAGTCGAATGAACCGTAAGCCCACGCACCTACTATGACGTCACTTGACAACAGAACTGATAGTGGTCACACTCCGGCGCAGCAATGACTTAGCATAACATCACTGCCACAGACTAATTTGCATATCATAAACAAAGGATCGCTACGCAAATCAAAATAGTGTTACACGTTTTAGGATATTTTCTCAGTGAAACTAAACCATTCTAACAAAGATGTTTAATTTGATGTGTGTACTCATCAAAAATAAAGAGCTAAGAAATATGTACATTATATTGAATGGACTGTGTAAGATGTGACGAATCGTCACATCTTTCTGGCTTGTGGCAGAGGTACTATGCTGGCAGGCCGCATGGAACTCTGGGTAGGAGAGTGGATAGCGGCCTGTTGTTAAGTTTGAGCGGTCTCATATCATTTGCAGCGGCCCGCAAATTTCTGATAATACGAGGGCCGTTTCATGATAATTCCATGTATTTTAGCTATAAAACTTGATAATGCCCGCAAATGACACGTGATCTGCAGTAAACACCAGTCCTGTTAATCTCCTACACGTGATCTGCAGTAAACACCAGTCCTGTTAATCTCCTACACGTGATCCGAAGTAAACACCAGTCCTGTTAATCTCCTACACGTGATCCGAAGTAAACAAGTCATGTTAATCTCCTACACGTGATCCGCAGTAAACAACAGTCATGTTTATCTCCTACACGTGATCTGCAGTATAGAAACTCCAGTCATTATATCTGCTATATGAGATCTGCAGTAGATAGCAGCCAGTCTGTTGTGTATTATTATCATGTAATTGTCATTGTCCCGTACCTGAATATCCCTCTTTGATGGGCTGTATAAACACCAGTCATGTTAATCTCCTACACATGATCTGTAATCATTTTCCTACACGTGATCTGCAGTAAACACCAGTCATGTTAATCTCCTTCATGTGATGAAGGTTGCTTTAGGATCTCTTACACGGATCTGCAGTTTCTTGGCTAAGTGATTAATTGTTCATCAGTGCAAAGATTTAAAAGTCCATGAAATACAGTTGATGTTTATTTTTCATACAAATATGTGAGACAGTCACATATATATATATATATATCCATAATAAAAAATCAAAACATACAAACATAACTGTTACATCTAAATTGTCATTCTGATTACATCAAAAAAATATTTTCAAAACATGCAAAAACTTGATGAAAACACTCTCACTACAACTTCTCACATTCACCCTCACAGAATTCTACAGCATATGGATTAGAGTGTCGCAGCAACACGATTGTCAAGGAGAATAACATTTCACTCTGACACCCTCAGACCAGACTGAAGGATCAAACATCCAACCAATGTGGCTTGTACAAACAAGTGCTCTCAAATACTGACTGACTGAGTTTGGTTTTAAGCCTCTGTTAGCAATATTCCAGCAACATCACGGCGGGGGACACCAGAAATGGGCTTCACACATTGTGCCCATGTGGGGATTCGAACCCGGGTCTTCGGCGTGACGAGCCAACGCTTTAACCATTAGGCTACCCCACCGCCCCGCTCTCAAATACACAGTGACTGGTCCAGAGTATGGTAGACACTGCTGTCAGACCAATCAGAATTCTGAACTTCTTTGAGTGGCATTTAGAAGCTGGTATGATGAACAGGAATGATTTTTTATGGACAGACAACTTATTTATTTCAATAGATGCGACGTTTCGGTGTAGATGCGAATACATCACTTGCTTTGATAACGCCACATCCATTCCAACAAAGAAGTTGTCAATCCATGAAAAGATCGTTCCTGTTCAGAAGTCTGAAGTACAATGTTACAGAGGAATAAACATGACTGAACACAGAGTATTACTTCATAAACTAAGTCAAGAAAAGAATAACAAGGGCCATAACTCTGTAACAAATTGTAACTCGGTTTCCAATTTTGAACTCGATCAATGCATTCATGTGCTGAAAACACATGTCAAATTTTGTTTCCCTACCTGTAACGTTTTTTGAGAAAATTTGTCCCTATCATCTCGGACGGACAGACGAACAGTTACACTTCTAAACTGAGTATTTGCAGGGACTTGTCTTTTAAAACTTTGTTAGGTCAAGTATGCTGAGCTAATATTCCATCTAGTGACAATGAAGCTCCCCAATTTTAGACCACTGCTGACTTATGGGCCACAAGTTCTAACCCAGATTCACCACAGAATATAGCACCAGTGAGCTGTATGTGTCTTGGATATATAGCGACATTGCCAAGAGGTACTGCACATGATAAGCTGAGACACATAACATGATCAAACTTTAATGTTTATTGGTCAGTTTACAAAAATGTCCGGTCCTGAACTCAATGTGCATCTTTCACAAGAAAATATGGGCCGATTTGAAATTTAAACAAATTAAATGAAATGAAAAGGCAGGACAATGAATTTAGTGTTGTTTCACGAGCAAGTGTGTCATATGACTTATACGAAACAAGTGTGAAATTTTTCACAAGTTTCGTATAAGTTCTATGATGCACTTTGCTCGAGTGTAATAATTTCTTTATTTCATTCATGTACATTTGTGCAGTAAAACACTGACAGCAAGTGTGGGCACTCTTCATTGACTCTTCAATTGTTTAATGACGTCACAGACGACAAAATACAGAAAAAAATATTTGTTAGACAAAAGGTTTATGTGCACATGTGCACATATGATATATATGACACTGGCTATGTTTCACCATATGGATAATAAATCTATATACTTGTCGAGTTCACCACACTGTCCCAAAACACTATAACACATACCTGGCACATATTCCTGGCCGGCTACTTATTGTGAAACAGTCATCCAAATATTTCCAAATATATTTTCAAATGGCAGATAGATTTGCAAACTGACGACTAATAACAAAAAAGTCCATAATACCTGCAATTACCTGCATACAAACACCATCTTCACATTGAAAGTTACACTTACAATTCTTGTATATATCGGTACAGTTTGAAATTCTGGTTATATATCGACACAAACAATATTGCTGATGTGGCATAAAGCAATAATTTGTCATTTATTCTGGTTACATGATTGCAACACACCTGCTATTATTGGTTACTATACCACAGACAGTCATACAAGGTAACGGTGGATTATATACTGTATATCAAGCTTTGTCTTTGTGTGCTGAACAAAATGGGTGACCCCCCTCAAAATCATCATCACTACACTCAAAACTTGGTTGTAGTCACTCCATCTTACATTGGAATCAGAGTGAGTGAGTTTAGTTTTACGGCACACTCAGCAATATTCCAGCTATATCGCGGCGGTCTGTAAATAATCGAGTCTGGACCAGACAATCCAGAGATCAACAGCATGAGCATTGATCTGCGCAATTGGGAACCAATGACGTGTTAACCAAGTCAGCGAGCCTGACCACCCGATCCTGTTAGTCGCTTCTTACGACAAGCATGGGTTACTGAAAGCACATTCTAACCCAGACCTTCACGGGTCACATTGGAATCAGAATCTACACTGGTACATTGCTACAAGCAATAAACAAGGACTTGTTATCCATAAACATGATAAAGGTATATGTTTTCTTAATTACTCACCAACTTACATGACACCAAATTACAGTTGCCGAAGACAAATTTGACTCAATAGTATCTTGATTAGTTTTGCAAGGCAATGGCTCAGTTGCAAGTCATCTAACACTGCATAGAGAGAATATAAACATCTCTTCACAACAACTTCGATAATGCCACAGATACTCGTTGTCATGCTCAGCATGAGGTAAACCAATATAAAAATATGTCAGATTATGGTCCATACATTCAGACTGTACTGCCAAAGAATTGAATACCCCTATTTGTAAATAAAATTCCTTCACCTTCTGTACAAATGACTTCTCTGTACTTGATGGTAGAGAGTGAGTGCTTGTTGTTATAAGCCACTATTTTGCCATATCACATCAACCTGTAACTAAACAAAAGATCACCAGGCAACAAGTGGTCAACAGCATGAGCAACAAACAGTCACAGGCTGAATAGTAACAACAATCATGATCTCTTACATCAACCATGCACTCTAAGGAGTTATTAAACTCTGGAATCCAAACAAGGCAGATGAAAATCGAAGGGGATGTTTGTCCTGAGATACAATGCATAATCTGATGCTTGATTGGCATTTTGGAAGATGTTATTTGATGAACATAGAGATTTTTCTGGGTTACATCTTCTGGGTACAACGTTTCACAGCTTGTTCTGGCCCCATCATCAGGTAAAATTGAACAGTAACTCAACACAACTCCTTCAACAGTTACTGTTCAGTTTTACCGGATGATGGGGCCAGAACAAGCCCTGAAACGTTGTACTCAAGAATAGAAAGAAGATTTAACCCTGAAAAATCTCTACGTTCAATGCATAATCTGTTGAAGCTCCACTTCTGATACATAAATAATAAATATATATTACTAACTTTCCTTCAAGTAGCGTTTCATTACAATTTGAACTTTTTCATAAACCCCCAGGAATACAGCTCCTCCTATGGAAATCCAGGCAACCCGAGGAGTAATTCCTGCAAACAACCTGAAACAGACAGTGTGTTTCAAAATATAATATATCAAAATAGAGCGGTGTGTAGGGTTTACTGGGCTTTAAACATTTTTCTCCCATTTCAGTGAGAGGGACACCAAAATATTTTTTAAGCGGCCTTCACACGACAAACTAGAGTTTGACAACACAAGTTTGATAGTGTGAATATTCCAACAACCCGCCACCAACACCAGTTTCAGAGTTGTCAAACTGTTTTCGAGAAATAGGATCAGTCTCTATTCTCACCAGAAAACTCAAGTTTGACGTGTGAAGTGTTGGCAAACTCGTGTTGTTCAGAAACAACCAATGGAAGTCAGCGAAATTGTCATGTGACCGCACCATAGAGACATGGCGCTCAAATGACCTGAAAGTTTGACATGTGAAATGGCGAGTTTGACAACTTTTAAAATTTCAACAACATGTGTTGTCAAACTTAAGTTTGCCGTGTGAAGGCCACTCAAAGTTTGATGGGAAAGTTGGTGAGAATAGAGACCGATCCTATTTCTCGACAACAGTTTGGCAACTCTGAAATTGGTGTTGGTGGCAGGTTATTGGAATGTTCACACTCTCAAACTTGGCTGCTTGACAACATGTGTTGTCAAACTATATATACATGAAGGTTATATAACTATCATACCACTATTATACTACACTTAGTTTATGAACACACAATGTCATGTAGACACCTATGTTATGTTTGGGATTACAATTTATCAGTTAAAGAACTCTAGCTATTTTGTTGGGTTGAGTCCAATCTGGGATTCGAACCCATACACTCAGTCAACAGCAAACAAAGTCAGGATCTAACCCACTCATCCAGGCTTCTACAAAAATGGAAGTCAAACAACTGGTAGTCTAGATCATGTACTGTTTGTACCCCTCTGACAAGAGAAAACTGGCATGGCTGCCATGGCTGATAGCTATGAATAGAGTGTTGGTTGAATCTGGGATGGGACTGAACCCCAAGAAGTACTAGAATCTGTAGCTTTCTGAGAAAGTGTAATCCTTCTTATAACATATGTTCCACTGGATGACACCAAATTGCCAGCACACAAAGTCAGACCCCTAACCCACTCAGTTTAGTTACAACCTGCTGTGGGCTGCAAGGGACACCAACATGGGATTTATTACCTACGAGGGCGAACATATCGGGGTTCATATTTTTTATACGATGCCCTAGGGCAACATATCACTTTGTCAGCTATGAACAATGCTATGACGTCACGTTTCTTCTGTCACATTGCGTTCTACATGCGTCGACGGCGGGATATTTGTGCCTAAGTATCGGTATATCCCTCGCTTTCGCTCGGGAAATACCAACATTTCGGCACTCGTGTCGTAAACATAGTATGACATGGGCACTCATATAATATCCTCTATTTACCCACTATGTGTGAAGGTTATAACCATTGTACTACCCCTGCTTCACACAAAACTAAAGTTGCTGAACTTGGCCTGTTTGGACAATACAGCAATTATATCACAGCATGTCATGTCATGGAACAGACAAGCCTAGACATGGACAGAAACATAACAAGGTCAAACCTTGGTTCAAAACAAAACTAGGTTTCAGGCATGCTCAAGGTCTACTTGCTAGTCACAAGAACTGAATGTGACACCCAGGCTGCCCAACCCCACCCAAAACAACAAAAAACTCAACACTATCAACAGATGATAATCTTTCTCAATATACGTCTTGTTAATCCTAGAGTTGACTTCTTACGATCATTTCAATTCCGAACACATTTTTCATGCAATTTGAAATATTTTGTAGTCTACAAATATTGTTCAGTCAATAAATACTTCAGTAAGTAGTGTGTAAATAGTTGTTTCAACAGCAGAAAAAGTACCAGAATATTATGGTATATATAAGAGGACTGGTGGGTCTATACTGATGAATTGTGATCCACATCTGATGCCCTGAATACAGAAACACTAGGCTGGGATATTTTTGTTTGTTGTTTGGCTGTCCAAACAATTAATGATTAGTAATTCAGTTATTAGAATAGCCATTTGGCTGCTTCCACACATTTTACAATGAGTACAGGCCTATTAGCTAATGATTCCCAAAACTAAAGAAAAACAATGTATCGGTTAAAGAAAAACAATGTATCGGTTAAAGAAAAACAATGTCTCCTTTTAAGAAAAAAACCGTCTTGTTTCCACACAGGTACTCAGTATATGTGTACACCTGGGTTGAAGGTCAGCAGACGGAACAAACTCGTACTTTGCAGCCATTAAGGAAATAATACAGAAATGTAGTTACCCGTTAACTCCTCGCTCTGCATGTACAACTCTGAGGGCGTGGCCAATACCACCTCTGGCGACATCAGTGTTGGCCTGTAACAGACAGATCAGGATCCAGCAGTGACTTCATGGAGAATCTAGCTGGTGACAGGGATGGAGGGGCTGGGATGGGTAACTTGTGTAGTGGTGGCTCCCGGGTGAGTGAGTGAGTGAGTTTAGTTTTAGCAATATTCCAGCAATATCACAGTGGGGACACCAGAAATGGGCTTCACACATTGTACCCAAGTGGGGAATCCAACCCAAGTCTTTGAACGCTTTAACCAAGAGGCTACCCAGCAGCCCTCCAGGATAAGACACCTAGACCAACCGGACTTGATTTTAGCCTCATGATTTATTGTGTATGACGGTAACAATAAAACTCCATGGTTACATTACAGGTCTCTAATGTCCGTGTTTCTTTCTGACCATGCACACATTCCTACTGTAATTGATATGTCCGAGTAAAGATAAAAGTGTTTTTATGTCAGCATCTAAACAGTTTTTGCCAGTGTGCCAGTAAAAATATTCCCAATTGGACATTTGACGCCAACACTTCAAATGCAACATGTTATAATTGTGATTACACTTACTTAGTAAAGTACTAATTCTGGTACATTGGGGTTTGAGCCCTATCTGAAATTTTAACCGACACTCACCGAGTGCGGCACCTAATCACCTGCACACAAAGTCATCAAACTAACTCAGCCACTGTGGCTTCCACAAAACTAGAAGTCAGACAACTGGTAGTCTAGATCACATATGTTGTGTACCCCTCTCATAAATGTTAACTGTCATGGCTTCCGTGGCCAAAAGTGTCAATAATCATGACATTTCGAAAGTGTTCAACAGTACCAAATTTTACCAAAAAAAGTGAAATCCCAAATATAAAATTTGTTACATCTCACCACCACATGACATTCTCTTCGATGGTCAAAGGCAGTATTATAACAACAAAGTTTCATTTATCAAAAGATACACCTCAATATCCCCAAAGTGTATGATAATATTATGAGTGAAAGACAAACCTTGGCCAGCATTATACGTGTTTTCGCTACGTCTAGTGGCGTTGTTACTCCAGCAGATAAACCTCCTGCAATAACAAAGAATTCAATCAGTTGTGTTTTATTATCATCAGTATCCATGGCAGTGGCAGCAGCCTTATCAGTTGATGCAATGCATTTGAAACTGGACATTGTTGGGATTAAATATCACTTGTAGAATTATGAAAAACAGACAATAATCCATGACAAGATAAAAGAATCTTCAGCTTGGGTTGCCTGAAGTATGGTATGAAGATCTGAGAAACCCCTCCATAGACTGAAGGAAAACCAAGTTCTATGGATAGTCAACTTCTTTATTGCAAGAGTGCAATGTTTCGGTCTTGGTGCTTGTTATCAAGCAAGTGTAGTACCTACACCGAAACGTCACACTCTTGCAATAAAGAAGTTGACTATCCATAGAACTTGGTTTTCCTTCACCTATACAACTTCTAAAAGGCCTCTCATAGCCTGTCATGTCAGCTGAACTCATTCTCAGCATGAGTGACTAAAGCATTCAGAACTGAAAATCTCATTTCTGTATCTCAGAAAGTTAAATGACCAATTCCGAATGTATATAACAAATGCTGTGGATATGTTTAAACACCCTGTCTTTGGGAATTGGAATCTTAATCCAATAAGACCATAAATCATAGATACAGACTGCCTGATAAATTGTACACTTGACATGACCTTTGTACAAAGGGGTATTGCATCTGAGTAAAAAGGTCTCATTCCAATTTCATTTTCATATAAAGTGGGAAATATATGAGAAAGCAGTTTGTGACATTTAAACTGACCCCAAATGTGTTGTAAAAAAGATCTATTTCCCAAACATTTGTCTTTACTTATAAGCTTTGGAAAATGGAAAATAAGCTTTGGGTACTTCTACACAGCATTCGTAGCTAAACAATTTCTGACTGGATTTCTGGTCCATCAATCATTTGATTGTCTGGTTTGTTCACAGGCCACCTACCGTAGTTGGAGTACTGCCGTGCAGTGTGAGGTAAAATATAGTGCAGTTTTTAAGCAAGTTTTGTGAATGGTGCTACCGACAGGGCTAGACATGCTTATCCTTTTTGTGAATGGTGCTACCGGCAGGGCAAGACATGCTTATCCTTTTTGTGAATGGTGCTACCGGCAGGGCAAGACATGCTTATCCTTTTTGTGAATGGTGCTACCGGCAGGGCAAGACATGCTTATCCTTTTTGTGAATGGTGCTACCGGCAGGGCTAGACATGCTTATCCTTTTTGTGAATGGTGCTACCGGCAGGGCAAGACATGCTTATCCTTTTTGTGAGCACCTGGTGCCATCACTGATTTTCAGTGATCCATTCATTTTTCACAGCTATTTTTCCCTTAACACAAATTTGTTTGTGAAGATAGTCAAGATTGGGGAGTCCTTTGCACTGATGTTTCCATATATTTGAACCCTGAGCCAGTCCTACCTGCAGCAGCCCCGCAGACCGCTGACTGCCACGCCTCTATCGGTCGGCCGGTGTGGGACGACCACTTCATCTGAAACACGTGTACATCTTATGGTTCTATATTATCAGTATTTAGCTATAATACAGTGACTTGAGTCTGGGCCATGATGTTGTTGGGTGAAGAATAAACTGTTGGGTAAAAAACATCAACTGTTTGAGTAAAATAACATGATGTAATCCACCTAACACACGTTCAATACCATTCAGAAAGTCATCCAATGTAACATATGTTATATTAGGGATTACACTTTCTCAGAAAGCTACAGATTCTAGTACTTCTTGGGGTTCAGTCCCATCCCGGATTCAACCAACACTCTATTCATAGCTTTCAGCCATGGCAGCCATGCCAGTTTTCTCTTGTCGGAGGGGTACAAACAGTACATGATCTAGGCTACCAGTTGTTTGACTTCCATTACTTGAATCTGTACTTTACTGAGAAAGTGTAATCCCAAATGTAACATATGCTACTCTGCCAAATATCATCCAATCCAATTTAGCTGCATCTTATGATTAGCAATGATGGGAAAAAACAAGTATCCTAACTGGTAACATATAGTCACATAATATCTTAGAACTCTGGTAATTGTGATGACATGGCTCTTCAATTATTACAAATATAGTAGTTGATAAGTAAGTTTCTAACCCACTCACTCTACATTCTCTTTTCCCCAAATTGTGGTTAAGGGAATTTATGATGTGCTTTTTAAGGATATATATATACCAAAAAAATTAATAAATATTGAAAAAGCACTATTTTCACCCTAACAGCCCTTGTTTACAATCTTTACAATAAAGGAAGAAGAAACATACCACAGCCCATGAAGATCCACTGAACACACAGTCCTCTGTAGACTAATGCTTAGTCTCCGAATATATATAACTTTGATAGTAACAAATCAACCCATTTAAATTGAAAAGGAGCCCCAGTGAGATGAACCTGGGGAAATCTAGACTTGCTTCTTTTCAGGCTTTAGCATTGCAGGTAGGGCTAGGCATTAGGGAAAATAATGTGGTTCAGGGACTGTGAGACAGACTAAGTCCTCTGTGGCTGACCTACACTGAATGTCATTTTAACCTTAACACTTTATGACTCCCAAGCCTGATTCATGTGACATATCGTATGTCAGACTAGCTATAGGAAGTACATTAGATCTACCACTCAACACTGGGATTCATATTTCAGCCTTCTTCTATGACACTGACATTAAAACAGGATACAGATGTGGGCCTGGTGGAAGCATCACTTCAGACAAGTGACAAGGACCTACAGACTACAACACAGCACTTCTTTACAATAACAGATTTCTTTGTTTTTTGTCTGAATAGGGGGACTGTAATCATTCAGATCTAACTACAGACCCCTGACCAACAGTCCTGCTGCAGGCAATACTTTACACACTTAGTGGATAAATAGGACCTGCCAAAATAGTAAATTTTATTCAAATCTGTATAATCACATTCTACTACTAGTATACAATGAACATACAGGACAGAATGTTCATAAAAAAATTCAAGTTATTTTCAACACTGTCTTCCCAACATTCAAGGGCATGCTATGCATGACTCACCTATGTGTTTATCATGCTGTACTTGATTAGCTAACATTATCCATTCATTTGCATGGAAAAGTGTGGTATGATTTACAGACTTGGGCAAATTCGTCTCTCAAAGGAAGAAGTCGATCAATGGAAGGGAGATAACTCCATCATTACTGTCTCTTAGTACAACACGTCGCCCTAAAACTATATGACCAACCAACCATCCCTTAGTACAAAATGTCTTCTTCAAAGCTTTCAACTGATTTCAATTTTTTTAATTTATTTGAAGATTACTGAGATTAGATCGTAAAAATTAGCTGCCTCTTCAATGTCCATGTGGCCTGAGTGAAATGTTTAAAATGTATCCTTTCAACAGTTACTTTGTAACATTCCAGCAACACAGTGCCCGGATTTATGCAGCGTATTAATTCAAAGTCGGATATCAGCTTATTATTCTCAAATGTTGTTTAACTTTGCATGTTTGTTTCACTATATACACATCATCATACACCGTTTGACAACACATATTTTTATGAAATATGACATTTGACAACATTCAAATTATTGGGAACATGAAACATTCCTAAGCTTACAAATATGAATCCAGTGGATGGACACCATAGTGCATTCCCTTTTAGAAGTCTGCTTAATACTAGGGCAATATTCCACCATGAGGCAAACATGATTCACATCATAAATATAAGTTAATGTTGGTTAAGTTGCCAAGTTGCCAGTGTTATTTACCATGCCATTGACAAGTCACCACATCACTGTCAAATTAAATCTATATGAGTGTTTACTGTCATCTTGCCTCATTTGTATATATTCTATTTTACATATTTAACTTTGATAAACAACACCCTAATCCAAGTTAAAACATTACTTGTAAATTAATCATGAATATTCAGTTCTAGTTATCGTGAATAGAGAACTGAATGCATGAAGGCTACAGTATGATCAAATGAATACACGCGAGAATCGTGAAAGCTCTACCTAGCACATTAAGAAGCTGTGTAGGTGATCTGAAATACAAAGACAACAACACTACAACCAACTCATTGGGTGATGTACATGTATTATCAACTGAAATAAGTTATTCCTGAATTTAAATCCTGATTCCCAAAATGCATCCCCCGATTTTCTGAAAAGTTGCATCTGTGTTTGGTTTGTCAGTATGCTGTCTCAACCCAAGGTGAAGACAGAATATTTCTCTTTAATGAAACTGTATGTTATAACATTTACCTTGAAATATTCCCACAATGGAAACTGTATGAATGAGAAAGGCACTTCTCTTGCTACTGTGCTGAAATAGCCCCGGTAAAGTCCTTGGAAACCCTGCAAATATAACAAACTGCATGTCTAATACCTTGAATGTTATAACAATTCACTGTGTATTTGTGAAAGACTGAGTACATTTTGATTGTCTGAGTCTGGATCCAGCAAACCAGTCAATGAACAAAAGATCCACCAAACCATGGTTTGATGACGTACTATCAGTGAGTAACATATTGTCTATGTCAGCTCTTAAAATCCTAACAATATCCAAAAACACCTGATCCTAATAAATTTGACTGTTGTGACATGCTACAATAAACAAAGCCTCATGTGAATGTCTTGTATGTAGTGTTTGGGCAGTAGATGCAGTAACTTAATTTCTGACAATTGTTAGAAATTGAAACACTCATAAAATGTCAAGTGTTCTGGTTTGCTATGGTAATGTCTACCATGGCATTTGGTGTCACATCCTTCTGTTGTTTCCAGTCCAAGCTCAATACTTTCATTACCCTCTCAGTATAGAAAGCTCCACCATGAGAACCTTGGTTAAAGATAATTCACTTCCAGGACTTACAACCTCACATGGAACTATACACACTGTAATAGTTTCTAGAAGATTGTGTGTATTCACACAGAAGCAAGATTAGGTTCCACATCTTACACAACTTGACCTTATTGCTGGCTAAAAAGAACTAATGATTATCAACATGAAAGTTGTGCCATCAATCTCAAAGAAAACTACTGTGATGAGGTTTCAAATTACTCACACGACACACAAAGTTAGGTCTTTATTCATGGGGTGCTTCTAGATTATGTTCAGGATGCTGTTTTGATCCATCTGTGAATACCGATATGTCACCACCCCCAACTGATGTGTAATTTGATGATTTCTCTCTGACTTTCCGGTCATTTTTGCTCCAAGACACTTCTGCAAGTTTTATCAAAAATTGATTGATATTTTGTTTCTGATTCCCTATCACTATGATCTATATCAATACCCAGCCTTCCCAGTACAGAATGGATACCTTCCTGAAGGCTTTCACTTCCCTGCCTGCTGCCAGCACTGTTTGGACATTCCAAGACACTCAACTGTAACATACTCTGGGTATTTGTCAATGCACTGAATATGGTAACAGGTCATATTATGTGTTGGCACTACAACATATTTGAGCAAGAGTATAACAAAATGTACTGCTTTTAATAATAGAAAAACAAATTAATATCAAACCCTGCATTTTGTAAAATCAATCATTGTTCAAAGGTGGTTATTTGCTGATTTCAGAATTTAGTTCTGGACAAGCCAAATTTATTTGGGTTAACTCATTTAGGCCGAGAGACGCATATATGGGGCAAATTAATCAGCTCCTCACAGCGACTGACGTGTTTATGGGGCAGGTAATTAGCAGTTTCTCACAGCGAGAGCCACATACAGTCGTCAACAGAAAGCACCTCTTATTCAGCGAGAGACGCACATGTGTGTTGTACTTTTAAAAATCGCACTGTACCTATTATTTCAACCAATTTAGCAGTACTGAGCAAATGTTAGCTTTTCTTACGAGAGATCCCACCTTTAGTATCAATCAGAAGAAGTATTTAAAGTGTTTTTGATAACAATTGCTAATCATTATCATAGGCTTGTACAGCGTTTAGCAAATGAACGCATGTCGTGAGAAAGGGGATTATGATGTTTTACAGAGGTAAGTGCCTGGTACTCTTCCTTGGGAATGGATACTAAAATACTTCGTATGCACCTTGATTGAATTAGATGTAATGGTTTAGAGGTTACTAAAAATTATATTTCCTTCAACTACCTAATAAATAGGAAACAATATAGGAAATTTCAAGGACATACAAAGAATTCAAACACAATAGGATAGTTTGAATTTACTTTTAAGGCATCATTACGTTGTCATGTTTCATATACTGAAACATAATGTATAAACACAAGTAATTATACATCCAAGCTCGAATAGATTAAACATAATTGAACTTACTAACTTGAAGTTTACTGAATTGTAACTAGTTGTTTTCCATAATCTAAAGTTCGTAATGTTACCTAAGCGAATATAAAGTGATAAGTCACGCCTTTGCATCGAATACATATATACATGTCAGTGTTATTACAACAATGAAATGTTTTACTCACGTTTGTTACAAAAGACAGTAAGTTGGTAATTCAAAACATTGTCACACATGGACAGAAGTAATATCATAAGTTATTACATGTAAGCCATACAAAGGTATTTCAAGCATTTTTGTTCAAGCTGTTGAAAGTTTCATGTTGATTTGAATTGTCAGTTTTCTATGCAATTTACATGAGCATTCTGTAAAACTTTGTATTTGATCTGTGTAATTATCAAATCCGGTGCAATTATCACGTGTATCAATCAACTCAGTCTCTATTGATCCATCGTCAATAAAAGCTGGATAGTATATCAGTTACGGTATCGATACACATCACGTATAATCATTTAAGCAGATTACAGTAATGAGATAATTGAGCGCCTCTTTCGACCTTGAAATAACAGCCTCGGTAGAATGCATATGTAGTTACGCGTCCTTGTTGAAAGGTTTGTCCCGTGACAAGTGTAAAATAAACAGATGCGCTGTTATATCATTGGACATCTTGCTTTATGGAGTCAGCGCCCTCTCTGTGATGTTTATACATGCATGCACATCTGTAATCTTATGAACCTCGTTTGCATTCAGTAAAGATATAAGCAGCCCACTTTCATAAATATTGGGGGTGGGGGTGTCAACTGCAAGTTTATACACTATAATAATTCAGTATAGTGTCACCCGTGAATTCTGTAATCGTGTACTCTAGTTTGGATAGTTATTCAGTATCAAGGTGAAGATTATATTTACATGTACAGCAAACCATTATGTTTTACTGTATTACTAGTTGTGTGCATAAAATGTATATGAAAATAAATACTACCTCTACTCAGTGGTTGGATTTCAATGGCTTTGTTTTACTTATCGAAAAACACTTAAATGAGGACAAATAAACTCGCCAAAGTGACTATCTACTCCTATTTGTCTTATGTGTATATTTCATACATCGTTACCAGTGTGTATGTTTACAATACACAAACTGTTACATGATAGCTTGAGTTGATAAAGCCGAAACCCAGCATATCGACTGGTCAAGGATATAGCCAATAACCAATCTCTATCCAAGCTGCTGAGTGACCAAACGTGCTCTTCAGAAATTTCACCCACGCCCCGTCACCTGTCCTTTCCTCTGTGACAGGTATCTCATGATACGATTGGTCGCAGATAACATATGACCAGCCACTATACTGAACAGTTGAGATACCAGTGTGTATGTTTACAATACACAAACTGTTACATGATAGCTTGAGTTGATAAAGCCGAAACCCAGCATATCTACTGGTCAAGGATATAGCCAATAACCAATCTCTATCCAAGCTGCTGAGTGACCAAACGTGCTCTTCAGAAATTTTGCCCACACCCCATCACCTGTCCTTTCCTCTGTGACAGGTATATCATGATATTATTGGTCGCAGATAACATATGACCAGCCACTACATTGAACAGTTGAGATACCGAACGTTCTATTCGGGAAATTTGATGAGGCCCTATCACGTGACTCTTTGTTTTATGTCTATGCAAGGAAGATGTAGTATACATTTTGTATATGTATGTTTGTATGGTCACGTATGTTTTCTGCATTAAATCTGTATGAAATAAAGTGCAATGCTATGAATGTGCTTTGTGCTAGTCACAGACTAGCGTTATAGTACCTTCATTAAAATAATTCGTAAACACTAGAAATGTATCGGCAAAACTGCTATTTTCGTCGAAGATTATAAAGTATGAAAGTAAATTCTTCTTTACAGTATGTCGTTGTCATAGATGTTTTGTAAATTTAAACCTCGCACAATGATATAAGAGAGAGAATTTGTTAACGTGTGTCTCATCTGTTACATACAAAGAATACATGTGTATGCATATTGTGATAAAATATAAATGTACAAGCCGACAAAAGGTCTACAAGAGAAACTTGCAATAAAATTACATAAAGCTTGCAATACACGACATGTATTCACACCTGATTTCTTTCAACATATATCTTTACGACACAATTAAACAATCAGGACTTGTTTGTACGACTAGACAGTTTCCTGTGATCCCCGAAACCTGCCAGGGAAATCAGGTGTGACTAGCACTAATTAGTCTCGGCACAGAGAGTGGGCAATCAGCGAGGGCTTCCAGGTGTTGAGTAGTGATGGGGCTCTTGGGCTTAATGAGTTAACCAAGGTTTTTGCGTTGCATCTTGGGAATGAATCAGTAACGATACGGCTGATGACTATCACCTGTTTGTGACTTTATACATATACAGTTGGATTCAGTATGATTCTATAAGGTTGGGAAGGGCTATGAGAGTGGTTGTGAAGACAAGCTGAACAAATGCTTAAGATGTTCGGCAGATGTTGTCATGGTTTCAGATTTCTGGATCCAGTGTGTCTTTGCTGGGTTTGAAGAAAATAGTAGAGAGTGAAGGGTTGGTGTGGTTGTCATGGTTACCTCTGAAGCCAGAGTCACATGAGGAATGAATGGACAGAGGAATTAATGTACAGGTAGTTCTCATGGTTACTGAATAAAATATTGCCAGACATTAAATATGGCCAGTGAGACCCTAAGTGTGTATGGAGGGATGAGTGGATGTGGTTGTCATGGTTACCTCTGAGGCCAGCGTGACCCTAAGTGTGGGCAGGGATGAGTGGGTGTGGTTGTCATGGTTACCTCTGAGGCCAGCGTGACCCTGAGAGTGTGCAGGGATGAGTGGGTGTGGTTGTCATGGTTACCTCTGAGGCCAGCGTGACCCTAAGTGTGGGCAGGGATGAGTGGGTGTGGTTGTCATGGTTACCTCTGAGGCCAGCGTGACCCTGAGAGTGTGCAGGGATGAGTGGATGTGGTTGTCATGGTTACCTCTGAGGCCAGCGTGACCCTGAGAGTGTGCAGGGATGAGTGGGTGTGGTTGTCATGGTTACTTCTGAGGCCAGCTTGACCCTGAGAGTGTGGAGGGATGAGTTGGTGTGGTTGTCATGGTTACCTCTGAGGCCAGCGTGACCCTGAGAGTGTGCAGGGATGAGTGGGTGTGGTTGTCATGGTTACCTCTGAGGCCAGCGTGACCCTGAGAGTGTGCAGGGATGAGTGGGTGTGGTTGTTATGGTTACCTCTGAGGCCAGCGTGACCCTGAGAGTGTGCAGGGATGAGTGGGTGTGGTTGGCCTGCGTTCTCTGCTTCACCACCTCCACTGGGACTCTAATCAAACAGGCAGCCTGAAAACAAAGGTAATCTATCAAAAGGCATGCTTCACAAAACTATTAATTTTTATTATCCCATTCATATTCTTCAGCTACTACCACACTGAATGATTTTGACTTTTCACATACAGAACTAAATCAACATGTAATGATACCAGGATCTTCATATCTTTAAATCTTATGGTTATGATATACATTTTAAGTGTGCACTAATGCTCAGTTTGAGAAATAACACATAAGTTCAAGTAAAAACACTGTTATTAAATAATTCAAGCACGGAAATAATTCAATTCAGTGAATACAGGAGTGAATTGTAACAGTCTTAATATTTAGTAAAATCAGACTTACCATACTCAGATGTGGAACGGAAATGCAGAGATGCCACCCCAAAGTGTTGCAAATAGTAGTTTCATGGATCAAAATTAGTAGTTTGACCATAAAATTAGTAGTCAACTAAATACTTAAAATCATGATAGATTATGAGAACGATAATATGACACTAATCAAGAGTGAAGCTATAATTTCACATAACTCCAACAGCAGATTTCCAAATTATCATCATTACATTTCCTCTTGTCTCTTTTTGGCAAAAATGTATTTAATCTACGAAAATACGTGTTTTTGTATATCCAAATTTTAATGAATTTTCTTCAAATTGCGTAGAATCTCTAGTGCTATCGTATTGGAGTAATCTGAGGCTAAAAATCGTAGCGACTACGATAAAATCGTAGAGGTTGGCATCTCTGGAAATGCATTGATAACATACAGATTTACAACTCAAACCAAACATGAGTAGGCACGTCATGCTGGGGCAAACTCCATTGGTTGAATCAAACTAGTCACAGATCTTTGGGGACGAGTGCTGTATGTTATAAATGGACCCATAATTTTCAGAGAAAACAACAAGCCCTCTGGATTTTCACTTTTCTGATGGCCCAACTGCCCTGGAGTTGTGATGAATTGACACACTGTAGGATCGTGATACCGCTATATTGAACGTACCACTTCTCCAAGAGACGCAGCTGCCATGTGTCCAACGGGCGCCATTGAACCAGCCAGCACCTGGCTGAAGGCATGCTTGGTTGCCTCGTATGAACAGAAGAACAAAGCCGCTGAAACCAATACAATTGACCACAGAGTGCACTGAAGTACGATCACTGGGGGATCCAACAGATGGCACAGTAGGATGCAGCTCCCACAAACAAAGAACAACAGAACAACAGAGAAATTTGAATGTATATTGACAGAATTCAAAATGCACATCTGATGTTATCCAATAAACAAATCAAATAATAAGCATTTTAATATTGTAGACAAATACTAAACCGTTGTGTTCAATAGGCATTATAAACATGATTCACAGCAACCTAAACTCATTGTCAGGACTTTGTATACACACGACTGCTCCAACACTCTTCAATACGTATACCTGCTGCATTATGACATATCTATAGTCAGGAAATGAAAGCAAGAATTGTATCCTGGAAACAGTAACTTAGGGATCATGAACAATTTGATTACGGATCATGACTATTTTTTAGGAATTAAATTAATATGAGCCTGACCAATAAAGCAATACATCTTTTCAATCAGCAAAATAACTAAAAAACTAAATATCTTTGAGTGAGTCTAGTTTTACGTCACTTTCAGTAATATTCTGGCAAAATAACTGCGGGGGACACCACAAATGGGCTTCTAACCCGGGGCTTTGGCATGATGAGTGAATGTTTTCACCACTGAACCATATATCTTTGAAAGATTCATATCTAAAACAAATTCATCATCAAAAAGAACATTCTTGCAACAAGAGGGTTTCAAACCTGTTGGTGCTGAGCCCAGAGCAGCAGACATGAGACCGGAGTAAATCCCCCTGAAGCCACCTGCCTTCCTGAAGCCATGCTGACTCTGGAGGCGGGTCTTGATGGTGTCGAGTGGGAAGAGGATCACATCCACTGATGTTCCTGCACAAGCACCTGCCTGGAACACACGACTCGAGTGAGTTGAGGTGCAACGAGGTTTAAGAGTCACATTCCAAGATTATCATACTTGTGTGTGTGTGTGAGTTCCAATCTACTGAGTGAGTGAGTTTAGTTCAGTCTTCAGCATGACAAGAAAACACTTTCACTATGAGGATACCCCACTGCCAGCCTACTGTGACATATTGCCACAGTTTAACACGGCTGTCCCACTGATTCCTGTCCACCCAGTCCTTGTTTTGTCCCTGAATCCCATACACCAGGCAGGGTGACAACAAGCACCATACTTCCACGTAGTGGCGTTCCGATGATAAAAAATAATCGAAAATTTATTGAAAGAAGGATTAAAAATAATTATCGATTGTAAAAAAACCACATTTTCGATTAATCGGAATTTTGTTGTTTTAGTATAACACAACTGAATGAAGTAAACTAACCATTAAAATTGACGAACATTCACGAACAAACATGCGCTCAACAGTGTAAAGCTGTGCGCACTGTATTTATAGACTCAGGATACTCATGAATGATGGTATACATATTTAATGATATAGAATAAAACAATCAAGCAATGAAAAGATGACAGTAAGCATTGTAAAAACTTAACCACTTTTATTGTTTAATTACAATTCCAGTGTCTTTCTTGCATGCGTGCATTTCATTGCATGACAGTATTACTTATTAAAAAAACATCAATTAGAAAATGCCTTTGGGAAAACTCTTAAAATTGGTGTTTACATTAAAAACTTATATATTTCGATTATAATTGATAATCACAAGTCCTCTGATAATCGATAGTCAATTTGGTTTCTGATTCCCAACACTACTTCCACATCTGTTGGTATGATAGAGGGAGGAGAGCCCATGGTGATGCAGCTGTCAGACATTTACCACTTTGGTGAAACCACTGGCAGTGGGTATTTCTGACAAACCTGGAAACAACTTCCTGACATCCCAAAGGGACACAACCCTGCACATGAAGTTGTGATGCCTCTGACACCTGGGAAACCTGTGCCTATTATTATATTCCAGGAAATCCTCGGTGGGGAGTGACATATAGTAATCATGGTTACAACCTCATCCAGGTATTTACTTCCAGTCCTGTATTTGACAGTCCCTGGGACTCATAGTCTCAATTTGGGTAGTGGACTACAAATTGGACTGACTGACTGACTGAGTTTGGTTTTACGCCGCTTTTAGCAATATTCCAGCAATATCACGGCAGGGGACACCAGAAATGGGCTTCACTCATTGTACCCATGTGGGGATTCGAACCCGGGTCTTTGGCGTGACGAGCCAACGCTTTAACCACTAGACTACCCCACCGCCCACTACAAATTGGAGGACTAGACACTTAAATAATATTATTAATACTATGCTGAAATATTGTTGTAATTCAGTTACTGTTACTGCATTGATCACTGCATGATCATCACATTGTTACAGTAATTAAACTGCAAATGATAACAAAACCCAGCTAGTGGCAAACTCAGTGATAACCTATTTAGTGGTGTAACGATTCATCGATAGTATCGATGTTTGCATCGTCAACTACGCGATACGAGTGATTACACATTTAGGCAATATATCAGGATATTTATATCGCAAGGGTCCACGATACATCGATGTATCGCCACAAGAGACGATATATCCCGATACAACTTCAATACTAGTTAAAGTTGTAAGGAGTATTGCATTAGGAATAGGAAGGGAGTATCTTTGAAATTCTTCTGAATGTTAAAAACAAATTGAACCTTTTAGGAATTTGTTTGTGTCTGTTATCTTTGTTACATGGACAAAGGAGTTGGTGTATAAGTGAAAGAGTGTGAACATGTTTCAAACTCTGTGAACTGTAGAATACTTGTCTTTAGTAATTGAAATATGTTTTAGTTGTTTGACAAATAACACCATTTATTAACATACACGAACGACGTCTTAGCTTTGTTAAGAAAGAGAACAAAGAGAAGATAAAATTTAGAAAGCATACTTAAGAGTTTTTTTCAGTGATTCTGAATTCTGATATAAATTACATTCAATTGTTTGTGAAAGCATCGGTGCAGAAACACACTTTCCCAAAGGAAACTTGGGTTTCAAACTTATATATGTTAGATCAAAGTATACTGAATATGTTTGACTGTACTTTAAAAGCATTAAATGCTGAAACTTTATTAAATGAACAGCTTTATAAGTGTGTGTGAATGTAACACAAGATCTGCTGTATAAGAAATAAAGATTTTAAAGATAAAGTCATTTTATCTATCATATATGTTCTGCTATTAGAAATTGTAAAGTATCGGGATACGTATCGTATCGCCACCATTGTATCGTGATGATAATCGTCTCGCAGGTTCCTTGCCAATACTTTCATGATATATCGGCTCGCCTAAGTAAACTGGTATCGGGATATATCGTCTCGCCACTTAGACCATGATACACAGCTCTAAACCTATTGTTACTTGATCAAAATTTTTTTAAAAAGCATTTGGACTTTTTCTGAGTCCCTGTGCACATGCTAATCAATTTGGTTGCGTCCATTGGCAATTGTTATGCATATATGATGCAGGAATGTCAGACAGCTCTCATACTGGGCGCTAAGACCTACCCTGCCTTCCAGCTGTAACCTAGCTGTAGCACTTTGTTTGTCTGTTTGTTTGTTCGTTCGTTAGTTCTTCATTCATTCGTTGGTTAATGTACGACTCAGCAGTATTCCTGTATGCGCAGAACATATTTCACGACAAACAATCTTTGAAATAACAGATGTAGGAAACATGAAGACTTGTCCACTTGATAAAAAGTATCTGTACTGCGCTGTGTCCATCTTTGTCAAATGTCTTCTTTGGAGTACAGAACACTTGTAGGGGCAGGAGCATTACACAATACTTGTGTTACAACTGCTAAAGGGTGTTATATAGTGTGTTGTTTAACACTGCACTCAGTAATTTTCCAGCTACATGATGGCAGTCTTTAAATAATCAAGTCTGAACCAGACAATCCAGTGATAAACAATTGGGTTACAATGACATGTGTCAGTCAAGTCAGCGAACCTGACCGCCCGATCCCGTTGGTCAGCTTATGTCAAGCATGGGTTTCTGAGGACCAACTATAACCTGGACCTTCAAGGGTAGTAACCTGTAGGATGTACAAGACAAAACAAAAGGTTACAAAACAAACGTATACTCACAACTAGAGCTATTTTAAAATCTGTGTAGCTTTTCATACTTTCTTGTATCTTCTTTCCATCAGAGACAGCTTGTACAAGTGTCAAATCTGCAAGACATTTTGTACACTCGAAAAGATGCATATATCTTTGTATATTCTGGAATAACATTATGTTCTCACACTGTCTTATGCAGAATTTAATGTATCAATGCTTAGAATTTCGTTGAGACAGTATTTCTATGCAGTGATTAAAAATTATGGAAGCCAGAAACATATGCATCACATTCAAGAAGTACTATCATGGAATAATTATTCATACAAAATATATTATTAATTATAACCACTACAAGCGATATATTAGGATTCAGATATTAGGAAAATATAAATATAGAATATTAGTTTCATCGTGTATCAGTAATAGATTAGAGAAAGACTCCAGTCAAAAGTAGTAAAACTCATCTCACAGACATACTATTGAAAAATGTATAAGTTACGGCTGCACAATTTCACAGATGTTCAAGATAAATCCTAGCCTAAGGTTTCAAGGACTCAAACCTTTCAGTAAGACAAAGTAATGTCTAGACAATTTTATGAACTGCTTTGATAAAGTAAACATGTCATCATCTATTTACAAACACCAATTTAGGGTCATTAAGACATGGCCCAGAGAAAACGCATCTATTGTAATCCAAGCACCTATGATTGACACATCAAATTAGGCTCGTTAAGATCTAGCTCAGGGTAAGCATCCAAGCATCTAGTAAAAGTGCTAGCGAGATTAGTGCCAGTTGAAATAGGATTAGCAGGATTAAGTACTCACCCTGTGTGGTCATTGAAGTTGTTTTTGTAGGACACACCCCATCTTGTATATTCTGTATTTGTTAATGTAGGACACACCCCATTTTGTATATTCTGTATTTGTTAATGTAGGTTACACCCATTTTTGTATCAGTCAACCAATCGTAATCTCTTTATTGTCTTAATTGTAGATAAAAAGTCACCAACTCCAGTTGTTCATCAGTAGGGTTTAGATTAGACTCCCAACACAGGTCAGCTCTAGCCCTCAGCCCAGAGGGTTGTACCGACTCTCTGTGGCCACCCCATGTTACTCCGTTCTTGTAAATAAAATTGTGATTAGCTTCTTGTGACTTTGGACTCTTTGCTGAGTTAATTCCCCCAAGCAGACCAGCACGCCAGTTAGATAAGGGGTATCACCGGAACCCTCACTTGGACCCAAGCCCCTTATCATAACAGTACTATGAGTCTCCTTCACTGACATATGCCTATTGTTTTCAGAGTAAGATCAAGGTGAGGTGAGGTGATATGGGGTTTAACGTCGTGCTTGAGAATATTTTGCTCATAGGACGACGTGCATGCGTGTGTATGTGTATGTGTGGCTGCTTGTACTAGCCCAGACTTAAGCTGGTTTTATAGTGCTAGCCCACTGAGATACCATGCTGCAGTGAAGCATGAATACCCCACTCAGACACATTATACTGACTCCTTGATGTACCCATTAATGCCGAGCGCCAGGGTGTGTGTGTGTGTGTGTGGCAAATGACTAAGAATAAGGCCCTTTTGACATTTTTCCATGGCCCATTTGACTTGGCACTTCTCAGCCCCTTTTGTCCTTTGGCCCATTTGACTAAAGACACCAGTAACTAAGACCTGACAGAGTTTCTCAAGTTGCAGAGTTAACAGTTTTGACACTCGATGATATCAACATGTTTAACACATGTTTTAATGACCAGAAACAAGTAAGTGTTTAACATGTTTACATCCTGCAATATGAATGCTGATCAACAACACGAAGGTATGGTGGTGTAGCCCAGTGGTTAAATCATTGGACAAGGCATCCAGCCTATGGACAGAAGGACTGAGTGTGAAACAAATCTCAGGACACACAATTTTATGGTCGATACCAGAGATATGGTCTCTGTCGATACATGGAGATCACACCGATCTGTAAACCCGATTTTCAGAGACAATGGTTTGTTTTGGTTTTGAGTTGAGCCCCATCCGGGATTCGAACTCACACCCTCGTGGTAGCTGAGCGGGTTAGGCGGCTGACTTTGTGTGCTGGCGATTAGGTGCCTGACTCTGAGGGTGTGAGTTCGAATCCCTGATGGGGCTCAACTCAAAAGTACTAGAATTTGTACTTTACTAAGAAAGTGTAATCCCTGGACTCGCTTGTAATTGAGTTTGGACCAGACAATCTAGTGATCAACATCATGAGCATCTATCTTATGCAATTGGGATGCCATGACATATGTCAACCAAATAGGGGAGACTAACCACCCGATCCCGTCAGCCGCCTCTCACGAAAAGCATCATGCATGAGCCATGACCACAGCTCGTAGCCGAGAGCCGCGATGGCATCAAGGCCTTACGCAGTGAGGGGAACGATTAGTTTTTGTAAAATACACTTTAGAGGAGTAAGTCATCTTTATCCTACCTGTGTGTAGATTCTAGTTGTCTTCTGGGATCGTGACCTATTTTTTCAGCTTTGCAAAATAAATAATCACATCCACACTGTAAGATACATTTAGTAGATACTGTCCAATATAAATAATCACTGAAGCAACACTGACAGATGTTCAGTAGATCTATAGGCGAAAATACACAGCCCACATGCCTTTTTTTAAAACCAGAAACTTCTGCTTATACTACTTCCGTTATTGTAGCGTGAGTAGCAAGTAGTCAACTTCCGCTGTAGGGATCGTGGTGCGAGTCAGCGAATGCAGATGTTATCGTTCTGATTCCAGGTTTCACGATGGCAGGAGGGACATTGACGTTCAATTCCCAGTACAAAAGCCTTGCGGCAGAATGGCTAGGACTGTCACCCGACCGGCTAGCGATAAAAGATGAACCGGATGTCGGTACAAAAGAATCAAAACAAGAGCACGTGTTAGTAAACTTACCTTTCAACACTATCATATAACTTGCTGCGAAATCGTAGCTATGGAATCATGTATTGGTCCGCTTTTACTGTCAGACGTGTCCTGGTCGTTACATTTACGGATGAAGGATAAAAAAAACACTGGTTCATGACGGATTCCACAGCTAATTTCTACAAAATCTGGGATAAGAGGGTCCTGGCGGTGGGTACCCGGTGGTTGGTACCCGGTACTGTTTAGTATAATAAACAACGATTCTAAACAACTTAATTAAAGTATTGTAAAAAACTTCAGTTCTGTTATTTTTTATGGTAAAAGAGTAGCGTATAATGTTTATAAAAGTGTGTGTGTGGGGAATCTGATCGTTTCTGACACTTTGTGTTGGTGGTTAGGGTTAACACTAAACCAGATTTAATTCATAGCTGGAGTCATAAGACTACAATCATATTCGACAGTATGGACTTTGTCAACCATCTCAGGTGTACATTTTACCCATTTCATAACAGTTTAACCAATCGTAAGACAGTTGAACATTATCCTTTATACTGTTAAGTATAACAAATACTCAAATGGTTAACGTAATCTTAATTGTCCTTGTGTTTTTCAGACCAGCCTCTGGCAAAGCAGATAAGAAAAAGGAAAAAGAACAGACCATAAAGGTGGAACAGTCTTTTGAAATAGGGGAAAAGCTGCAAAGGAAGTTATTTAAAGCAAAGAGAAAGGCATATGACCGAGAAAAGGGTGAGCTGCAGCTTTGGTAACAGTATCTCTGTGCTGCTCCCTACAAACAATTTCAATGAACAGGGCAATATGTTTTGCTACTCTCAGCTATTTGTTTGTTGTATAATGCCAAGACTGAACAATATTCAAGCTATATGACTGCAGTCTGTAAATAATCAGGTCTTGACCAGACTGTCATGTGGTTCACAGGGGCATGTCACGCTTAGAAACAGCGTTAGAAATACATATAGGTATATAGACCGTACTCTAGAACTATATAAAAGGAAAGGGATGTAACGACGGAACCACCCCCTCCTCAATCAAAGTTAGATTTCACCACGTAAACTATTTTCAAGGCCCCGTTGTGGCTACGGATCAAAAGCGAGATGATTTCCCTACAAAATGAGCTATAAATGGTCACAATCGGATCATTATTTCAAAAGTTATAGACGCCACGACTCACCGAAAACAGCTACCGCCGCAGTTCCAAGCCAAAATCATGGATCACCCAAGACAGCGAAAACTCACTTGTTAAATTTGTTTACGTAGACAGCACCTATGTAGGGCTAGATTCGATTGGCAGCGGCATTCCACGGGTCTCAAAACTTATTGCAACATCTACAAATCATTTCCTCGACAATAAGCAGGCATTTTCTCCAAAACCATCGGCAATCATACTCACTTGTCGGCCATAGATAGCCTTGACATTTAAGTGACATGAGCAGTAAATTGGTAAGAATAATTTTAGAGGTTAAACATTTATAAATATATTTTCCTAAAATGAATCCGTATCAAATGCATTTTTACAACCTCTAGAATTATTCTTAACAATTTACTGTTCCGTACATCATCGAAAATAGAAGGAATATTGCAAAGTTCATATTTCGCGCCCATTAGCAAACGGTCAAAATCTTACAGTAGATATATTTTCCACCAATCGGATGGCCCAATTCAGTTTTGCGGATCTGCTCAGATCACTTGAATGCCAAGGCCATCTATGGCGTGACATGCCCCTGTCATGTGGTTGACATCATGAGCATCTGTGATTCTGACCATCCGATCCCAGGTGGGGTAGCCTAGTGGTTACAGCATTTGCTCGTCATGACGAAGACCTGAGTTCAATTCCCCACATGGGTACAATGTGTGAAGCCCATTTCTGGTGTCGCTTGCCCGTGACGTTGTTGGAATATTGCAATAAGCGGCATAAAACCTCACTCACTCACTCTCAGTGCATCAGTAATCAGCATACTCAGTGACTCTAGACTCCATGGATATAAATATGTTAAAGTTGACAAAATAGTCAGTTCAGACTTGTCCTTCTTCCCAGTGACCATCTTTAAGCTAGCTGGAATATTGATGAGAGCGATGTGAAAAAACAAAAACAAAATACCATTGAACACATCGAAATCACTGTGCGTGTTTCGTAACTCTGTCACTCACTTGTATTACCAGATGAGACTGCAAGGGTTCATGACAAGTCTGTCATAGGAGAGGAGGAAGAGAGTAGGTCAGAGAGTGTGAAGAAGAAGCCGAGGCTGGAGGAAGGGAAGGACGGAAACAGAGTTAAACCACTTACAATTACTGACCTGAAAACAAGACTGAAAGATCCTACCCTGTCTAAACCAGCAAGGAAAAAGCTGCGTAAAAGATTGAGGGTTTTAGAAGAAAAGTAAGTCTCTTAACAAATTATGAGGGTCCCAATTTCATACTCTAAAATGGCACAAACCTTGCAGCAGCCTCTGACCAGGCCTTGGGATTACCACTGGCCCCCCATGTGGCTCTTAGCATCAGTTGTTTAGCATCAGATTTTATTTTATGTCATCATGGTTGTATTGGGGACGGTGGGGTGGCCTAAAGGTTAAAGCGTTCACTTGTCACACTGAAGACCTGGGTTTAGTTCCCCACATGGGTACAGTGTGTGAAGCCCATTCCTGGTGTCCCTTGTCGTGATATTGCCAGACTATTGCTGAAAGCGGTGTAAAACCTCACTCACTGTGTTGGGAGCATGGGAGACCCTGAGTGTGCCTCGATGTGCCATGCAGGGTTATGTCCCTTGGACCAATTATTGTGGCTTGTTGTTGGTTTGTCTGCATTATGTCAACTTGTCAACCCCATTCCTAGCTTGTGAATTTCACCAAAGTGGAAAAGGTCTCGAGACCTGCATCATTATCCCCCGCAACGCATTTTGCGGGGGGTATTAAAATGGACTCCTTGCATGCGTGCGTGCGTGCACATTTGTCTTTTCCGGAGCATAACTCTAAGACCATTCAATATTTCTTCACCAAACTTGGCACATAGACAGATCTGGTGGTCTACTGGTGCCTTTTGGTAGTTTTGGAATTCTGAATAAAATATTTTTGTTCGTTTCGTCGTCTATGGCAACAAGCTTCACTTTGACTGAAATTGGTGGTAGTGCTCTTTTCCGGAGCAGCACTTAAAAACTGTTCACTGTTTCATCACCAAATTTCATAAATAGGTAGATCTAGTGGTGAACTGGTGCCTTTTGGTAGTTTTGGATTTCTGAATAAAATATTTTTTTTGCTTTTCCATGGCAACAATTTTGGCTTCAACTGAATTTGGTCGTAGTGCTCCTTTCGGTAGCAGAACTTTGAAACCTTTCAGTACTCTCCTTCCACTTAGCTATATACACGCCAAAACATTTGACATAATCATAACTTGTAGACATATTCATGAAGAGTATTTTGCCATTGCGGGGGAGATTGATGACTTTGTCTTCTTGTTTCAACTGAAGCGTTAAACCCTCCTCACTCATCGAACAAACCCATCATGGTTCTATCCAAACACATTATTAGCTAAGCTCACTACATGTACTAGAACCCATGAAGGTCCTGGTTAGAATTGATCTTCAGCACCTCATGCTTGTCGTAAAGAGGCGACCAACGAGATCGGGTGGTCAGGCTCGCTGACTTGGTTGACACATGTCATCATATCCAAACTGCATAGACCAGTGCTCATGCTGCTTATCACTGGATTGTCTGGTCTAGACTCAATTATTTACAGACCGCCACCATTTAGCTGGAGTATTGCTGAGTGCAGCTTAAAACTAAACTCACTCACTCACTCACTCGCATGTGCTAGAGAGGTAATTTGATTTGACAGATCGGTAAGCCTAGCGGCATTTGTACCATAGCATTTGCCTTACAGGAAAAGATGGTGATGAATGTATAGATCATCATAAAATGGAGATGGAAATTCAATTATGACTCCATAAAACAAATAAAGAATGATGTTGTCAAATTTCAGAGATGGAGCAGCCCTAGCACATCATGATGGACAGAAGCATGGCTTTAAAGGTCCGATTGCTGAGAAGTTACATGCAAAGTTACAGAGAAAGGAAATTGATGAATTTTTGAAAAGTTTTTCAGATCATATGAAGGATTATAACAATAAAAAGAAAAAGAGGAAAAACAGTATATCCGATAAAATAAATAAATTGAAAAACACTAAACAGAACCAGGGTAACATTAACACCAGTGACCCTACAGATCAAGATGATTCGGACAGTGATGCTGAAGAGACTGAATCAGGAAATCAGAGTCCAGGAAAAGTCAGGAAAAGTGACCGAAGTCCTGTGAAAAAAGACAATGTGCAACCCTCGAAGAAGAAAACAAAGAAGAAAACCAAGTCCTTGCATGGTGGTGTTACCAAAGATAATAGGACTGACACCACGAAACATAAAAAAACAACAGACGGAGGTAGCAGCAAGGTATATATGATCACTGTAGCACTTCAATCTCTGACATGCTTGTTTTTGTTTGTTTTCCTGCCTGTGAAGGTCCGGGTTAGAATGTGCCTTCAGTAATCCATGCTTGTCGAGGCGACTAACGGGATCAGGTGGTCAGGCTTACTGACTTGGTTGACAGATATCATCGGTTCCCAGTTGCGCAGATCAATGCTCATGCTGTTGTTCACTGGATTGTCTGGTCCAGACTTGATTATTTACAGACCGCCCCATATAGCTGGAATATTGCTGAGTGTGGCGTAAAACTAAACTCACTCACTCACACACTCGATTTTTTTCCAGAATTTCACTGGTGATTTTGTTAATGTCGACTGCTCAAGGATTGTCATTATTACTGACATTTGGTTTCTTTCATCTTGACCATTCAATGCCATCAGAGAATTCTTTGGAGAAAGGTCAAAGGTTAAAGTCAGGAGAAAGAATTTGAAAGTTGAAATGCTGTCAAGCACCTGTAGTTTGTGATGATATGAAATGTACTCACTCCTCTCAACCCTGTTGTAGATTGGTGAGGACAACAATAGTAAAACTACAGGCAGGAAACGGAAGAGACACAAGAAAAGGAGCAAACAGAAAAACATAAAAAATGATCACAGGCCAGATGAAAAGGTGTGATATACTACATCTGTTTGGAAAAACATTGACATGTTTGTACATTTACAGTTACAAAATTCAGGGGACACTAAGATTTTATAGCCAGTATGTGTAATATTAGGTTTAATTCGACACTGTGCTCTCATGCAAACACACACACACACACACACACCCCGGTATTTTTTTGTTCCTTGGTGATGAACTGCAGCTTGAACTTTGTCAAGCATGGTCGCTGTCCAAGTGAGGCTCACAAACACATTGGATGGATAAGCGATGTTTGCAAACACATTGTCTGGATAAGTGAGGTTCACAAACACATTGTCTGGAGATTCGAGGTTCCACTGTATCTATCCTTAAGCAATGCAACACTTGTTAGTTGATGTAAGTGTGGAATGATTATTACTCAATGTCGCTCTGCGTTTCTTTATTTTTCCAGAAGCCAGCTCATCTTCAGGGTGCAGGGAAAAACAGAGTCAGCCAAAAATTGTCATCTCCGCAAAAGAACAACTCGGAATGAATTAATAATTTGTTGTACTTATTGCGAGAAACAGAGGTAAAAACAGAAGACCTGACGTAACCGTTGACAACAAACTCTGGTGTCCAGCAATACATGCAAAATGTATTGGTATGCTTTGGCAAATAGCCCAGTAATAACATCAGAAAGATTTTTCATCTTGTGAAATTCATAGTATGGATGTTGACATCAGGATATTTTCCATGTGTCACCTCTAAATGCTTCACAAGACAATATCTTTCAGGGGAAGCCTCATGGGTAAAGCCTTTGCTCGTCACGACGAAGACCTGGGTTTGATTCCCTACATGGGATAATGTCTGGAGCCCATTTTAGGTGTCCCCTAAAAGCGGGGTAAAAACCAAACTCACTGGGTAATATTTTTCACATATAGATGATTGGGAAATGCTGAACGGTCAATAGCCAACAGTCCAACAAAACCACTGTAGAAGATGAATTTGTTTATGCAAACTTATATGATGATGACCCATATGTGGTGTTATTAGTGGTAAATAGGAGGACATGCCAGACTGATTGTGTTCAACATGAATTAGCTCAACTGATCATTCACGCAATGATGGTGACTGTAGAAACTATTTGAAATAAGAGAATTAAATTTGAGTATTTGATCTTTGAAGTCTGTTGCATGTCAATAAAGTCATATCAGTAGTGAAACCAGCCTGGACTTTTGCACCAGAAGGGGCTGATGATAAGATACTTCGTTGGGAGTGGGGAAGAGTTAGAGAAGTTATATTATATTTATATTATATTTAAGTTACATTATATTCATCACCTTATTCTTGGTGGTTAATCTATTGAAACATTATTATAAGGGTATGGTGGTCACAGGGGCGTGTCACGCTTAGAAACAGCATTAGAAAGACATATAGGTATATAGACCCTACCCTAGTACTATATAAAAGGTGAGTTTTCGCTGTCTTGGGGTGATCCATGATTTTGGCTTGGAATTGGGGAGGTAGCTGTTTTCGGTGAGTTGTGGCCTATAACTTTAGAAATAATGATCCGATTGTGACCATTTATAGCTCATTTTGTAGGGAAATCATCTGGCTTTCGATCCGTAGGCCTTGACGGGGGCCTTAAAAATAGTTTCGTGGTGAAATCTAACTTTGATTGAGGAGGGGGTGGTTTCCATCGTTACATCGTTACAGGGTAGGGTCTATATACCTATATGTCTTGCTAATGTTGTTTCTAAGCGTGACACGCCCCCTGTGATGGCGGTGAGGTCGCCTCCGCTCGTCACGCCGAAGACTTTGGTTCGATCCCCACATAGGTACAATGTGAGAAGCCCATTTCTTGTGTCCACCTCCATGATGTTGCTGGAATATTGCCGAAAGAGGTGTAAAACCACCAAATTCACTCACTCACATTGGTAGGGTACGGTGATTCTGATGGGAGATGGAGCAGGTTCAGATCTTGATTCACAGTTCTTGATGGTGAAGAGACGGTGGGGTAGCCAAGTGGTTAAAGCGTTCACTCATCACGCCGATGACCGGGTTCGTTTCCCCATATGGGTACAATGTGTGAAGCTAATATCTGGTGTCCCCCGCTGTGATATTGCTAAATTGCTAAAAGCAGCAAAAACTAGCATCACTCACTTACTTGATGGTCAGGATATGGGTAACTTCAGGGGAGGGAAGGTCAGGTGAACCACCTCAACAAAGTCCATTCAGTTCTTTTTCGAGAACAAAGTCTGGAGAGATGTCACCTCCACCAGAGGCTGGACCATCAAGACCATTCTACAAACCAGTATCAGTAGCATCAGCACTGAATGTCTCAACCACAGAGGGGGTACCATGTACATGCAGGTGCCAGTTCTTGCCCATGGTAATGGTCTGTGTAGTCACCAATTCTTGAAGGTTGCATTGCACTTAGTTCATGACGTCAGTGATGTCGCTGCACACAATTCAAGTTACCATGGCAATTCTTTCTATCAACGGATGTTAAATTATGTATTATTAATTTTGTCATTTTCACGTTGTGCGAAACAGACCAAACTATAAGCAGTAACGGGTAAATAGAACACTAACACTGTCTGTAAATAATCTAGTCTGAACCAGATAATCCAGTGATCAACAGCATGCACATCTATCTACACAACTGGGATACGATGGCATGTGTCAACCAAGTCAGCAAGCCTGACCACCTGGTTCTGTTAGTCGCCTCTTAGGACAAACATGGATTACTGAAGACCAAATCTAACCCGGATCTTCAGGAATGTTTTCTTCAAGTGTGTTAACTGGGTGTGATGTGGCATGTGATCAACTTGGCAGAAGAAATGTGATCATATACAAGAAAGAGCATCTAAATGCATTTATTCAACTGAGCTGTACCTCATCACATGGATGAGAGATCCCACCTTGAGTGAGTGAGTGAGTTTAGTTTTACACCCCCCTCAGCAATATTCCAGCTATATGGCGGCGGTCTGTAAATAATCACGTCTGGACCAGACAATCCCGGGATCAACAGCATGAACATCGATCTACGCAACTGGAATACGATGACGTGTCAACCCAGTCAGCGAGCCTGACCACCCGTGGTTAGTCGCCTCTTACAAGCATGGGTTACTGAAGATCAATTCTAACCCGGATGATCACGGGTGATCCCACCTTGAGGTAACAATCGTCCACTTCGGTTGACGTTCACAACATTCCATGGGCTCGTAGCTCGAAGCAGTCGTTATAAAATCTGCTCCAACGTTTGGTTAATGAATGCTTTAGTAATATAATATAATGTCGTTGAAACATTATGTAGTGTATCGCAAAGTATTCGCTAAACAATCCTTAAGCGTTCGTTAGATGTTCCATAAGAAATCGTAACTCGAAATATAGTGAGTGAGTGACTTACAATTTATCGTCAAATTGGCAATATTTCAGCCATATTGTGACGAAAACAATTAATTTATACATAGCAATTCATGGTAAATTATATAAACCTGTCAACGAAGGACAGTAAAATAACTAGATTATCACATATGAATATAAAATTAGTAATTAAATCTAAAACAGTTTAACTATAAATGACAATGCAATATAAAAACAGGCTATAGATTGCCAACAACTGAAGGTAGATCACCATACTAGGGACCATGGGGACTTACAGTACATTTGCTTCCTGCATGGGCCAAATCGAAATACAGACAGCTTCAGGCTTAAAGACAATGGGATTCCCCGCGTCTCCTTGCAACCAACCATCTCTCACCAAGCCTTGTTCAAATGAATGCTTCAGATTGCACATACTCCAAATATGAGAATCCCGAGTGCTGCCAGACCATTGTGCAATATGTTTGTCATTTGCAGTTAAGCCCCATTCACAGTTTGAACATTTATACCATGGTGTTTTGTCCTAGACACAAACAAATGTTTATCTTTTGTAGGCGCTTTGATTGGGATTATGGAACCGTCTTCAGAGCTAAGGACATTTGGAAATTCAGCTATTTGGTTGAAATTAGTTTTCAATTTCTGTTTATCATCTTGTGTTTTGGGAAAATGAAAATACACATTGGCATGTTTGCACAATGATGTTGAGATATCGTGGGCACATCTTGAAGCTGCCATTTTTGACAAACCTTGTACATCTGCACAGACAAGAAACTCACAGTTGCATGATAACGAAGCGCTTCCACCACCTGCAGTGATACACTTTGTGCCCATTTCTCACGTAGAAATAAATTGCCGTTTTAATACCTTTATATGGATTACAACCTGTTTAAGACTGCTTAAAGGTTGGTCATGGCCTTGATTTTCGAAGCTCTCTTAGCGCTAAGATTGTCGTAAGTGCCATACATTAACATTAACTTACGACGATCTTAGCGCTAAGAGAGCTTCGAAAATCTAGGCCCAGGGATGCACCTTAAACACAGTCGTTAACTTGCCTTGTAAGGATTGTCCAAGCTTTAAGGATTGCATCAAGTTACACATCGTTAAAATAATGTATGCTTAACGATTATCCTTAATTAAAGACAATCTAACGACTGCTTCGAGTTACGAGCACCGGAGCAATTCACAGAAACTGTCCCTGTCAAGAAAGATCTTAGTTTGTAAGCAGGATAGTGAGGTGTGGTCAGCAGACATTCAAGACATCCTGGCCCAATTGCCGAACTTGGCATGTGACAGCAATGAATAACTACCATCAACCAATCAAGTGTCAAGTTAGTTAAAGAGGAAATATGCATCATATACATACTGTATTGCTGTCTAATGGACTGTGACAGGTGGAAGCGATCAGTCGACTCTGGTTTTAGATGAGATTTCATTTGGCTTATTTGATACCAAATCATTAACTTGTTTGATAATAATGGTATTACACAGTTTAGTATCCTCTAATCTGCTGTGCTGGCACTATACAGTGTAGCATGCCATCACTGCCTTAACAGCCACTATTCGTATAAAACAATAATAAATTAACACAGAGTATTTAGAAAAGGGTTTTATGAACTGTACAGATTATGGATTGATAAATGTCATCATTACACATACACATTATATACAGTTAGTCACAATCATGCAATAGACTCTGCTCTTAACAATGACCTCAAGACAATGAAAGGCTTTTCCCACTTCTATTATTGAAATTGTACTGTGTTTTATTTATGTTTCGGCAAAACACATGAGGAAAATGACAAGCTCAAGCACAGAACCTGAAATCAATGGTACCAGTTCACCTGAGGCATGTTTCAACGACCCAGAAGTTCATCTCCAATCTTGGGCAGAGAAGTGGGGCTGCCAACTTGAGGAACCATTCGCCATGGTTGGTTTGGTGTCTAACGCCGTACTCAGCAATATTCCAGCTATATGGTCAGTAAAGAATCAAGTCTGGACCAGACAATCCAGTGATCAACAGCATGAGCATCAATCTATGCAAATGGGTTACGATGAGCCTGGCCACCCCTCCTGTTAGTCACCTTTTACGACAAGCTTGGGTTGCTGAAGATCTTCACGGGTCTCATGTCAACAGACTGTGTCTCAATCTATACATTGGTACTATCTTTTTTCAGACCTTGAAACAAATATATCCAAGAAAGCCAATGCAAGTCTGAAAATGAAGAAAGTCTCTGGGCTCCGTTTCATTGTATATGGTTATCATTCATGAACCGTTTTTTCTGTAAAATATGTTCATTTCAGAGACTAAATGTTAGTCTAGTACAATGAGTGAAACGGAAGGTTCCCAGCATGTAAGGCCCTTACTTGAAATCCACTGGGGAACAGCCATGACATACAATTGGTTTTTTTAAATTTTTGTGTGCTGTGTAACTCCCGACCACCCGATCCCATAGTCGCCTCTTACAACAAGCAAGTTCCATGACACACATATTTTTTCAAAATGCTGAATATCGTTCATGGCAAACAGTCTTTGAAATAATAAATATAGATTATGAATAAATTGTTCAGTTGATAAAATATATCTGTATTGCACGATGTCCTACTTTGTTCTATGTATTATTTAGTGTAAAGAACACATGCAGCCATTATCTGTTGCATAACACAATACTTCTGCTACAACCACTAATGGCTGATAGTTTATTTGTTCTGTAACACCACTCTCAGCAACATTCCAGCTATGTGACAACTGTCTGTAAGTAATCGAGTCTGGACCAGACAATCCAGTGCTGGACAACATGGGCATCAATCTCAGCAACTTGGATATGATAACATGTGTCTACCAAGTCAGTAATCCTGACCACCCAATTCCTCTAGTCGCCTCTTAAAAGCCTTAGTTGAAGAAGATCCCTTCTAACCTGGATTGTTATAAATAAAAGATATGAGCAAGTGTAAGGCAGAAAAAAAATGTAGAAAAAGCACATTGCAACAAGAGTATAAGAGTATATAAGAAGTGTAAAAAAAGTATAAACATTTAACTTAAAATTATGAGCTTATTTTAACCCTGAAGGATATTGTGTCCATATTTTTAGCAGCTCTATACAAATATTGCTGACATTATAGATAGCACCCTTAAGGAGAAGGTGCTTGTACATAACACTGCTACATTCAGATAATGGTGCTGACAAACCTGAAACCTGATCTGGCTGCAACAATTTTCCTTAAGGGGCCATTTGTAGCTTGGGGGTTGATGATGATTGTTATGGAGAAGCATGTATCATGTGAATGACACACACACACACACACACACACACACACACACCACCCCCCATGTATGCACAAAGTAAGTGACCCCACCCCCATGTGACGTATTAAATCAATGCCCCCCCCATGTTATATGTCATATTTATTGCATAATATTTTTACATGTGTACAAAATTCTGGACCCCCCAACCTCCCCATAACAAAATTGGAAAGTAATGCTAAGTAATAACTTATCTTCATTAGGGTTTGCAAAAAATGTATAGAGATACAAATAATCTCTGATAATGGCAAATGTGAAATTAAGGCATTGAGTATTTTTCTATACCGAGATTCAAGGTAGATTGTATAGACATAGTGCTATACCAACAAACACCACACTCAGATTGCAGGCATAACAATAGTTTCTATTCAATACAGCTTGTAAAGTTCCCCAGAAACCTAAGTTTAGATCTGTCGGTCTGACAATACTTTTATTACACTGGTGACCTTAAGCATGCTCTTCTGTACAACCTGAGATTCCGATTTAGAATTGCAGATCTCGTTTCACAAGTTTCTGTAGTGTTAGCCAGATATATCTTGGTCAAGGGGTGGTGGGGTAGCCAAAATGCTAAAGCATCTGCTCATCATGGTGAACATCTGTGTTTGATTCCCCACATGGTTACAATGTGTGAAGCCCATTTCTGGTGTCCCTGCCGTGATATTGCTAAATGCTCTGAAAACCACTCACTCACTCACTCACGTCAAGGTCAAGGACGTATTGTATTTAACACCTTAGCAACACTTCAGGTCTGTGTAAAAGACATGCAGTTAGCTGACCTATACAAATATGGTATTTGTTCGTTGCTAACAAACCAAGGCTCACAATCAATGTGAATAATTGTTATGCTGGACACATGTAAAGACAATCATCCTCAAATTCTTGTTTCTTATGCCTTCTCAATCATTCTAAGGGCATCTTCGTAACTTGGTGGTGGAGCCTCTGGTCGTCTTTGCGGAATCTCTGGGGCAGCTGGCGGGTTAAAATCTGTGAACTCTGGCGGCGGGGGCGGGTTAAGATCTGTGAACTCTGGCGGCGGTGGCGGCGGTGCACTGGGAAGCATGGGATTTGTGGGATAGCTGGTTTGAAGAAACGGTGCTGTAGCATCTCTCCCTTGGGGGTCTGGAAGTTGAGATGCCTGCATAGTCGGTGGTTGTGACGTACGATCAAAGTGTCCTTTAGAACAGTAGGCTATTACAATGAGTACCAGTACGAGGCCGGTGACTGCACATGCTATCGCAACTACTGGCGTATTTGATGAAGTAGCCGTCTCTGTTTCACCTTCATAATAATCTGAAACTGATCAAAATATAACTTTTTTAATTCATCTAAACTCAGTAACATTTATCAGATGATACTGTGGGGAAGTAGTCGTCACATATGTTTCCTACCTAACAACTAAGTGGGATTGTATGACCAGAATATTGGTGTAACATTCCTACACTGTAGGTTATTCTCAAGAAATATAAACCTGAAGGCTGCTTCTCACTATATATTAGACATGGCTTCTTTTCCCGGAATTACCGCACTTGAGGTTTTTTGTTTGCTCCCAGGTTTTACTATTCGTAAGTAACACCTATTTCCCAGTTTTACTTTTTCCTAACTCTATATTAACATCAACATTCAAATTCAGATGATATGTTAGTGTTTGAAATCAATTGAAAAATATCGTCAAAGATCAACTTAAATGTGCAAATGTTTTTCCTAGCAGGATTGGAACCGTATATTTTAGATTCATCAGCAGATGCTCTACCTCACAGCCACCAGACAGACAAAGAACAAGGGTTGAATTATCTATTTATAGTTAGGCCTACTGTTATTCAATTGATTTTACTAGCACTTCAGTTACTGTTATGTAGCTTCATTACATGATCATCTAATTATCCATCATTGACAGTTTATATGTGTAGGATAAAGCACGACTCCGAGGTTATGGTTGGGAAAGTAAGAACCGAGACCGGAGGGTGGAGAGAAGTAAATATTATATTTAAATATCTTGCAAATGTAGTGTTGCATAGCACGCACCAAATGAGTATACAAATTCCAACAGTAAACTCATTCTTACACTGGCATTTTGACACAAGGGTACCACTATCGAATTATGAATGTTTGTCACATGACAGATTTATAAGTAACAAGATGGCTTTCCCTAGTAACATGAAAGATTTCCCAAGTGACATGAATGATTTCTAAGTAACAGTAAATCCCTCATGTGTCTAGGGAAATCCCTCATGTGACTCGGGAAATCCCTAAAGTTAATTTTTAAATCACTCTTGTGACTTGGTAAAAACCTCATTAGACTAGACAAATCCCTCCTGTTACTGGGGAAATCTCTCATGTGACAACAGGAAAGCCCTCATGTTATTTTGGAACCCTGTCATGTGACTTTGGAAATCCATCTTGTTACTTGGAAAGTCCCTTAACTTACTTGGGAAATTCCCCATGCTACTGGAGAAATCCAATATGTTACTTGGGAAATCCCCCATGTGACCAGGAAAATCCCTCATGTTATTTTGGAATCCCTCATTTGACTTGTGAAATACCTCATGTAATCCCTTATGTGATCGTGAAAATCCCTCATGTTACTAGGGGAACTCCTGAAGCTACTTTAGAAATCCTCCTTCGTGTGACTTGGGAAATCCCTCATGTTACTTTGGAAATCCCTCAAGTGAGTAGGGAAATCCCTCATGTGACTGGGAAATCCCCTCAAGTGACTAGGAAAACCCCTCATGTGACTTAGGGAAATCCCTCATGTTACTTTGGAAATCCCTCAAATGACTTGGGTAATCCTTGATGTTACTGGGGAAATCCCTCATGTTACTAGGGAAATCCCATGTGATTGGGGAAATCCCTTCGCTTACTTATCATCACTGAAGGAACATTCAGTTCCAATTTTCTGCAGTTAAGTATTTGCATGGTCAAAAGAGATGTTTCTTGTCACAACCCTTTCACAGATAGTTTTTATCATGTCATGAAGAAACAGTGGTTGTCAGATTATCTTTTCTTCCCTTTTCATTGTGAAAGTAAGCACATCTGAAAAACATTTATATAAAAAAGAATATTTGCCTAACAATGAAAGGTGAAGTGAAATGGGGTTTAATGCAGTTGTTAAGAATATTTCGCTCATATGAGGCAACATACATGCATGTGTATGTGGGGCTGCTTGTACTAGCCCAGACTTAAGCTGTTTTTATAGTGCTAGCCTACTGAGATACCATGCTGCAGTGAAGTATGAATACCCCACTCAGACACATTATACTGACTCCGAGCCGACCAGTCCTTGTTGTGCCCATTAATGCCGAGCGCCAGGCAGGGACCAACAAGTACCATATTTTAACGTCTTTTGGTATGATGCGGCCAGGGATCGAACCTGCGATCTTCCTCTCTCTCAAGGTGGATGCTCCTACCAGTACCAACAATAAAAGATCAACATTGGATAGACTATCACAAACACCACTTACAATCTGTCAATGAAAAGGAACTTACTGTCTTCAGAGATCTTGTAGACTATCTTGAATCCCTTTCCTATTCCCTCCTCATTGCTGGAAAACAAAACTGTTACGAATTGACCAGAGCTGGTGAAGGATGACATCTTATTGGTGCACCAAATCAAGTCTGGCTTTTTGGTAAAATCCCATAATCGCCCTGAAATGACATTTTATTACACATTTTAATAAAAAAGCCAGCAATTTAATTCATAAATTGAAACATTTAACTATAAATTGTATTGTATTATATTAATACTTATCCTTATCTCGCAATGGATGGAGAACACTGTTTTGCCTGGTCACAAAACACAAGTGGACAGTCACTGAATCGGGCTCTTCAATACAATACAGTGTAAACCGCCTAAATAAAGACCGCTTAACTAAATAGACCTGATAAGTAAACACTTTTCTTTGGTCCCGGCAACTTTGTTAATTAATTATCATTATTAGAGTCTGGTTAACTAAACTCGGATAAGTAAACAATACCTCTTAACTAAACGTCTTCTCACGGTCCCTGGAAGTAAATTCCTTTACAAAAGAGACTGAATAACTAAATTAGCGATCACCACATAATCCGACATGAGGGGCAGTCGTGTCAGTCTCCAGTCAAACATCCTACTTACAGCTCGCTGGCGTCAAGCAGTTGACAATACACTGACAACTGGAGGCCAACCCTGATAAGTTGTTAATTGTTACATATGCATACATATACATGCATATGGTTGTCATTTGCAGGTTTTTATAAGTTTGGATAAGTAAAATACCAAATAAGTAAACAATTTTGGCGAGTCCCTTGAGATTTTACTTATCAGGTTTCCACTGTATCAGTTACCATACTATCATTATTGAAAGCACAGATTACTCCCCATGATGTGGCAAGTAAAAGCACTAATGACGCAATTATCTAGATATTCATTTCACAATATTTACATTTTTTAAACAATACAAGTTCAAGGAAAACTAAGTTCTATGGATAGTCAACTTCTTTATTGCAATGAGTGCGACGTTTTGACATAGGTACTAACACCGTTATCAAGCAAGTGATACAACAATTTGAAACAAGGAGAATATATATACATGTACATTGCTGCATAGTGAGTATATACAAGTAACAAGGTTGATGTACGTTGGATATCTGATTACTGATTTCAGCAGAGGAGGTTGATGTACAGAGTGATTTGATTGTGATTAGAGTTGAATTTATACAATTGATGAGTTTGACGTACAATGAGATGATAATAAGTAAGTAGGTTGAAGTACACTAGTTGTGAATACAATGCACAAAGGGGAGCGTGGAAGCCAGATGGACAAGGTGGGTATGGGAGGATAGTGGTGGTGGTCTTTGATTAAGTAGTGATAGGCCGAGGAGATGAAATAACCTTGATCACGATTCATGGTGGGGTTGTAGCGTTGGATGTTTATAGCTTCAAGGAGTTTCCTAATCTTGTAGTCTGCTCGGTTTTAAGTTTCCATGATATTGATGTTGTTCCATAGGATGGCATGGTCAGGGTTGGCTTGGGTGTGGTCGGCTATGGCGGATTTGGAGTCGTTTTTCTGGACTGAAGTCTTATGTTCTCTAATTCGTAGTGGGAGAGGGCGGGATGTTTCACCTATGTAAGAGTCTCCACATTCACAATGGATCTGGGAGACTACTCCTGAGGGGTCATCTTTTGTTGTTGACGGTGGTTTGCCTGTGGTTTGGAGGAGGTTCTGGATGGACTTGCCTTTCTGGAACAGGACGTCTATGCCTGCTTGCTGAAGGAGTCATCTAATCTGGTGGCTGACTGCTGGGACATACGGGATATATATTACGAAGGGTGCTGATTGCCGATGGGACGGTTTATCTCTTGGGTCGAGGATAGTTCTGATGACAATGTTGACTAACTTCTGGGGGTACTGGTTATAATGGATGAAGACATGGCGGAGGTGGTTTAGTTCGGTTTCTAGTCACATCATTTCATTTTTCAAATAAAAATAAAATTGCTTTTTTCACTAAATCTAAATATTGTAAGCATAAGAATATACCCTGGCAAAGATCCAGATCAACTACGAGAGCATCTTAACAACCAACATCACAGCAATAAATACACCCTGGAACTAGTAACCAGCAACGAACTGCCCTTTCTTGTGTGACATCCTTGTGTCCCGCACCCCTACCAACACACTCCAGACCACTGTTTTCGCAAGCCGACCCACACCAACCAATATGTGCACTATCAATCCGACCATCCACATGTAAAGACTAGTATAATATCTACACTCACCAGGAGAGCCAAAAACATCTGCTCTACAAATCTTCAAGAGGAATTATCTTACCTTCCTGTAAAATACTTTAATTTCATTGGTCAGTGACGTTTTAACAAGTTTCAGTGTCATCTCTCCCAGTAGGGTGACAACTGGAAAAAATATTACCGCTGCCACGGTAACCGCCAAACTCTTCGCCGAGGTGCTGTATCAGTAACAATCGCATGATGTCATAATATGATGCAAGCAGTGCTCCGAGTTCAAAAACTGTTTGATCAGCTGTTTTTGAGTATAGTATGTACATATTTATTTTACCGACTTCCACTGCTTTATTTAAATTATTTTACATATTGCATCGTTTGCACACTCAACTTAAAGGGGAAGTGTACACGAAAATTAACCTTGTCTTGCACTTTTTCATCATAAAAAGTGTTTTTATCAAGAAGTTTTATATCCAAACCCGAACATATATCAGAAGTAACTAATTTATTTTTGGCGTTATATCAATTCATATTTTCAACATTTACCAAGAGTTCTATGTCCACAATAAACACACCATGGCTTATGTCCCTTGGAAATGATGTCATTTGTGCCCAAACGATAAACGAATGACGTCGTTAGACCTTATTAGACCCATTCCACGTGGGGCAGGTATAGGTGTGGTTCTTGTGTCTCGATGCGCAGGCTACTGTTTTAATCCACCTGTTGCTTGGCTGTCAGCTGAAAATGTGGTCACTTCTACACTGTAATGAAGTTGCAGTTTGAAAAAACGGACACATTGTACTAAAAGTGTTGCCACATAACCAAATTGTATAACATATTCAACCTGAGTCAGTCGCTTTTCCAACAGTATCTTTTTTCACAAAACCTAAAACGTATGTGCACTACATCTAGCCTGCCATCGATGAATGTGCCGGCATTCTACGTTTGTTACTAAAATTCCTACATAAATCGTACGATATGTCCCTCCTCTTTCACCTTCACTTTGATATCGATAGTACATATCCAAATACATCACACAGATAAATGCATTTGTAGTTTTGAACTCTGTTTGAAATTCGTATTTCTATGATATCATCGCTCATTGTAGATCAAATATGCTGAAAATTACATGCATCGTAAATCTCGCCAGTTTTGACATATATTACTAAATCACCATTCACTGTGTTTTGCGTAATTTATAGTATGTCTTAATTCAAATGTCAAATTTTACTGGGAGAATTGAATTTCAAAGAAAAAGACGTATCATTGTGATCAGCGGTGGTTTTGTTGTTATATTACAGAGTGTTTATAAAATCACGTCACATGTATGTCGGTTATGTTTCGTCCATAAAATCAATTGTATAATTCAACACCATCTTCCTTACATGAATCCCTGAATTCCTAATACATTTCAAAATAAACTGACAAATGGACTCTTTCACCAATACGACGTGTTTCAGTGAAATCTAACGAAAAATATCGAGGATATAAGATGCCGAGCTGGGAAAGGACCACTTGTTTGAAATGTAAACAAAGCCAATCTCAGATTTTACACTGTTCATCCGTTTGCCTACTTGTTTCATACACTGGCTCATTAGTTTAAGAACATGCATGGGAAAGGTATCATAGCAAGCGATAGTTAAATAAAAAAGGTGTATTCCAATGATATTTCTAGATTCATCACAACAGTTTATATTTTCTGAAAGCATGACGCCATGACTGACGCAAACTCACGCACAACGATGACGGTACTTCTCATTAATTTCTGACTATTTCCCTTGGTCACAATGAAAACAAAAAGAAAATAACAACCAGCAGACTGACAGAATTTTCGGACTATACTTACATGTCACATTTATGCATATACGTTGCTTGAAACAACGAAAATTTCCTTCGAAAATCTGGCGTACTCGTGTCAGTGAACACGCCATTTTGAAAAAGTCACTTTTACTTCCCGATAGTGATGTCATACAGAGGTCAACATTGTTATACATATTTGGTATTTTCATTGAGGTAAGGTTATGAATGAAAATGCACACGATCAATCCATCCTGCAGCTTACATTTTCTGTATTATCTTTCGTATTTTCACAAACTTTTTTTCACTTGATTAATTTCAGTATTATTATCTTTTGATTTGGGACTAGACAAGAGACCAGTTTAAAATCAAGTGGCACCAATTACGTATAATCAAAGGGCGGTAACTCTGGCCTGTTTAGCTCGGCAAACAAAGGCCTCATATTGGCATTACATTTCAGCACTTGTTTTAAGGGTTCTACTTATATTGTAAGAAAAATGAGTGTATATTTTCAAACATTGGTATTAACTAATTAAAACAGTTCACCTTGATTCACATAAGAATAAATGTGATTTATTTGTGTACACTTCCCCTTTAAACATCATTAACAACTTTTAAAGCAGTTTTAAGCTTGATAGAATATGTTTCACTGATTTAAAAATCCAGTCGAGAGGCAGACACCATTTTGTTTACATGTCATGTAGTTGGTAGCGATCTTCCAAATGAAATAAAATGATATTTTAACATTTTTTAACATGGCCTACCGGTTTCAGGTGATACTGCTACAAAGAGGCGTATTACCCACGAGAGAAGCATACAACTTATAATATATCATCTTTAAGAGGCGTTTATTGAACTCAACCATTACCCACCCCAATAAGTCAACAGGACAATTGTATCAACCCTCTCACCATCAACTAAGCATCCTAGGCCAGAGACAACACTGATCAAAATCTCCATCTCCTACATTGGCAAGAGTTCAAACCAGTTGCTGAACAAAAAGCTGAAAAGACACTACGTTCTCGACTTCCTAAACTCTCAATAACTTATTGCAAGCCAATGGGTACAACAACTCCAACAACAAGAAATTAAATTTTAAGGGTGTGATTTACAAAATTGACTAATTGTGGATAATCTTTTATCATCCAAACCTGTGTTCCACAGGAGATATTGCTTGTGTGAGATCAGATGATATCTCCTAGGAGATACCGTTTTGACAGTAGATTTCGTACAATGCCCTGACAATGCTATGACATCATGAACTTGATGACATCACAATGCTATGACATCACTGCACTGCAAGTCTAATGGCAGTACTGTGTTCAGAGATGTACATTTTTCATTGAAAACTAAATGAAGAGTGATTTTTTTATGATAAATAGAATCTCACCCTTGTGTCTACTGATATGACATACAGTATATCAACACTCGATAAAAGTAAAAAATATCCATGGCAAGCCTCGGATATTTGTTACTTTATCAACTCGAGGTGATATATTTGATATCAAAAGCCACTCGGGTGAGATTGTCTATATATTGGTGAAACATCAAGACTAATCAACAATATCCCTCACAGTGGCAAAATACTCTTCATGAATATGTCTACTAGTTATAGTTATGTCAAACGTTTTGTCGTGTATAAGGCAAAGTGGAAGGAGAGAATTGAAAGGTTTCTAAGTTCTGCTCCAGAAAGGAGCACTACCACCAAATTCAGTCGAAACCAAACTTGTTGCCATGGAAATGCAAAAAGTATTTTATTCAGCATTCCTTAACTACCAAAAAGCACCTGTACACCACCATATCTATCTGTGCCAAGTTTTGGTGAAGAAATAAGAAATAGTGAAGGGTTTTAAAGTTCTGCTCCGGAAAAGGGTACAACCACTAATTACAGTAAAGGTCAAACCTGTTGCCATGAAAATGCATAAGATATTTTATTCAGAATTCCAAAACTACCAAACGACACTGGTACCAGTACACCAAACGACCTATCTATGTACCAAGTTTGGTGAGGAAATAGTGAACGGTGAACTGCCAAAAAGGCACCAGTACACCACCAGACCATTATATGTGCCAGGTTTGGTGAAGCAATATTAAACAGTTTCAAAGTTCTGACTCGGAAAAGAGCACAACCACCTATTACAGTAAAAGTCAAACTTGTTGCCATGGAAACGCAAAAACATATTTTATTCAGAATTCCAATACTACCAAAAGGCACCAGTACACCACCAGACCAATATATGTGCCATGTTTGGTAAAGAAATACGGACAGAGTGCATTTTAATACCCCCTGCGAAGCCCGTTGCGGGGGATAATAAGCCTTCTCACCGTCATATATACTGATGCTGTCGTAACACTCCGGCTTTTGGTGAAGATCCATTTCCAGGACTCTGATATCCATTCTGCTGGTATAATGGTCAGCCTGTATTTGCCACACGCATTTTATTTGGCTGCAACACAAAATGATATTTAGCTAAATCGTATAAAATAAGATATTTTACTCCAAAACCTCTCTGTTGATGTAAGAGTACCTCTTGTAAGGTGAATCCCAAGCAACCTAGAGAAAGGTTTGTTCGTTTAGCACTGTGCTCAGCAATTTTCCAGCTATTTGTAAATAATCAACTCTGGACCAGACAATCCAGTGATTTATATCATGAGCTTCTCTATAAAATTGGAATACAATAACATGAATCAACAAAGTCCACAAGCATGACCTCAAAATCCTGTTAGTCGCCTTTTACGACCAGCATGCATTGCTGAAGACCAATTTTAACCCGAATCTTCATGGTTTCGAAAAGATAACATAATTGACCCAATCAGGTTTCTTATTCACCTGTGGGTGAGAGACTTATGTGCGATAACTGGTATTTAACATATGTCCGATCAAATTCCAGGTCCACAGTACCTCCTTCATGTTAAGGACGTAAAGTCAGATAATGATGGACTACTTTCCCGATTGTAAGTTAGAAGTTAGTCTCTGTGAAACTCACTAAGATCTGTGTTAAGTTACTGGAGTGTTATTTCATGTTCTTGGGTCTAGATTTCACCTTGATAATCTGCAGATATGATGGACTTATTTGCGTGGAGGGACACACCAGGTATGAGAAGTAAGCAGTAGGCCACAATAACACAAATGACCACTGTGTTCAGTATCAATACGCCACTATCATTATAATATTAGTATAATATATGTCAATTCAATGCCAGAAAATATCCTTTTAGCGTGTGTCAGAAATAGATTACTTCTGTCATGCCTGATATAATTTATCTACTGATTTGTTTAAAAACATATTTAACTGACGTTTGCTCGTCAGATACATTTGGAAAAATGGCGAAATGTACCTAGAATCTGACAGATACTTGTCTCCTCTCATCACCTGTTAAAAATGATGTGGCTTACTTCTTGATGACCTCAGTTTGGAATTTCATATTATGTATAGAATTTTGGGCGTTTGTTGAAACTACAAAGTCGATAAATTATCTACAACAAAATAATAGGGGTGCCTTCTGTCTACAATCGGAACATCAATGAAGCTAACTTTCAAGACAGATGAAAGTTGTAGATTGGTCACATGCTTTCACAATGAAAGCTTCCATTAGTCGGAATATTGAGCAATAGTCTGAAAATAATTTACAATTAAAGTTCATCCTCAAATAATCTGATTGTCCTGTGAGATATGGTAAGGTGTAAGTGATCATGATCATTAGTAGCAAAGCATCTATTCAGAGAAAAAGCACTTTGATGTAATTTTAAAAGCATATGACCACTCAGATTGAATATTGAAGATGCAAATAAAACAAGCATTGTCACTAAAGTGACATAATTCCCTGCCGCAAATTATCAAATCAAACTTAAAAGTAATGAAAGTGAAGGTCGTAATTTAAGATGAAGTTAAATGTCAACAAAAACATGACCAGTCAACCTCTCTTGATATCTTGTTCTGTAGTTGTATTTGTACAAATATTTTCAAGCCTGACTTTGACCTTGACATGAATGTCTTAGTGTATGAAATACGCAAAATAGTAATAATTACTTATTGAAAAACATTCAAGGGAAATCTTGAAAGTCCATGGAGAAAATCCAGTGAACTGTTCATGAGATATCTCGCTGACAATCGTAACATGCAGTTTAACATGCTGAAATCTTCAAAGTGTCCCTGTGACCTTGACAATTATGTGAAGGTCACCAAAATTGACTGGACCTTGCACCTTCCCTAGATGAAGCTTGGTGTCAAATATGAAGAAAGTCTAGTGAATGGTCCTTGAGATATCTCGCTGACAATCTTTACATGCAGCTTAACATGCTGAAATCTTCAAAATGTCGCAGTGACCTTGAAAATTTTGTGAAGGTCACCAAAACCGACTGGACCTTGCAGCTTCCCTAGATGAAGCTTCGTGTCATATATGAAGAAACTCCAGTGAATGGTTCTTGAGATATCTCACTGACAATCTTAAAATGCTGGTAACATGCTGAAATCTTCAAAGTGTCACAGTGACCTTGAAGATTAAGTGAAGGTCACCATCGACTGGGCCCTGCGCCTTCCCTAGGTAAAGCTTGGTGTCGAATATGATGAAAATCCAGTGAACAGTTCTTGAGATAGCTCGCTGACAAGCTTAACATGCAGCTTAACATGCTGAAATCTTCAAAGTGTCGCTGTGACCTTGAAAATTCAGTGAAGGTCACCAAAATCGACTGGACCCTGCGCCTTCCCTAGATAAAGCTTGATGTTGAATATGATGAAAATCCAGTGAACAGTTCTTGAGATATCTCGCTGACAAGGGTAAAACTTTAAAGTCCCCTTGTGACCTTGAAATGAAGGTGAAGGTCACCAAACCTGACTGGGACCTTTCTTTTACTGTGATGAACCTAGGTACCAAATATGAAAGGAATCCAGTCAACGGTTCTTAAGATATTCCAATTCGTGACAGACGGCGCCTAATACTATATCCCCTGCTTCACGCTAAACATGCGGCAGGGGATATGAATCTTTTTTTTTCAGCTACATTCCAGAGCATATACACAGAAGGATTCTTCTAAAACTTGAAGCGATATATAATTATATTTCCTAAAATTGTTGTACAATCTCCAAAACAAGACCACAAGATCATCAAAAATACACTCAATTGGACCCATGAGAGTCGTTATGTAAACAAACACGTGTGTGTATTTGAATCTCTCACCTTCTATGGCATTATCCTTATTAAAAACATCACATGAGGCAACACAATTGTGTTAGCTAAATTCTTTGTACTTTCAATGTGACGATATAAATTTTTCATGATTTTTAAAACAATGACATAATGCCATAAACGATTTAAGTACTCGGGATTATTTTTACCAAAGCACCTCAGTCATTACCCGTGTTCTGATTGGTTTGTCGTTATTTTGCACATAACAAGCATTGAGGCGTGGACGAGTCTCCTTGGAGGTAACAGAAAGGGGAGAGTGGTGACGAATGTTTATGGAAGTCAATGTTTTCTTTATTACAAGGAACATTTTCGAGTAAATGTTTACTCCATCATCTGAAGGTGATGCTGATGCTGCCTTATTTTATTGAAAGGTTATGACTATGCATTTTATTATGGTTCATTAGGATATGAATCGAAAAAATGATGTGCAAAGGTTTTGTTTTTTTCATTTATACCAAATGAAATGAAAAACATACAAAAACAGTCTTTCATTGTCTGTCGTCAATATTATCTCAATGTTTTACACTTTCCATAAGTAATACAGTCATTAAAACTATGAACATTCTCACAGAACAACAACTAATACATATCCTTTTAAAAATGTGATGATTTTCTTCCTGTATGTTAATTGAGGCCTTCATCAAAATACAGGACACAAAATATATGTTTGCAAAATACTGCCTCCTCTACAGATGGTTTATACTTCGATATTCACATGTGTTACTCAAGAAAGTATAGCACTCACTCTGGGTAGAGGTCCGGGTACCCAGGAGACGTCAGTATTCTCTCGTCGGATGTAGCTGTCAGATAAACGTTAGCGTAACCTGTATTGGTGTACCGATTTCTGAAACAACCTGTTACCAGGAAAGGAAAAACATGTTACGCATTGCAATATGACATCTGACAATCAGTAATATATGACAACTGACAGAAACAAATGTACTCAAACATTACTATAACACCCAGGTGTGTGATGATGGCTCAAGTTTATTATAACATCCAGTTGTGTGATGATGGCTCTAGTTTACTATAACACCCAGGTGTGTGATGATGGCTCTAGTTTACTATAACACCCAGGTGTGTGATGATGGCTCTAGTTTACTATAACACCCAGGTGTGTGATGATGGCTCTAGTTTATTATAACATCCAGTTGTGTGATGATGGCTCTAGTTTACTATAACACCCAGGTGTGTGATGATGGCTCTAGATAACTAGTTTACTATAACCAGGTGTGATGATGGCTCTAGTTTACTATAACACCCAGGTGTGTGATGATGGCTCTAGTTTACTATAACACTCCAGGTGTGTGATGATGGCTCTAGTTTACTATAACACCCATGATGGCTCTAGTTTACTATAACACTCAGGTGTGTGATGATGGCTCTAATTTACTATAACACTCAGGTGTGTGATGATGGCTCTAGTTTACTATAACACTCAGGTGTGTGATGATGGCTCTAGTTTACTATCGCACCCAGGTGTGTGATGATGGCTCTAGTTTACTATAGCACCCAGGTGTGTGATGATGGCTCTAGTTTACTATAACACTCAGGTGTGTGATGATGGCTCTAATTTACTATAACACTCAGGTGTGTGATGATGGCTCTAGTTTACTATAGCACCCAGGTGTGTGATGATGGCTCTAGTTTACTATAGCACCCAGGTGTGTGATGATGGCTCTAGTTTACTATAGCACCCAGGTGTGTGATGATGGCTGTAGTTTACTATAACACCCAGGTGCGTGATGATGGCTCTAGTTACAACTTCTGGTAAACATAACAGAGGTACAGAATAGGACTGTAGGCTTTAAATACATATAATGATTCTTACAAACTTGAGGATGTACAAAATATTGTGTTCTACACATTGTAATTAACAAAAAACATATAGCCACTTCATGTCAAAAGTCCAGATAACTATTAAAAAACCTTATTCTTTGTATACATGATGTACATTACCAATACTAAAAATATGTTGACAAAATTTCAGACTTTTAGATTTATAATTATTTTCAAATATATCTTGTTAACCCATTTAAGATAAAGAAGTGATTTCATATCTTCGACTATACTGAGGGGTGGTAGACAGATGTCAGACAGACAATTTGCCATACATTTGGTTCCAGCTGAGTGATTTGTTAGTTTGTTGTTTAACGCTGCACTCAGCAATATTCCAGCTGTATGGCAGTGGTTTGTAAACAATTGAGTCTGGACCAGACAATCCAGTGATTGATATCATGAGCAAACATGAGCTGGTGAGCTGAACATAAGATCCTAAAGATTCTTCTGATCTGTACAGATCTGCAGTCATTCAATGACAACCTTGAAAAGTTGATGTAAAAAGGAAGTAGTGCCAAGGTTAAGAGCCAAAGGAAAACAGATTCTGGTTGGCACTAATCTAAGAGCCATGTATGTTGGGGACCAGTTGTCAGACTTCCATATTTGTGGAAGAGCGGTGGCTGAGTGGGTTAGACGGTTGATTGACTTTGCCCGCTGGCAAATAGGTGCCTGACTTAGATGGTGTGGGTTCAAATCCAGGATGGGACTCAACCCAACAAATGTACTAGAATCAGTACTTTACTGAGAAAGTGTAATCCCAAATATAACATATGTTAACAGGGCGGATACAGCTTTTGGAGAAAGGGGTTATGAAAAGTACATCTACACCCTTTTCACGAGAGTTTTAATGGTCATTTAACAAACTTTCAGAGTAGTGAGATGACAAGCTGGCCACCTCATCTCTGGCTGTCATCAAGGGGTTTGGTTATTGCATGGCCATCTATTCCTGAAGACATGGACAACAGAACTACCTGTGTTAGCAATCCCTTTGTACTTAATGGTGAATGACACTGGCTGTGCTGAGTTGCCCTGGCTATTCAACTTGATGGCCATATGTCTGCCGGAGCTCATGTACGTGTAATTTTTCCCTTTGCCACAAATGTCCCATGAGGCATCATCATTGGACAAATCTGTATTTTCATCTGTAAAACATAAGTAAAGCAAAATGAATTTTTAGCTTTCTGTTTGGAATATTAATCATCAATATGATTAATGTCCATCACTGTTGGCCAAGAGCATGCCATTCTGTACAATATAGCCATCCCAAATGTATATTCTTTGAACTATAGATCTGTCAACTGATGTCTACATGAGTAAATATACGCTTTCAATATGGCTGACAGAAGTAACACCAATGTCAAAGATAAAAGAAAACAATGAAGCAGTAGAAATGTATTACACAGAATCACCCTTGCAGAGGTTTTAGTCTTATGGTCTTAAACTAACCATATATGTCTCAGCTTAACTCTGAAACACTACTCTTTTATGTTGCTGACCATCCCTTAGCAACACAACAGCTTTATCCTACAAATCATGGTGAACAACACAACAGCTTTATCCTACAAATCATGCTGAACAACATTATACAATTATTGACTTTTAATGAGGTTAATCCAATGATTTATCGACCTTGGACATGTGATATTCACCGTGGCGACCTTGACCTTGGACATGTGATATTCACCGAGGCTCTTCGCAATTCTCCTCAGTGAATATCACATGTCCAAGGTGGAGGTTCGCCTCGGTGAATATCACATATCCAAGGTCGATAAATCTTTGGATCAACCGAACTGAAGTCAATAATTGTTTTATCATATGACAAAAGTATTGAATACTGAGACAGTCATGAATCTTCGTGGTGTCGTGTCATCTGCCATTTTGATACAGATGGGACGTAACTCAAAACCAACACAGTCACAGGGACGAAGCGCTGCCTATTGCTTCCTTATCTAGCGTGACGCACGCAATGCAGAGTTCACAGCTGGAATATCCCAAATCTATTTTTAGCCACGGTAGGTGCTTGGTTTGTGATATCAACCTCTCGCGACATGGCGAGGTTGACATTGCTTAGCGTCAAAGCTGTCATGTGGCCAAGTGGGCCAATCAGAAGGGCGGAAATCTACCCGTCATATAATAAAACAGCTTTCCCCTACAAATCATACTGAACAACACAACAGCTTTATTCTACTCCCTACTAACGTGCTTGTTGCCTGATCTGATAATGAAAGTAAGATTGCTCACCATCATACACTGTGATCATACTTCCATCACAGTCAACTGCAAGTCTTGTGATGGACACCAGCACTTTATAGTCTCCCTTGGCTGTGATGTGCCACATGCATGTAACTGCACTGATGAAATTTAAGAAGAAACATTGGTTTCAGTTGTCTGAATTGTGTAACTTAAGACAGAAATGACAGTGAACTTGGCAGTAGACAATGGAGAGTGGGTACTGTGCAACCTGGAATAGTGCAGCAGGAACTGTACAGCAGGAACTGTACAGCAGGTTTTGTACAGCAGGAATGGGACAAGTGTGAAACTGCCGCGAATTGTGCAGCAATGTGAGTACTTGGGGAGCAAAGTCAATACATGGTCAGGAATAGAGAAGCTGGAAATTGTGCATCAATGTGAGGCTGAGTACTTGGGGAGCAAAGGCAATACATGGTCAGGAATAGAGAAGCTGGGAATTTGGCAGCAGAGAAATGGGTAGCCGAGAATTGGGAAGCTGGGAAATTGGCAGCAGGGAATTGTGTACATGGAAATTCGGCAGAGGGGAATTGGGTAGCCGGGAAGTGGGAAGCTGGGAAATTGGCAGCAGGAATTATTGACATGGAAATTTGGCAGCGGGGAATTGGGTAGATGGAAATTTGGACCCAGGGACTTGGGAAGCTGGGAACTCTGCAGCAGGCAACTTGGAAGCTGGAAATGGGGCAATGTGCACCTGGAAACACTGGGAATCTGGCACCAAGGAGGTGAACACAATGGCACATAGATGTATTTGGAAATATATGTCAAAAACATCATCACTGGTTGATAACAGAATTCATTATGACAGATCAAAAAACATGTTAGGAAAATATACATTCTACAACTGATATGGTTCATACATACTGATTGATTGGGTAAACTTTTCTAAACTGGACTGTCCTTTCACGACCAGTTTCTGCTATTAGACCCGCACCACAAATGGCTGAAAGACACAAACTGAGGGTTATACAGGCATTTCATGCTTTCACAGAATGGAGAGTTTCACACTGAAAGCTTCATACTTCAGTATGTACCGATGTCAAGTCACTGAAAATTTCCAAAAACATTAATAGGGTAATCTAAGCATGGACATTAAGCTCTTCCTGGGATGGGTGATGACTTCCTGGGATGGGTGATGACTTGTGAGTGAGTGAGTGAGTGAGTTGGTTTGGTGTGTATTTAGCACCACACAACAATATCAATTTGTTTGTTGTTAAACGTCACGGCTTGAGATTGGGGACACAAGAAATGGACTCCAAACTTTTTACCCATGTAGAAAAAGAAACATGGGGCTTTCGTGTGATGAGCGATGACAGAAAAATTTCACTATATATTGCATAGTTATAATATTAATAAGTACTCCTCCTTGTTCTTTCAACTGTGGAATGGAAATGACCTGGAACAAAGTTTTCAGCTTGCCCAAACACCCCCCTGCCCTCTTTCTTCCTTTCAATGTGAACTTGGGTCACATCCAGCATGGAGTTCTGAAACATGCAGCAGTAGCAGGAGCTACTAGGAAGACTGCCTTGAGAGTGATGCTCTCAATATCTTTGTCCTGAACATGTTCATAGTCAACTGAGGGGAGGCGCATCATCATGGCAGAGTTGTCCGAATGATGCTGGTCAAACACAGATATATGGACCAAGTCATTGATGTGAAGGGAGATTGACCAATGAACAACCACTGCCCTGGCACTTGTTGATAATGAAGAAGCGCACCCCAATCCTGTAGGAACGCATTTCTTCTACTTTTTCTCATATCTCAGTTCACCCGTGAAGATCCAGGTTAGAATTTATCTTCAGTAACCCATGTTCGTCTTAAGAGGCGACTAACAGGATCAGGTGGTCAGGCTCCCTGTCTTGGTTGACACATGTTATTGTATCCCAATTGTGTAGATCGATGCTCATGCTGTTGATCACTATTTACAGACCTCCACCATATAGCTGGAATATTGCTGAGAACGGCGTAAAACTAAACTCACTCACTCACTCATATCTCAGTTGGTGATCACATGATCAGCCTGGTTAGGTCACATGCTCTGTATGAGCTTCCAGCCACGTCCTTCATCAGTAACTGGGGTGTGTTCGGCAGACATGTTTAAAGAGGCTGAAAACTTTGTTTCAGATCGTTTTCACTCCACAGTCAAAAGAATAATGGAATATGCATACCATAAGATGGGATCAGTCGCAAAATAAGTGATATCGTGCAGACATCTTGCAGTGTCTTTAGTTCTGGTAAGCTGTACGAAAGATCGAAAAGATTCTCCTTCACTGAAGTGAGGGTCACCTAAAGTGATTATAAGGAAATCAGAACTGTACCTTTGTCATCAACCCCTTTGTACTTGATTAAGAACGACACTGGCTGTGCTGGCTGACCCTGGCTATTCAACTTGATGGTCATATGTCGACTGGTGCTCACATACGTGTAATTGTTCCCCTTCCCACAAACGTCCCACGAGGCATCATCACTGGACACATCGTCTCCTTTAAAACATAAGGAAAGCAACATGAATTTTTAGCCTTCGGAGTCTTTCATTATTTACCATTAACATCATAAATGTCCATTACTGCAGGGAAATGCATGCAAAAAATGTTTCTGTACAATATGACTATACCAACTGAATGTTTCTGTACAATATGACTATACCAACTGCATGTTTCTGTACAATATGACTATACCAACTGAATGTTTCTGTACAATATGACTATACCAAATGCATGTTTCTGTACAATATGACTATACCAACTGAATGTTTCTGTACAATATGACTATACCAACTGAATGTTTCTGTACAATATGACTATACCAACTGCATGTTTCTGTACAATATGACTATACCAACTGCATGTTTCTGTACAATATGACTATACCAACTGCATGTTTCTGTACAATATGACTATACCAACTGAATGTTTCTGTACAATATGACTATACCAACTGCATATGCTTTGAACTATACATTGGAATAATGAGAGGTGAGGTGAGGTGAAATGGGGTTGAATATTGCACTTGATAATATTTGACGCATATTACGATGTGCATGCGTGTGTATGTTTGGCTGCTTGTACTACCCCAGATTTCAGGTGGTTTTATAGTGCTAGCTCACTGAGATACCATGCCGCAGTTAAGCATGAATACCCCGACCAGACACATTATATTGACTCCGAGCCGACCAGTCCTTGTTGTACCCATTAATGCCGAGCCCCAGGCAGGGACCAACCAGTACCATATTTGAATGTCTTTGGGTATTACAAGGCCATTTACCCTACAACCCATTATCAGCAACATAATCCTACACCCTACTAACGTGTTTGATAACTTATCTGATAATGAAAGTAAGATTGCTCACCATCGTACACTGTGATCATACTTCTACCACAGTCAACTGTAAGTCTTGTGATGGACACCAGCACTTTATAGTCTCCCTTGGCTGTGATGTGCCACACGCATGTAATTGCACTGATGAAATTCAAGAAGAAACATTGGTTTCAGTTGTCTGCAGTATCTAGAATTTGCCAGTGTAAATGTGTATGTCGCATGAAACACGAGGCACCTGAGAATCTGACACCAAGGTGGAGAAATACCACCTTTTACATATGTGGCTAGAGGCAACATTAACAACAACAACACTGGTTTTAAATACATTGGATTATGATATCTCAAAAAAGAAATTCCGAAAAAATGAATATTCTAAAATTGATTTGGTTTATACATACTTATTGATTGGGTAAGCTTTTCCAAAGTGGAACACCCCTTCCTGATCAGTTCCTGCCATTAGACGCTCACCGCACATTGCTGGAAGAGATGAACTGATGGTTACATATATACTGGCATTTCATGCTTTCACAGAATGGAGACTTTCACAATAAATAGAATCTTTGAACGGCAATTTAGAAGTTGGGAAGTGCAAAAGGACAAACTTAAATTGTTGTGTTAAGCAACAAACAACTATGAAATGTTTTTATTCTACTGTTGTTTGTTTAATTAAACCTGTGTAGGTTTGTGGCTTCAGCAAATTTTCAGTCAGGATATACATGTATAAATATAAATAATCCATTTATGATGTGTCAGTAAATGTCTATGGTGCTGCAGCATTACTGTCTCAGTGTGCACATTTTATACTTAATCCTATGGGGAGTATATAAACCATCTGTATCTTATCATACCGGGTACCCAGTCACTGCTGGATGAACATCCTCATATCATGAAGATGTTTTTTGTCCTGAGGAGGCACCATTCATTACCTACATTTCAATTACATCACTGTAGGACACAATGCTGACCTACATTCTTGGCACCAATTACAAAACGTAATGAATTAAGGTAAGAGTTACCGTCTTTGTACTGTGCTTTGAATCCAGAATAAACTATCGAGTTGTCATGGCTCACGAACACTACATACAGACTTTCCATCAGGCTGCGGAATGTTGGCTTGTGAAACCGGCACACTTTTCCTAACAACGGACTATGTTCTGAATCTCCTAAAGGTACAAGAAAGAGGGAAAGAGTTTGTAGTCGTTAACACACACCCTACAACAAATATACCCAGTATAGTCCATGCAAGTGTAGAATATATATATGTGGCAAGTATAGATTACCACAGTCTCAGGGTCTGTACAAATCTGCTATACCCATGAAGATCTGGGTTAGAACTGGTCTTCAGCACACCATGCTTGTCGTATAAAGTGACTAACATCATGGTCTGGCTTGCTGACTTGGTTGACACGCCATCGTATCCCAGTTGCGCAGATCAATGCTCATGCTGTCGATCACTGGATTGTCTGTTCCAGACTTGATTATTTACAAACAGCTGTCATATAGCTGGAATATTGCTGAGTGTGGCATTAAACAACAAATAAACAACAGTCTGAATAACCTGTCTATTCATTAGCACCTTTTGTATATGGAGGAAAATAGGCTACGTACCATCATGAACAAGAATATATTCTTCACTGCAGTTATAGCCAATATCAGTAAATGTGAAGTTCAAAACAGGATGTTTGTTTGGTGTCCCAGACCTTATGAGATATGTGCACCTCTGAAAACTAATATGGAAAAGTCAATCATTAGTATCACCATGGAAACAGGCAAACGTAATCAGAATGTGGAACCAGAGGCAAGCATTATCAGAAAGTATTTTGGAAACATAAAGTAAAACATCAAAAATTCAATAAGAAATTTAACATTATCAGAAAATAAGACAGAAATACAAAAGCAAAGATGACAAGAAAGTAAAACATTTTCAAAAAGTGAAATAATCAAATGGTTTAATAGAAGCAGAAAGGCAAACATAAACACACAGCCAAACAGGCCCAGGTTTATCAGAAAGTAAAGAATTGTCAGAAAGTCAAACATCATCAGAAAGTGAAAATACAAAAGTATAGCAGAAACACAAAGAAAAACAAAACCAGAAAGTCAAACATTACCAGAAAGTCAAACATTACCAGAAAGTCAACCATTACCAGAGAGTTAAACATCATCAGAAAGGCAAAATACAAAAGTATAGCAGAAACATAGTAAAAACCCAGAAAGTCAAACATTATCAGAAAGTCAAACATAATCTGAAGGCTAAGATCAACAGTGTCCTAAGAAGCTGACATTATCCAGTATAAAAAACAGTTGTTACCATTTTCAGTGAGTAGGAATTTGTATGAATGTCTTTTCAGCAGCTTTTCACAAAATTCCATTAGTGTCATGGCATAGGATATATTGCAGTGATATCAGACTTAACCCATATGTTATAAACTTCAGCCTGTAACCTATGCATTGTTCTGGAATTGTCACTCCTATCAGGAGCCGATATGGCTTACATATAGGTACCATCACCATCCGTTGTACGGTGTAAGGGAATTGTCTGACCATGTGATGGTTTATCTTGTAAAGGGAGTCTAAATTTGGTCCAACTGTCTGTGACAGCATGTTTGATTTAAAAATTCAAAGCTACCTTTCTCTTCACGTTTACTCAAAAATGAAATGGAAATATAGAAATTAATTTAGCCACACTTAATTCATAGACACCTAATTATTTGAGTTAAGGAAACAGCATTTTTATGAATGATGTATTCACATCTTGCATCTTGCTGTATAGCATGGTTTTAGTGTGGAGATATTCAGTTCATGTGGAACTGTTTGCAAAGCATGTGAATTTGTCATACCCCCAACATTGTTGAAATCATATTATTTGATTTCACTTGTAACATGGCTGATGATAGTTAGCTTCGATACGGTTGCAGGTAACTACCTAGAATATGCTTGATCATAACTACCTGGGATACACTTGATGATAACTACCTGGGATATGCTTGATGATAACTACATGGCATATGCTTGATGATAACTACCTGGGATATGCTTGATGATAACTACCTGGGATATGCTTGATGATAACAACCTTGGATATGCTTGATGATAACTACATGGGATATACTTGACGATAACCACCTAGTATATGCTTAATGATAGTTACCTGGGATAAGGTCGAGGGTACAGGTTTGATTTCAGGATTTGAAATTTCTTGTCATTTGAATCCAGTACCTTATGGCATTTACCTGGCAGAAGAGACACATATCTAAATGTGAATATCTTAATACAGCAATTATTAAACATTAATCCTTATGTAAAAAATGTAAACATAACGGACATATTTTAAGTGTCGTCAATATCAGACTGTTGTACAAAAATTAGTCATTAAGTGAGATAAATCAATCAATCATGTGGTACATCATCAGCCCGATCTAGTCATCAATCATCTGAAAGGCCATCTTTCAATCATCTGGAAGACCAAGACTTGACTTACAATCAAATCATATAGAAGACCATCTCATCTGGAAGACCATCTTAAAGACTTTGACTTACTATCAATCATCAATCATCTGGAAGACCATCTTCAAGACTTGACTTACTATCAATCATCTGGAAGACCATCTTCAAGACTTGACTTACTATCAATCATCTGGAAGACCATCTTCAAGACTTGACTTACTATCAATCATCTAGAAGACCATCTTCAAGACTTGACTTACTATCAATCATCTGGAAGACCATCTTAAAGACTTGACTTACTATCAATCATCTGGAAGACCATCTTAAAGACTTGACTTACTATCAATCATCTGGAACTAGTGGAAGACCATCTTCAAGACTTGACTTACTATCAATCATCTGGAACACCATCTTCAAGATTTGACTTACTATCAATCATCTGAAAGACCATCTTGAAGCCTTTTCTTTCCTGTAATGAAGTTGGACTAGGTCTGTACACAACCATGATGTTTGGGATAAAGAACTCGTACATTCTGTTCTGAATCCTGCCACACAAAACTGCTAGCGTTGTATTCTTTGAAGACGTGGCTGTAAGCAAAGTACATTCTTTATTAGGGCATGTATATTGGAAAAGAATAATGTGAATGTTCCCTAGACAGAAACATGACTGTTGAGGGGCTGACAAGTCCCATTTCTGCAGGCCCAGGGCAAGTGAATTTGCTGTACTTTTTCTTGATGGGGGAGCGGACATGAGCTGCTTGTGGCAGTTACAAATTAGTTACTTCCAACATACTTCTCGCCCAGAGAGCTACCTGCTTTTCAGCAGGAACAAATCCATAGTTACCTACTTTTCAGTGGGAACCTGGTCTTTCCTGACTTTTTAACTGTGGAATCGAATATAGCTTCTGCTGGACAATCATTTGCCACATATATTGGCCTGGCAGCGGTACAAGTAGTTGCCACAATACTTTTACTAATCAGGGTCAGACAGTGATAGTTGCCAGTTTGGCCATATGCTGTCTGGCTAGCTGCTACAGGTCAGCAATGTTTGCTGCTAATTGTCTTTGACAGCCTGGTAGTTTCCACGCAACAATAGCTTACTCATAACTATGTACGCTAACAGTACCAGGCAGAGGCAGTTGCACAGAGGCCAGCAGTGGTAGCAGCGCCAATTGCGTAGTTGCCACGGCAACAATATCTTACTCATAACTATGTACGCTAACAGTACCAGGCAGAGGCAGTTGCACAGAGGCCAGCAGTGGTAGCAGTGCCAATTGCGTAGTTGCCACGGCAACAATATCTTACTCATAACTATGTACGCTAACAGTACCAGGCAGAGGCAGTTGCACAGAGGCCAGCAGTGGTAGCAGCGCCAATTGCTTAGTTGCCACGGCAACAATATCTTTTTCCTGAAATTAACTTGCAGCTGAATGGCCCACTAGTAACTATATTCCTTCAGCCATGTTAATCTGCTCTAATATAGCATCGTTCTGATAGGCGCGGGCATCCAGGGTTTGGTAGCCCGCCCCTCACCTTCGGCACATCGCGTCATTAACTTTAATCACCAGGTTTACTTTAATCATTACACTATCTAAGCTGTGAATCAACGAGGGGAGAGAGCCGCACTCTGTTGTATTTGTCAAGTGAGCAGACTAAATAGCGCATGTCGTTACACCTAATAGAGCACATTAACACAAGTACATAATTTATCACAAGTGTTGTTAATCATTATATTTATAATTGAATCTGGGTCAGGCATGTTCCAGTACACACAAGCATTGCTGCCAGTAAGCTATTTGAGGCCTGTCCCCACAGTTTTTCATGGAAAGAACCAGCAGAAACATTCTCTCATTAAAGACTTTGACTGAGGAAGGAACAGAACGATAAGGTTTCTGCAACACCTTTTCTGTATTCACCGGATAAGGAGATAACTGAATTCCTGCGTACAGCAGCATAAAATATAAGAACATGTTGAAATTCAAAATATTTACATTAATAGGATTCAGCTTTTGACCTGAAGAGTGTATTTACAATAATATATTTGACTTCTGATTACCCACATTCGATTCCCCACATGAGTACAATGTGTGAAGCCCATTTCTGGTGTCCCCCGACGTGATGTTGCTGGAATATTGCTAAAAGCGGCGTAAAATCTAACTCACGCATTCACTCACTCCAACATTCTTTAATACTTTCACTGCATTTGGTAAACTAATTTCTGAATTTTTTGATATATTTTATATCAGATTAAGAAATGTTCAGCTAAGAGAGCTTCGAAAATCTCGACGCAGGATATTTAAAAAACAAACTTAATATTGTCATATGAAATGTACTACCAATGAACCACATTTGGTACCCCAACAAACTGTCGAATTAATGTAACCGAAAACTAAGACTTATTATTAAAGTTCTTCAAATGAAACAAATATTTCAAAATGATAAATAGAAATCTCATAGGATCAGCAGACCATATGTTTCATTGTACATATCTTAAAAGACTCACATGCATACACTGTGACAGATTCCGAATCACATTTACTGGTATCTTCGATGTCCACGTCAAATTGTAGTTGGATGGTTTTGTTCTGTTGGAACATGGTGCTGGCATCCAACTCCCATCGGCATTCTCGACTCCTGCAACATGGACGACATGTGACAAAACATCGCAAACATACCTCACTATCTGGGGTGAAACTACACATCGGTGCATGGTGAGTTTTCATGCGATACACTTCTTTCTATATCGGTACAAGACGATACACTCGCTAAAATGCTTACAACTCATTGAATGACACTCACCATTAAAATTTCGTCATGTAGTCAAATATTTAAAAAAATTGTAATCAATGATTCAATGTACTACTAACAATACCTGTGACAAACTTACTTAAATGGGTATCTTTTCTGTTAGAACCTGCTCTGAAATATTTATATACAAGAAGTGTCTATGCCATTTGATGTGAGTATGTGTATTGCAATATGTATCATATCGTTACCTGCGTATCATGATATGTATCATATTGTTTCACACCTACTTCTTGCTAGACTCATGCAACATTAGATTTATGCTTCGACGAAACCTTAGTCTCAGAAAACAATAAATTTGGATCATACAAACAAATATCTCCACTGAAGCTGAAGCTAGGCCAAGTAGGAACTTGACGAAAATCTAGGCCTTTTTATGTAGGGTTTTGCATTACAGTTAGGGTTAAGCGGAGGGGATTAGGAGGGTTGAGCGATTGTGTGACAGACTATCTTATCCATATACTTAAGGGTGACCAGTAGTGGTGTGATGCTTCACTGATACGCATCCATGGGCCGCCGATACAGTGAATCAATACAAAGTTTTACATTGTCATATCTCCCGATACGATATTTCAAATGGGCCACGATACTTTGATGTTTTACTTTTGAATATTGCCAAATCGCGATATCTGTCAACAAAGTCTTACTTTTGTTTGATGATTAAAATATATGTATACATATATTCCCTTCATAAGTTTCTCGGAAATTCTTGCGTCAGGAACTGTGTCAAGCATAGCACTCGCATTTTATTATCATTCACAAAGTCTGTGTTAAAACTTAATTATCTCATTTCCGAAGGAACATTGAAAAATGCTAGTAAGGAAATACTTTAACATGGTGTTGTTTTGATCTTAAGGTGTTGGTGTTGGTGTTGGTGTTGGTGTTAGAATTAAAGATTTTAGTATTGTGATATGTATCGTATTGTCACCCTCATATTGGCATTCGTATCGTATCGAAGCTTCATTGCACAATACTTTGGCAATATATCGTCGTGACTAAAATTGTAGTATTGTGATGTATCGTATCGCAGTTTGTATGCCAATACTAGCACTCGTGACCAGATGTTAGCTGATACAATAATACATGTACAGCTTTGCCGTCATTCAACTATAACTGGAAAGTTCTTTGATTTAGACAGTAACTATTACAATATAATGCCTTTGGTCAACAGAAAAACAAATAAATGTCTGTTTACAAAATCTCATAACAAATCAGATCTGTAGGTGATTGGAGTTTGTTCTGACCTGGAGTCTCCTATATGCTTTATTCTATTCTGAGGTTGAATCCCGTTGAGGAGATAACATAAAATATCTTGTTTGTTTGTTTTTTAACGCCGCACTCAGCAACATACAAGCCATATGGCAGGGGTCTGTAAATAATCCAGTTTGGACCAGAAAATCCTGTGATTAACATCTATGTAATTGGGATATGATGACATGTGTCAACCAAATCAGAGTGAGTGAGTTAGTGAGTGAGTTGGCTGGTTTGTTGTTTATCGCTGCACTCAGCAATATTCCAGCTATATGGACTGAGTGAGTGAGTGAGTGAGTTGGTTTGTTGTTTATCGCTGCACTCATCAATATTCCAGCTATATGGGCTGAGTGAGTGAGTGAGTTTGGTTTTAAGCTTTCAGCAATGATCCAATACCATCATGACAACAGACACCTGAGGTTTCACGTTATTTCCATTCAGGAAATAAAACTTCAGCCTTCAGACTGGTGCATGAATACTTAGCCCACTAGACACACACTTAGCCATACTAACATGACATCCTAAAACTCTCTTACTGTTCATTTCCAGTGAGATACCCTTCTGATCGGACTGCATAGCTTAAAGTGTCGTACACTCGCAGTTGCTTCACACAGTCAGCATCTGTCAAGCATAAAAATAATACTACCATCATGACAACAAACATTATGTATATGTACATTTCATGTCATGTAACAGATTTAGAAGTGATGGACTCGTTGCACATATGCAAGTGATCAGTTTATTGAATAAAAATAACATAGATAATTATTTATAGCCCATGAAGGAGTTTGTCTTAAATCTGAGTGAGCATTAATACATGTATATCAAATAAATACATGAATACATGTATATCAAATAAATACATAAATACATGTATATCAAATAAATACTTAAATACATGTATATCAAATAAATACATAAATACACGTATATCAAATAAATACATAAATACACGTACATGTATATCAAATAAATACATAAAAACATGATCATGATTACCTACAAATTTACAAAAGCATGAGAAGGGAAAACATTAACGGTTTATATTCAACAAAGAAATTGATATTGGTACGAGAAATTTCATAACACTTGGATTTTCACATCGGTACATTATACCGACAGCCAGAGGGCAGAAGTTCATAACTTTCACGTAAAACATGAGAGGGATCAGTAATAATTTTTGTAGCTAAATTTAGAGACTTTCTTCCATGAAGTTCATGTATTCTCTTAAAGATGTGATTAGTAATTTTCTGTCCTTGTTGTATAATCTTGTTTAGCTTGTTTTTATTACCGAGTGAAAGGGAGCTGAACCAACACTCGGAATAGAGAACAGGAGGATGGATTTGTACACAATCCACAATAACCATGTAATGTTCAAATATATTTTATCTTTATTGAAAATCCTCAATGTCACTAGCATTAACTGAATCACCTTTAGAGCTACCTTAGGAACCGTTCATAATTTATGGCTCTAGGTGTGTGTGTGTGCGCGCGTGCGTGCGTGCGTGCGTGTGTGTGCGATTGTTATGGGTAAGCATGTACAATGTGAGTGACCCCCCTAAAATTTATGTACAAAGTTAGTGACCCCTCCTCCATGTCATGTACAAAATCAATGAACCCCCCTCCCGTTCGATGTTTATTAAGCTTAAGTTTTTACTGTTTTTATGTACAAAATTGCTGACCCTCCTCCACCCCACCCCAGTACATGTGTACAAAATTGATTAACCCCCTACCTCCCCAGGACAAAATGGGTGACCCCCCCTTAAGCCATAATTTATGAACGGTCCCTTAATCAGCATTCGTAGTTGTAGCAGCACAAACAGAGGTAGCTGAAATAGCAAAGGTATTCCCTAAAGCAGTATTTGGGACTGATCAGTGGCTATTTACTGCTCAAAGTCAGTTAAAGGCACAATGTCACACATTTTCGACAGTATTTTGGCTTATATTTTATATATTGGTGGCATATGCACACACTTTGGCTTCCTGTTGATGCAAATTATAAAAGACTTATTATCTCTGACAACTTCCTGAAATCGATAATTGAAAGTTCAAGGCAAACAGCTTCCAAACAGGTAACACTTGCCATATATGGAATGTAAACGATTGCTCCATACATCGAAAACTGTCGCACTGGTTTCAATCACAAATTGCATTATAGGATATTCATTATGAGCGCTTCAAGGGACATAACTCTAAGGGGTTCGCTTGAAATAATGTTCGGTCGGTAGAGGGCACGAGACTTGATTTAAAATCAATGCAGTGTTACATTAATTCATTCAAACTTTTCAATTTAATATTGAAATCTAAACACATAATTCTTTTTTAACAAATTATGTGATATTTTCCCTGAGGGCTGGTAGTTATATAGTATTACTGAGAGAAATGCATTATGTATTTTTAGAGAAATGTGGTGCAAAATTGTGCCTTTAACCCTAAGGGTCACTTATATGATATAAATATTACAGTAGAATTAAGGGATCAGATGATACGCAACTTCTTTTGAGTAGTACACATATCTTATGCCATAATTATAAATAATAGGATCGTGTACGGGGGGTTACTATTTCACAGGGATGTTATGTAGATTGACACCGCCGTGAGGAATGTGTTGAGGACACACGCACTGCACTGTACTGTGGTGGCCTCTGTGGTGCACCGCCGTCAGGGTGCATCTTGAACTATCTACAGCCACACTGTTGTAATTATCAAAATACATTTTCATATGTGGAGCTGGGGTGTGATTGTATGTCGGTTTGTCAAAGCCTACCTCTCGCTTGACCCACAACTTGAACACAAACGAAACAGGATGCGATGAAAGCTGCCCAAAGATGTAGATGCTCATGAAACAATCCTCTTGCTATCATTCTTCGCTCAGACGATATGAGAAGGCTGATCCTTCGGTTCGTTGAACAGTCATGGGAAGCCGTGATGCTTTACTCCGGTGCTCTCTCAAGCTGACACAGGTGCTGTGTTAAACAATGCCCCGTGGAATTTGAGCATCAGGCGTTTCCCTCGCAGTCACGAGACGTATCGGAAGATGGGAAACAATTTTGAATTTCCTTTTATGTCGTTGGTGTTTAAACTGGCACCTGTATTTCAGGTATAAATACATCGCCAATTGGCCACAGCCAGGTTGAGAAATTACCTCAAAATCTTTCTGACCAAGATGCTCTTGAAAGTTACAAGCCAACATCAAATATCGCCAGCTGTAGGGGGTGGGGTAACGTAATGGATAAGCGTCTGGTGTTCCCTGCCGTGATATTGCTGGAATATATTGCTAAAAGCGGCGTAAAACCCAACTCACTCACTTCAGCTGGAGACTGAGATTGACTGTGTGCATGCGATGGACGTAACAAGGAACAAATCACCATTAAAGTGAGTGAGTTTAGTTTTACGCCGCACTCAGCAATATTCCAGCAATATGGATGCGGTCTGTAAAAGATCGAGTCTGGACCAGACAATCCAGTGATCAACAGCATGAGCTGACCATTAAAGAAGATAAATGAAAACAATATTAAGAAATATGTTAATTACTCATACAAAGTATACATTTACACATTAAAAATCATGTCTCATTCAAAATTATTCAAAAAGCACAAACAGATCTCCAACAGGATTGGTCATACTCGCGTTGCAGTGTCTGTCAAAGTGGAGAGACGTACATCTTGTTTTGTTTTGAGTGTATTGTCTACATGAAACTGGAGTGCTTTTCGGTTACTATCGGAATATAGAAGACGCAACAAAAAGAAGATTATTGTGTACTAGCTACAGTCCATTTGAGACAAAATGATGCCGATGAATTGCTTTTGGCGCTGTTCCTTTAGTTGCCACTGCATCCTTGTAACAAACTTGGAAAACGCACAAATAAATGATGACAGTTTCTTAAACAACTTTTTTAAATTTTGTGACACAAATTTTGCAATGTTTTTCTAGAGTTGGTCTGTTGTTTTTATTGCAGTCCGCGTTGGTTTGATTCTGTTATGTCTATTTGTTTTTGATTGCAATTCATCGTTATCATTTTGTCTCAAACGGACAGTAATTCATCAAACAAAACCAAACAAAATATGTCATTTCTCTATTTCCATGCGCAAAGGCCGATTCAGTGCGGAGGAAAGTTTGGAAACAGCTACGTCAGCATGGAAAACATTAAACAGAAACCATATAGCCTTCTCCCTGAGCACATGAACAACTTTAAAACATGTCTCTAAGTTCCAAACGAGTGAGTGAGTTTAGTTTTACGCCGCTTTTAACAATATTCAGGCAATTTCACTGTGGAGAACACCAGACATGGACTTCACACATTGTACGCATGTGAGGAATCGGGTCTTCGACGTGACGAGCGAACCCTTTAACCATTAACGCCCACTTGCATCAGAGTATTTTTTTTAAGGGTCGTCCGAAAACGTATGATGCCCGAAAACATATAGTTCAAGACATATATATAACAACCTGAATCCCATCTCTGGATCCTCTATACCGATAAGTTTTATCGTGATATTCTGTCTAAATCTAGGTAAAATAAGAGTAGGATAAAAACCTGTTTAGGTGTAGTGTGCATGTGGTATACAGGTTCAGAGACAATATTCAATACTGGTCTTCAGCAACCCATGCTTGACTCCTTGACAAATACCTCTGCTCGTGCAGACCTGTGAAGATCCGGGTTAGAATTGGTCTTCAGCAACTCCTGCTTGTCGTAAAACGCAACTAACGGGATCGAGTGGTCAAGCTCGCTGACTTGATTGATACATGCCATTATATCCCAATTGCGTAGATCGATGTTCGTGTTGTTGATCACTGGATTGTTTGGTCCAGATTCGATCATTTACAGACCGACGCCATATAGCTGGACTATTGCTGAGTGCGGCGTTAAACAACAAACAAACAGTCAAAATTTGCATGACCAGTTTGAAAAGGAAAGGTGAGATAATATTGTTTAAGATATTCGCCGGTATATTTTGGGGTAACCCACTCAGCAACCGCGGCTTCCCTATGTGGACTCAACCCAACAAAAGTACTAGAATCGGTATTTTACTGAGAAAGTGTAATTCCAAATATAACACGTGTTACAGGTACGGATTCTGTCTTTTGATGGAGTGTTAATCTTCCACTCTCAATTTGAAGGATGAAAACGCCGAGTCTGACTCTTGTGTTTTGGGGTGTTCAAATGAGGTCGTTCTTTCGAATGTGACTTAATTTCGACCGAGTCAAGCGTCAATGTACAGCTTTCATTAATATTTCGGAAGAGATTGTTACCGTAGGCCTGACCAGGGACCCGTTTCACAAAGATATATGGTAGCGCTACGACTGTCGTACCTCCTACACTGTATAACATAGACTTACGACAGTCACATAGCTTTGTGAAACGGGCCGGTCATCTCACCGTTGTATAGATGTTGACTGAATTGGCTCATGTGTTCAGTTGTTCTTCTTTATTGAGACATTAGTATGTAACGATTTCTCGGTGTCCCACAGCCAAAAGTGAGTTACATTTTACGCCGCTATTCCAGCAATACACAAAAACAGAGCTCTTATCATTCCAGAGAATGCAGTTTCACGTTAGAATGTACAAGGCACCAATGTAGAAAGGTCTGTCAATATTACATTTACTTCCAAGTATTTGAATGGAAACCACTATATCTCAGTTTATTCTACACTTTACAGTAACAAAATTGGAAAAAATATTTTTATATTTATTTTAAACACCCCAATTTTCATAGGCGTAGGAACAGTTTAAAAGTTGGGGGCAAGATTTCGAAATTGATAACGGGGGGTGGGGTGTGGGGTGGAGAGAGGAGGTATATGAAGAGGACAGACGAGTTCACTTGCTTTGCAATTTCTCCACAAAGAGTGTCCCAGCCCTTGTCTGCAGCTTTAGAATACTTCACAAGAAGGTCTTTATAATTACTTATTCTCTTTATATTTGGTGTTAAATATCTGAAAAATAAGAAATTGGAGTCACTGTCATTTTTACTTTATGATAATCATATTTTGGGTGCTGACAAATAGAACAATAGTACTGAAAAACAATAGTTTTATAGTATAAATATATTATAATTACATTCAATAACAAGGCAGAAGTGAGCACAGCTCACATACCCCCGCTTATAGTCTGATCGCCTCCAATACCATTATTGAATACCAAAATAATATTTTAGGAAAACTTTCAATTTTGGCATCATGCAATTGAAAGCCAAAATCCGCAATGGCACCATAAGGGTAAGTTCCATGCCAAATTTGAAGTTTGTAAGTGGTATAGTTTTTGAGTTATGCTCAGAGAAACCATTCCGGACGCAAGGACGCACGGACACACGGGTATAATGCAGCCATTCTTATTTCATACATGAATTCGGCTTTCAGATAACACCAGCTCTCTCACTGCCAATGTATGAGTTTGAAATCGTGTCTTATTGTTTTATTGTTTAGATGTTCAATAAATAAATCAAACAGCACCTATTATACTTAAAATATGGCTATTACTGTAAACTAAATGTTACTGTATAGACTACACTGTAATGTCAATGTATGTTGTCAACTTACCGCTGATTCGAATCCATGTTGGCTGTTAATAACAGCCTGACTGCCTCTACTTTCAGTTTTGAGTGACATGAATTAAAAAATTTGGATTCTATCATTAGCGGAATTTTTTTTTTTTATCATGTTATTTTTTCAACGTTACCAGAGGCTTGAATTTGTGTTTAATTCTCTATTATGGTCCCTAAAAAAAATTCCAGCTTGTAAAAATATGGGGGGGGAGCACCCCCCATATTTTCTTCTGGGGGGCAGCTCTCCCCCCCCAAGTTCCTACGCCTATGATTTTATTCAATTTTCATGTGTCACAACTCCAGTGGCAGATGTGCAATTTGATTGTTTTGTCTTTGTCATGTTTTTTAAAAGAAATTATGTAACATATCATAATTAATGATGTTACAGCTACATGCTTGGCGTGATTTGGCCTTTTTGTACAGAAAATCATTTTGTAAAAGAAGGTCAACTTTGTCACAAGGTTTGATGTCACTACTGTAACACACACACACACACACACCACCCCCCACCTAAAAAAACCCAACATTAATAAAACAATTACAAAAAATTGCAATAATGATTACTCCCTGTATTGTTTTCTAATTCAACTTCATCTGCCCAAGCAATGGCAGTGAGAAAACATGGCTGTCAAACACTGACAAAAAACAACATTTTTCTGAATTTTATCGCAAAACGTGTGTGCAAAATGGTATGTGAGATTTTGGCATGTCCTAACCGTTACCTACATGAGATGACTCTCTCTCACACACTCTCTCACACCCCGACAATTAAGTTTGATCTCGACTATGTATGTTATGCACCTTCCAAATCACCTGCCTTTCGCAACAAAATCACAGTAGAATTTGCAGAAAATGTCCCTATCTAGGCTATTCTTTACTAGTAAAACTGTAATTAAGCAGATAAGTAAGGTGTAAGCACATAAGAAAGGTCTGTCAGCAGTCATTCCTCAGGTCCTTGCCCATGGCCGAGCCTCAAAAGAGTGAGTTGGCTTTGATGCCGCTTTTAGGAATATGCTAGCAACTGTATACCAGATATGGGCTTCACACTTTGGACCCTAGTGGGGATCCCAATGCATAAGTGAGTCTGATTTCACCTTCATCTGGACAGTATTTCAGCTGTATGAAGGATGGGCTGCTGTAAATAAGGATGATACAAGGGTGAGCCGACGTCAGGATACTGACAAGGCTAAGGGAGACAACCCTGTACAGAGAGTTGTAACGTCTCGCAGACCACTACACAATTGTACAGCTCCGTGACTATCTGAATGCATGCTAACACTGTTGTAGCTGTCACTATTCCTACGATAATAAATCAACAGAAGCCCTTCATAAAACAACAGATCTATTTAGAAAAAGTAACAGATAACTTTACAAAAACAGTTTTATGCAATACACACATATGGATTGACAATCGTCATAATTATATGACAACATGGATGGATAATGCCTTTGACCGACACTTACAAGTGATAGACATAAAGACATAAACGTAGATTTTCGAAGCTCTCCTAGTGATAAGATGGTCATACCCGTAAGTGCCATACATTAACATGAATTTATGACTATCTTAGCTCCAAGAGAGCTTCGAAAACCTAGGCCATGGACATTTTAATGATATCAACTTATATATAATATTCGGAACTTGACGTATTGGAATATATTCTTACCCCTAAAAAATAAAGTTGACATCTATAAAAATGCATTTCTTTAAGGAAAGATAGTCTGATACCTTAAGGAAACACAGTAAGCTACATTCTTCATACACAAAAACACTGCCAAGTGTAACTTTCAATAACATCAAAGGATGGGAAGGCGAAAGGGTCCTTAAGGTCGGTTCCAGGATCATTGCACTTAATAGAGATGTGTGTGTGTATATGCGTGTCGTGCGCTCTTGTACAAGTCTTTCTAACCTATACTTCAGGCATATACTGTGTGACCTGTACTATATACTACACATCAGTCATATGTTTTGTTACTTTTTTCCAGAACATCAGGAATATTCTTTCAAGTCAATGGTGTGGACCAGTTCTTTCTGACCAATGCCCTGTGAAGATCCAGGTTAGAATTGGTCTTCAGTAACCCATGCTTGTCGTAAGAGGCAACTAATGGGATCGGGTGGTCAGGCTCGCTGACTTGGTTGACACACGTCATCGTATCCCGATTGTGTAGTTCGATGCTCATGCTGTCAATCACTGGATTGTCTGGCCCAGCCTCAATTATTTACAGACCGCCACCATATAGCTGGAATATTGCTGAATGTGGCGCGTAAAACTAAACTCACTCACTTATAGGCAGCATTGACTTGGCTTTGCCTGTTCCAGACTGCAATGTTTACAGGCTTTCATAGACCTGTGATGATCTGGGTTAGAGTTGGTCTTCAGCAACCCATGTTTGTCAGAAGAGGCAACTTATGTGATCGTTCCTGAGAGTGGCCTTGTACAAATACACAAAAAAGCAACCGAATTGCCCCTTCTTTGAATGAGTCACTTATCACCTACCCTGGTAACGTCTCTTTAAAAGTAAAATTGTACTGATGTACAGACATGATTCCTCAAAACCTAGTTTCAGAGTCTTTTTCTATCATTCCTTTTGACACAGCATCTTCATAACTGGGAGGTAGCATAGATGGCCCTGTTGGGTCTGTGACAGGCAGGAAGTTTACATCCTGGTACGCTGGTGGCGGTGCACTAGGATCTGTGGTACTGCGGTGTGAGGTGGCCGTGAGAAAAGGGGCAGCCTGGTCCCGTGTCTGAGGATGTGGACCAGCAGATGTCTGGACAGCTGGAGACTGGGTTCTGGACCTTGAGGCTATTTTGATTACCACAGCTATGATTATGATGATGACGATGACACCAGCAATGAAACCTATTATTGCTGTGACTGAAATATTCGCGCTGGAACTGGTTTGAACTTGATCAGTTATTGTGTCGTCTGAAACAGAGTACCAAAAAAACACTTGTAGCTTATATATATAGACTATTAACCTCGTGTGTTTCTGTATCATTAATATCATATATTAGGAATAAAACATATTTTTTATTCCTAACATAAGATATTAATGATATGGAAACACACAAGGTTAATAATCTCTTTATCATATGTTATTCTTATAATTACTCCAAAAACAGAAGCAAATTGTATGTGAATTTATATAAAGAGAATCGAGCATTCGCGTAAGAATACTTCGCGGTACACCAAGGTGTAAGGCCGTTCGTGAAGGTCGCCTGTAAACTCGCGACATCATCAATGAAATGTTAAAACGTTTTAGGATTCGCATGGCGTGTATGGGGTTTGGTGAAAGTAGTTGGTGTATTGACCTAATTTGCATATTTATCAGATTTGGATACCAAGTGTATCAGATTGATTAAAACATTAGAGCCATATTAGAATGAACAAATTATATTTTTGTTATGTTGAGACACATACATGGTATGGATGAATGCTGAAGTGATACATACGTTTATCAATCGCCTGGTATTTAATCTTGAAACCTGTCCCAATTCCAACCTCATTGGTCAAAAACACAATTGTCATATTTTGACCTTCGCTGTAGAAAACTTTCTTCTCCACGCCACACCAAACTATCTCTGGGTCCTTGAGCAAGTCAGACACATGCCCTGAAATGATATGACGACTCAATTAGGTACCGTATGTAACCGTAGATGAGCTGATCTTATAGATAGGCCAAGGTCCTAACTTGACCTATAAAATCTGTATCCAGATGGTATGTTCTGTACATAAGTCGACCTACCAACCTTCGGTGATCTTCTTGTTACGTTCTGTCAGTGGACATAGAGTATCAACAAATCCTTATTGGATTCTCCTCTTGTTAAACGGATTGAAATCTTATCTCATGATCAAATATGCTCTTTGCATATCAGGACTTATGTTTGCAATCTAGTTTATTAATTTTACTCCAAATGTCATTCAAAAATGTTTACATTAACTCCGGTGAAATCGTGTGTCCCTCCGTTGCTTTGTTTGGTCCTCAAAATTTAACTTATCTATGGTAATATACGGTACAAACTAATAAATCTGAACAAAGATCAAGGGATCGGATACTTAATATTCTGATGAAGCCAATGGTTACAATGTAAGTACTAATTTTCAAATATTTCCCAGGCACCTCCTAGGTGATGTGTAAGTTTAAAGTCTAATATTAGGTAGCATGTGTCTATAAGTCTCATGGTGTGGTTGACTAGCTAAAGGTGCATTTTAACCGTGCCACTTGTAGTAACAACTTGTAGCAAGTGACAGTTGCAATGTGAGAACACCCAAATCTTAACGATTTGAAATCGAATAAAACTAGTCGCAGCTGAATTGAAAGGCACAGAATTTGTCCTAATTCCTATTACAAGTTACAAGCTCTTGACCAATCAAATTGCTAAGATCTGCATCCACCTCACAATGATGTCCCTTTTGTTTATGTTGACATCATGAAAATAACTGACCTTACCAGAGAAACTGAATGGTTTAAAGGTATTTACATGTCACAGGAATACTTAATGTACACCATGCCACCTATTCTGAACGGACTGTAATATATAGACTGACATTAATGCTAGCTTTCCTTCACTCGATGAATCCACGTTGCTGAGTCAGACAGGAGAATCTCACGAGATATGTATAAAAAGTACACAAATAACAAAGTTGTTACAATCTTTGTTACTACAAGTCATACGCTACAAGTTGTTACTACAAGTCATATGCTACAAGTTGTTACTACAAGTCATACGCTACAAGTTGTTACTACAAGTCATACGCTACAAGTTGCTACTGCAAGTTATACGCTACAAGTTGTTACTGCAAGTCATACGCTACCCGTTGTTACTACAAGTCATACGCTACAAGTTGTTACTACAAGTCATACGCTACAAGTTGTTACTGCAAGTCATACGCTACCCGTTGTTACTACAAGTAATACGCTACAAGTTGTTACTACAAGTCATACGCTACAAGTTGCTACTGCAAGTTATACGCTACAAGTTGTTACTACAAGTCATACGCTACAAGTTGCTACTGCAAGTCATACGCTACCAGTTGTTACTACAATTCACGCTACCCGTTGTTACTACAAGTCATACGCTACAAGTTGTTACTGCAAGTCATACGCTACAAGTTGTTACTACAAGTAATACGCTACAAGTTGTTACTACAAGTCATTGTTAGCTACAAGTCATACGCTACAAGTTGCTACACTACAAGTTGTTACTGCAAGTTATACGCTACAAGTTGTTACTGCAAGTCATACGCTACAAGTTGTTACTGCAAGTCATACGCTACAAGTTGTTACTGCAAGTCATACGCTACAAGTTGTTACTACAAGTCATACGCTACAAGTTGTTACTACAAGTCATACGCTACCAGTTGTTACTACAAGTCATACACTACAAGTTGCTACTGCAAGTCATATGCTACAAGTTTCTACTGCAAGTCATACGCTACAAGTTGTTACTACAAGTCATACGCTACCAGTTGTTACTACAAGTCATACACTACAAGTTGCTACTGCAAGTCATATGCTACAAGTTTCTACTGCAAGTCATACGCTACAAGTTGCTACTACAAGTCATATGCTACAAGTTGCTACTACAAGTCATACGCTACAAGTTGTTACTACAAGTCATACGCTACAAGTTGTTACTACAAGTCATACGCTACAAGTTGTTACTACAAGTCATACGCTACAAGTTGTTACTACAAGTCATACGCTACAAGTTGTTACTACAAGTCATACGCTACCAGTTGTTACTACAAGTCATACGCTACAAGTTGTTACTACAAGTCATACGCTACAAGTTGTTACTACAAGTCATACGCTGCAAGTTGTTACTACAAGTCATACGCTACAAGTTGTTACTGCAAGTCATACGCTACAAGTTGTTACTACAAGTCATACGCTGCAAGTTGTTACTACAAGTCATACGCTACAAGTTGTTACTGCAAGTCATACGCTACAAGTTGTTACTACAAGTCACACGCTACAAGTTGTTACTACAAGTCATACGCTACAAGTTGTTACTACAAGTCATACGCTACAAGTTGTTACTGCAAGTCACACCGTGAGAATGCACCTTAAGATGAAACGTTGTGGCACAGGGACCCTGTGTTCCAAGTAGAATTATTTCAATGTGAAGGTCACAGGTACCTACCATTGTATAAGCTGACATGGTCAAAACATAATGGTTTGCGATTAAGGTTGAGGTCAATAACTTCCAGCTTTATAACATCCTCATCTAAACTTGTTTGCAGTTGCCACACGCACTGTATTCGGCTGTAACATAAACAAGGCAAGACAATACTGTAAGTAATAATAATACTAATGATAATAATTCTTCCATTTAAATGGCACTAAATCCACACTGACATCATGTTCACAGCACTGGATTATTATTACCCCGGATAACCCAAGTTGCCTGTGAGGTGCTAGGAGGTTAATAATCACATCCCACCGGGTACCCATTTATGTGGTTTTACTAAACTAATGTTCTATCTGCAAAATGCAAGAATAAATGATCTTACTTGAAGTGAAGTGTAAGCCCATTTCTGGCATGCCCCTCCATGAAATTGCTGGAATATTGCTAAAAAGTGTGTGAAGACACAAAGAGGTAAACTAACAATACAATTGCCATTTCTTTGTATGTCCGTAACATACAGATGTTAGGTTAGGTTAATCAGCATCAGTGTTCGAAATAGCCACTGGGCCGCAAGTCCGTGGCTAGTAAAAAGCCAGTCGGGCTAGTAAATCTCCACAGTCACTGGCCCGACTGGCTTGTGAATTTTCAAGGGGTCATTTTGTAAATACATGTATATCACTCTTTCCGACTTTTGAAGTTATAATACACTTTTAAATCATGCAAGATTATGGCCTGATGAAAATGTTCATCATATTAGCAGCTTTATGATGAAACCTGTGTCTACATTCAAATTTCCGGCAAGTGAATAATTTTGTGGGCTAGTAACTTTCAGGCATAGCTAGTCCGTCTAGCTTAAAAAATTGGAAACTATTTTGCACACTGATCAGCATGCAACAATACCTCAATCTAAACGGTTATGACACACAAGTACTCACTCTGGGTACATTTCAGGGTATCCTGGGGACATCAATATATTTGTCTCACGTTTCACTTTTATTGTTTCTGCTACAACTTGACCTCCTTTCAGGCTGCAAGCTGTCAAAAATAGTGCTAGTGTCATTAATTGAACACATCAATTCATGCAACAAAAACAAGAACACAAAGTCATCAATATCCCACGCAATGGCAAAATACTCTTATGAATATGTCTACTAGTTATGACTATGTCAAATGTTTTGGTGTGTATATGGCAAAGTCGAAGGAGAGAATTGAAAGGTTTTAAAGTTCTGCTCCAGGAAGGAGCACTACCACCAAATTCAGTCAAAGCCAAACCTGTTGCCAAGGAAACACAAAAAATATTTTATTCAGAATTCCAAAAATACCAAAAGGCACCAGTACACCACCAGGCCTATCTATGTGCCACGTTGGGTGCAGAAATAGTGAACAGTTTTAAAGTTCTGCTCCGGAAAAGAGGACTACCACCAAATTCAGTCAAAGTCAATCTTGTTGCCATGGAAACACACAAAATTATTTTATTCAGAATTCCAATACTACCAAAAGGCACCAGTACACCACCACACCTGTCTATGTGGAAAGTCTGGTGAAGAAATAGTGATCGGTTTTAAAGCTCTGCTCCGGAAAAGAGCACAACCACCAAATTCAGTCGAAGTCGAACTTTTTGCCACGGAAACACAAACAAATATTTCCTTCAAAAATACAAAACTACCAAAAGGCACCAATACACCACCAGACCAATGTACGTGCCATGTTTGGTGAAGAAATATTGAATGGTTTTAAAGTTCTGCTCCAGAAAAGAACACTACCACCAATTTCTCTCAAAGTCAACTTTTGTTGCCATGGAAACGCAAAGAATATAATGATCAGAAATCCAAAACTACCAAAAGGCAACAGTTCACCACCAGACCTATCTATGTGTCTAGTTTGGTTGAAGAAATATTGAACAGCTTTAAGTTCTGCTCTGGAAAAGTGCACTAACACCATTTTCAGTCAAAGTCAAACTTGTTGCCATGGAAACACACAGAAGTATTTTATTCAGAATTCCAAAACTACCAAAAGACACCACTACACCACCACACCTATCTATGTGGAAAGTCTGGTGAAGAAATAGTGATCGGTTTTAAAGTTCTGCTCCGGAAAAGAACACTACCACCAATTTCACTCAAAGTCAACTTTGTTGCCATGGAAACGCAAAGAATATCATCATCAGAAATCCAAAACTACCAAAAGGCAACAGTTCACCACCAGACCTATCTATGTGTCAAGTTTGGAGAAGAAATATTGAATGGCTTCAAAGTTCTGCTCTGGAAAAGTGCACTAACACCAATTTCAGTCAAAGTCAAACTTGTAGCCATGGAAACGCAAAAAATATAATAATCAAAAATCCAAAACTACCAAAAGGCACCAGTACACCACAAGACCTATCTATGTACCAAGTTTGTTGAAAAAATATTGAACAGTTTAAAAGTTATGCTCCGGAATAGATAAATGTGCACGGATGCACGCACGCACGGACGGACAGAGTGCAATTTAATACCCCCTGCAAAAGTGTTGCGGGGGATAACAATTCTCTGAAAGCATGACTGGAACATAATTATTTTTCAAAACACAAACAATACGTATATGTTTTTACATTTTTCCACAAGAACAAATTAGTTTCTCAAAAAACATTCCTTACCCCTCCATTTCCACACATTTTGGGCATATCTGCTAACAAACCATCAACCCCGGTTCTAACTGCTACGCACTGCTACTACAACCACCACCACCCACTTATAAACGCACAACCACCACCACCGCTGCGCACAAACCACCAATTCACCACTACCACTTCACAAGTACTACAATTCACCACCACCACACTGCTACAACCACCACCACCACTGCTACTACCAATCCATCTACCCACCACTGCTACTATTAAACCACCACCCACCCACCATTTGCTGGCAATACAACCACCACCACCACGCCTGATCCTATCATACGAACCACCATCTACCACTGCTGAACCCACCACACCACCTACTGCTACTGTTCACCCACCAGCACTATCATAACCACCACTGCTCACTACAAACCACCACCTACCTATCAACCACTGCTCACAAACCACCTTACTACCACTGCTACTACAACCACCACCACTCCTACCTACAACCACCTTCCTATCACTCACACTACCTTACTCTCATACTGCTGGCTAAACCACCTTTCCATCACATATGCTACATACCACCACCTACCTATGCTACTACAGAGTCTCCACACATACAACACTATCTACAGTATTTGGCCCAAACTGCTCATTTCAAGTACTTAACCAACTACTCACTCATTACCATTGCTACTTTTCTTGGCTTAAATCCACTTACCTACTCACTTGTCATACTTTTCATGCCCACCTACCCACCGCTAGTTGGCTAAAAATCCATCATAATTTTCACTCTACTAAGTACATGGACCATCCACTCACCATTTGCTATTTACAACCACTCACCACTCACTGGCTACTACATAACCACCTTACTCACCACTATTAGCATTTTACAACTACCACTCTAATTAATTATGCTAAGCAACCACCTTCCACCACTACTGCTACTATAAACCACTGCTACAACCACCACTACCACTGCTACAACCACCTATCACCACTGCTACTACAAACCACTGCTACAACCACCATCAACACTACTACAACCACTGCTGCTACAAACCACCTACCACCACTGTATTTCAGAAACCACTCACCAACCTTAATTTCAAGTACTTTTAGTATATAGTAAATCCAACCACTCACCTACTGCTATTTATGCAATCCAATTTTGTACCACCATATGCTATTAAATCCAACCCCCACCTAACTGCTCAACTATTTACAATCCACTTAAGCATATTTATACACTGCTATAAACCACTCCCCATGCACTATGTATTACTTAACAAACCAACTAATTACTCATTTCTTCACATAGATCATTACAACTACTCACAACTTACTTATATACAGAACTAATTTTCACTTTTCCTACCTTAACCACTTGCTACTAGAAACCACCATGGCATTTTGGCTACAAGCCACCACTCCATTTTCACTGTCACTAAGTACTTACAAATCCTACCTGCTACGCTATCACTATCCACCATTCATGAACTCACTAACAACTCATTTTGCTATTAAACCACCACCAACCACTGCTACTACTAACCACCACCACTGCTACAACCACCCCCATTAACTGCTTTACTACAACCACTGCCACTAACCACCATCATACTTGCTTAAACTTACATTTTTCCACCTTGCTTTCACATGCCAGCTAAACTAACCACCTTTTCACTCACTATACTACAACCACCACCCACCACTAATATACTTTTAAACTAATTCCACCTACCTAACTGCATATAAATCTACCAACCACCATACTTACTTGGCTTTTGCTAGTTAAATCCACCTACCCTCCGACTTCAAGCAATTGCTTACTTACTTGTTAAATCCACCACCACCACTGCTATTTAACAACCCACTCACCTTAACCACTGCTACTATGAACCCAATTCACCTTACTTAATTATATTCCTAAATCCAACCACCACTGGGTGCATGCTATACAATCCACCACCTACCACTTTGCATGAACTTACCTTAACCATGCAACCATTTGCTACTACAACCATCTAACTACTTTATATACTACATCTCCTTTCTAACCACTTTTTACGGGATTACATCACCACATGAAATGCACCATTTATATACATTTATTTACTCACTCACTATAATTTTTCATAACCACCTGCTCACTAATAAATCCACTAAATTACAAACTGTTAAATCCACTACCACTGCTACTAAGCAACCACAATTTCAATTACTCATGCCACTGCTAAACAACCACTCAATTAAATTACTGCTAATGTATCATCACTACAAGTTAATATGCTACAACCAGCAATTCCCTACCACTGCTACTTACAAATTACACCACCTACCACTGCTATTACATACATAACCACTCACCAACTATATACTACTAATTGTTCACCACACTACCACTGCTACAACCAATTTCAGCCTGCTGACTGTGACTAATCACCACCACTGCTACAACTCACCACCACCACTGCTACTACAAACTTCACCACTACCACTGCTATTACACTAACTACCACTACCACTGCTACTGTATAAACCACCACTCACACACTAAGCATTAAGCAACCACCTTTCACTCACTAATGCTACTTTTCATAAGCAACCACCAATTACTTACTGCTAATAAACCACCTCAACGCACCACTTGCATACTACAAACTTACTCACTCACCACTACTTGCTATAAACCACCACTCACTCACTGTTACTTACTACAACCACCACTCACTGCTAAGCAATCCATTCCCACCCACTTAAGTACTTACTAAACCAGCACTACCACTGCTACTACTACATCCCACCACCTCACCTTACTTGCTACTTACAAACTACTCACTAATTCATTTGTTATGCTACTACATCCACCACTCAACTAATTGCTACTACATCCACCCTACCTCACTGCTAGGCTACAACCAGCACCTACCCTACTTAAGTATAGTTTTTCTCATAAACCACCAATTACACTACTCACAACCACCACCACCACTAATTAACTAACAATCCAGCACCATCACTACTCCAGTACTTTTCACCATCCCCTACTACAAATCCACCACCACTTACTAAACAACCACCACCACTCAGCTTTTAGTTTTTACATGAACCACACCACCAACTGCATCACAATGCTAACCTCAAACCACCACTGCTACTTACTAAACCAGCACCACTCCTACTTACTACCTAAACACCACCTACCACTGCATACAAATCCCACCCCCACCACTACTACTACAACCACCACCACCACCACTACCACTGCTACAACCACCACCACAACCACCACTCACACTGCTACAAGCAACCATTCCCACCACTACTACTACCACCACCTCTGCCACTACTACCACCACCACCACTACTACTACAACCACCACCACCACTGCTACTACAAACCACCACCACTGCTACAACCACTACCACTACTGCTACCACCACCTACCACTACTACTACAACCACCACCACCACTGCTACTACAAATCCACCACCACCAACTGCTACTACAACCACCACCTACAACAATGCTACAAACCACTCACTACTACTGCTACCACCACCACCACCACTGCTACAACTTACCACCACCACTGCTACAACCACCACAACCACTGCTACAACCACCACCACCACTGCTACTACAACCACCACCACCACTGCTACAACCACTTCACTACCACCACCACCACTCACCACTGCTACAACCACAACCACCACACACTGCTACTAACCACCACCACCACTGCTACAACCACCCACCACTGCTACTACAAACTACCACCACCACTACTACAACCACCACCACCACTGCTACTACAACCACCACCACCACTGCTACTACAACCACCACCACCACTGCTACAAACCACCACCATCACTACTACAACTACCACCACTACTACAACCACCACCACCACTACTACTACAACCACCACCACCACTGCTACTACAACCACCACCACCACTGCTACAACAACCACCACCACTACTGCTACAAACCACCACCTCACCACTTCATACAAACCACCAACCACCACTACTACTACAACCACCACCACCACTGCTACAACCACCACCACCACTGCTACTACAAACCACCACCACCACTGCTACTACAACCACCTCACCACCACTGCTACTACAACCACCACTCACCACTGCTACTACAACCACCACCACCACTGCTACTACAACCACCCACTCACCACTGCTACTACAACCACCACCACCACTGCTACTACAACCACCACCACCACTGCTACTACAAAACCACCACCACCACTGCTACTAAACCACTCACCACCACTGCTACTATAAACCACCACCACCAACTACAACCACTACAACCACACTGCTACTACAACCACCCACCACCACTGCTACTACAAACCACCACCACCACTGCTGCTAAACCACACCTCACCACTGCTACTACAACCACCACCACCACTGCTACTATCAACAACCACCACCACCACTGCTACTACAACCACCACCACCACAACCACCACCACTGCTACAACCACCACCACCACCACTGCTACAACCACCACCACCACCACCACCTCCACCACTGCTACAAACCACCACCACCACCACTGCTACTACAACCACCACCACCACTGCTACTACAAACCACCACCACCACTGCTACTACAATCACCACCACCACTGCTACTTACAACCACCACCACCACTGCTACTACAACCACCACCACCACTACTACTACAACCACCACCACCACTGCTACTCACAACTACCACCACCACCACTGCTACTACAACCAACCACCACCACTGCTACTACAACCCACCACCACTGCTACTACAAACCACACACTGTTACTACACTGCTACTACTACTGCTACAAATCCACCACCACTGCTACTACAACCACCACCACCACTGCTACTACAACCACCACCACCACTGCTACTACAACCAGCACCACCACTACTACTACAACCACCACCACTACTACTACAACCACCACCACCACTGCTACTACAACCAGCACCATCACCACCACTGCTACCAACCACCACACCACCACTGCTACTACAACCACCACCACCACTCGCTACAAACCACCACCACCACTGCTACACATCATCACCACCACTGCTACTACAACCACCACCACCACTACTACTACAACCACCACCACCACTACTACAACCACCACCACTACTGCTACTACAACCACCACCACTACTACTACAACCACCACCACCACTGCTACTACACTCACCACCACCACCACTACTACAACCACCACCACCACCACTACTGCTACAACCACCACCACTACTGCTACAACCACCACCACCACTGCTACTACAACCACCACCACCACTGCTACTACAACCACCACCACCACTGCTACTACAACCACCACCACTACTGCTACAACCACCACCACACACTGCTACAACCACCACCACCACCACTGCTACTACAACCACCACCACCACTGCTACATAACCACCACCACCACTGCTACACAAACCACCACCACCACTGCTATAAACCACCACCACCACCACACTACTACAACCACCACCACCACATGCACCACCACCACCACCACTACTACAAAACCACCACCACCACTGCTACCACAACCAGCACCACTATTTGCCAACCACCACCACCACTACTACTACCACCACCACCACCACTACAACCACCACCACCACCACTACAAACCACCACCACCACTACTACAACCACCACCACCACTGCTACCACCACCACCACACCACTGCACCACCACCACTACTACACCACCACCACCACTACTACAACCACCACCACCACTGCTACTACCACCACCACCACTGCTACAACCACCACCACCACCACTGCTACAACCACCACCACTACCACTGCTACCATCACCCACCACTACTGCTACAACCACCATCACCACTGCTACTACAACCACCACTCACCACTGCTACATCATCACCACCACCACTGCTACTACAACCACCACTCCACCACTGCTACTACAACCACCACCACCACCTACAACCACCACCACCACCCACTCACTGCAATGACCATCACCACCACTGCTACTACAACCACCACCACCACTGCTACAAACTACCACCACCACCACCTACAACCACCACCACCACCACTGCTACTACAACCACCACCACCACTGCTACAAGCAACCACCACCACCACTGCTACAACCACCACCACCACTGCTACAACCACCACCACCACTGCTACCACCACCACCACCACTGCTACAACCACCACCACCACTGCTGCTACCACCACCACTACCACTACAACCACCACCACCACCACTACAACCACCACCACCACTGCTACAACCACCACCACCACTGCTACAACCACCACCACCACTGCTACACAACCACCACCACCACTGCTACTACAACCACCACCACCACTGCTACTACAACCACCACCACCACTGCTACTACAACCACCACCACCACTGCTACGATCATCACCACTACTGCTACAACCACCACACCACTGCTACTACAACCACCACCACCACTACCACAACCACCACCACCACTGCACAGCACCACCACCACTGCTACTACAACCACCACCACCACCACTCACCACCACTACACAACCATCACCACCACTACTGCTACAACCACCACCACTACTGCTACAACCACCACCACTGCTACAACCACCACCACCTCTACGATCATCATCAAAACCACTATTCCAACCACCATAATTTTGCGTACATAATATATTTCATGAAAAACATCATATTCCATTCATCCTTTATTTACTACTGATTTGGATTGCATCACTTACCTGTTAGTTGAGGTACCCTCTGTAGTTAATTTTAAATGAGCTGTATCCTGTTCTGTTGCTCTTGTTATCAAACTTGATGAACATACTTGGCCCGGGAATCAAGTAGGCATAATCCTGGTTGTCACAGATATTCCATGTCTGTTTATAGTCTGTATCACTTGGCCCTTAAACATGAAAATACAGTGTTCTGAGACCACACCAATGCCATGTAAAACTAAACTTTGGAAGTTACAATCTGCTGTAAAAGGCTTAACACTTATACATCACTGAAGAATCACCATAAATGTCTTTATATTTATTTAACAACATCATCTCCTCAACATTTCAGGAAATTGTCTTTGAGTGGCATTTAGAGACTGGCATGATGAAGAGGAACAATTTTTTATCGATTGACAACTTCTTTATTGCAAAGTTGCAACATTTCGGTGTAGATATTAGCAAATTGCAAGTTGTCTATCCATATAAAAACTGTTTCTCTTCATTTCAGGAAATTGTCACATACCATACTTTTTCTTTAGGTAGCTACAAGTATGGGAGATTCTGTTTGACTGCACTTTTCATGCTTTTTCTGCACAACTAGAAATTATATCATTTAACCCAGTTCTAATGTACCTTTCTCATTAATGTAACCAGGTGATTTTGACTTTCAGGCTTAGAATTGTACTACACTGGGTATGTCATTAGAGTAAAATATTTTAGTACTTGGTATGAGGTTGTGTTTGTGTTAATGTTATGAACTTGAAATGTATATATTTGCACTGTTAATTAATGACATCACCCCTGATTTGGGAAAATGCAAACTCAATGCTGTACAACCCTCAAGCTACAGCAGTATTATGGACTTCGTAGTATATTTTGTTTATTTGTTGTTTGCTCAGCAATATTCCAGGTATATGAGGCAGTCGGGTCCTGACCAGACAATTCAGTGATCAACATCATGAGCGTCGATCTATGTCCTTGGGACAGTCAGTGTGTCCGACCTCCTGATCTCATTTGTTGCCTCTAAATACTTTGTAGTATATAGTGTTGGGAATCGGTTGTGATTTCATAATCGATCATCGGTTACAATCGGATTGGCTCAACCGATCAATCATCGGGTTAATAATCGGTTAAATGAAATGACAAGAATAACCTCTGAATAAAACATGTTACACAAGACCATGTGTTTGGTATTGTCTCAGACTCCTAAAGGTAAGTAAGTTCAGTTCAGAGACAGATGGTTGAATTTGAACAAAAGAAGAGAAAAAGAATTTGTTCTTTTTATGGTTTATTTTTTATTTACCATCAATGCCAGAGATGCCAACCTCAACAATTTTATCATACTAGTGACTACAAATTTTAGCCTAAACTACGCCAATACGTTTCACTAGAAATTCTACGAAATTGGAAGAACATTCATTGAAATTCGAAATATATAGACACAAACATATATAAGTACAAGACAAATATCAATTATGTTCTTGATTTCGACAAATAAATAATCTCTGATCATTTATGAAATCAACTTTCAGGATTTATTTCATATATTTTATGTTTGCAAGTAGATATATATCCAAAATTGACTCTGACATAGCAAAGTAAAAGGGTACTCAAGTTTTAACCTGATTTACGATAATTCATGTAACAAGGCCTACATGTCATTCGTTTTCAATAATGTTTTAATTTGTTTGTCTGCATTGTGTAGTTTCAAATTTCGTAAAACTGATAGTAATAGACTTAAGAGTATGGACGGATTCATATCATGCATTATAACATGATGATACTTTTCTATTAGACCATTCACTTGTTAGTATCAATGTAAATTATGAGTCGATACCTTTGTTTTGCGTGATTCCCTTCGACAAATAATGATTAAATCGCTTTGACATGTCAAGTTTTTCCTTCGTTGGGGGCCCCTGACATTTCTTCCAAAATCTGAAACACTTCCAAACGTTGGATCTGCCTTCCCCGCAAGGGTAGTTGAATATTTCATCGACTTCAACCCGGTCGTCAGTCGCCATTTTGTTTGGCCAAAGCTAACAACAATTATGATTTCACCAAAACTTCGCGCTTATTTATCTTAACACATTACTGGCAGATCATTATTTATTTAGACTTTTTGTTCCTTTTTTTTATTTTTATATTCTGCAGCTGGGTTATTATGTATTTAGATACGTCCGTCATGAACAAGGTTAAAGCAGCTAAGCAGCAGTTGTACGCTTCATGGAATGACGTAAACATGCAAGTCATCGCCATACCGGAGTGTGCATGCCAGTTTGTTGTGATCGACAGCTACAATAAATATGACATTGCTTAAACAAAATATATACACTGTGTATCCATTTTCAGTCAACTTCATTTCATTTCACAGCGTAAGTAGACGAATATGATTGTGAATTTTGTGAATAATGCGGACCGGGTTATAATCATTTGTAACTGCCAGTTGTCTTGTGGTCTGAGTTGGGTATTCATTACTGTTTTCGTGAAATCATTAGCTTACAATCGATTATGAAATTTTGCAATCATTGTCGCTATCGGAAAAGGGTAACCAATCAATTTTCGATTATAATCGATCATCGAACACCACTAGTAGTATATAGACTATTTTATATCCTATGGTTGAAGTCAACATGATTAAGTTGAGAAAGCACAAAAAGTAGAATTTCTACACACTGAAATTGGGTGACAGTGATCTACAATTAATGTCAACAAGCATTGTCACTAAGGTGACATAATCTCCTGCTGCAAATGATCAAATCAAACTTAACAAGAAGACAAAGTCATCAATATTCCCCAAGCAATGGCAAAAAATATTCTTCATGATTATGTCCACGAAGATTATGATTATGTCAACCTCGCTATGGAAGGAGAGTATTGAAAGGTTTTAAAGTTCTGCTCCAGAAAGGAGCACTATCACCAATTTCAGGCTAAGTCAAACTTGTTGCCAAGGAAATGCCAAAAATATTTTATTCAGAATTCCAAAACTACCAAAAGGCACCAGTACACCACCAGACCAATCTATGTGCCAAGTTAGGTGAAGACACATTGTACAGTTTTAGAGTTCTGCCTCGAAAAAAGAGCACAACTAATTTCAGTCTAAGTCAAACTTGTTGCCATGGAAACGCCAAAAATATTTTATTCAGAATTCCAAAACTACCAAAAGGCACAAGTACACTACCAGATCTATCTATGTGCCAAGTTTGGTGAAGAAATAGTGAACAGTTTTAGAGTTCAGCTCCAGAAAGGAGCACTACCACCAATTTCAGGCTAAGTCAAACTTGTTGCCATGGAAACGCAAAAAAATATTTTATTCAGAATTCCAAACTACCAAAAGGCACCAGTACACTACCAGATCTATCTATGTGCCAAGTTTGGGGAAGACATAGTGAACAGTTTTAGAGTTCTGCTCCGAAAAGAGCACTACCACCAATTTCAGTCTAAGTCAAACTTGTTGCCATGGAAATGCCAAAATATATTTTATTCAGAATTCCAAAACTACCAAAAGGCACCAGTACACCACCAGATCTATCTATGTGCCAAGTTTGGTGAAGAAATAGTGAACGGTTTTAGAGTTCTGCTCGAAAAGAGCACAACCACCAATTTCAGTCTAAGTCGAACTTGTTGCCATGGAAACGCCAAAATATTTTATTCAGAATTCCAAAACTACCAAAAGGCACCAGTACACCACCAGATCTATCTATGTGCCAAGTTTGGTGAAGAAACATTGAAGGGTTCTAGAGTTTTGCCCGAAAAGACAAATGTGCACGGATCGGACGGACGCGACGACACGGACGGATGCATGCACGCGACGCGACGGAGTCCATTTAATATAATTACCCAAAAAGCAGCTTAGGGGGATAACAAGAAGACAAAGTCATCAATATCCCCCGCAATGGCAAAATACTCTTCATGATTATGTCTATGAGTTATGATTATGTCAAATATTTAGGTGTGTATATAGAAAAGTGGAAGGAGAGTATTGAAAGGTTTTGAAAGTTCTGCTCCAGAAAGGAGCACTATCACCAATTTCAGTCTAAGTCAAACTTGTTGCCATGGAAATGCCAAAAATATTTTATTCAGAATTCCAAAACTACCAAAAGGCACCAGTACACCACCAGATCTATCTATGTGCCAAGTTTTGTGAAGAAATAGTGAACGGTTTTAGAGTTCTGCTCCGGAAAAGAGCACTACCACCAATTTCAGTCTAAGTCAAACTTGTTGCCATGGAAACGCCAAAAATATTTTATTCAGAATTCCAAAACTACCAAAAGGCACCAGTACACCACCAGATCCATGTATGTGCCAAGTTTGGTGAAGAAATATTGATCGGTTTTAGAGTTCTGCTCCGGAAAAGACATGTGCACGGACGGACGGTCGGACGGACGGACGGACGGACGGACTGACGGACACACGGACGGAGTCCATTTTAATACTCCCCGCAAAACGCGTTGCGGGGGATAAAAAGTAATGAAAGTGAACGTCGTAATTTAAGATGAAGTTAAATGTCAACAAAAACATGACCAGTCAACCTCTCTTGATATTTTGATCTGTAGTTGATCAAATGAACAAATATTTACAAGACTCACTTTGACCTTGCCATAAATGTCTTAGTGTATGAAATTTGCAAAAATAGTAATGAAGAAATATGTGAAGGTCACCAAAATCAAGTGGGCCTTGCACCTCTGCCAGGTGAAGCTTGGTGTCAAATATGAAGACAGTCCAGTGAATGGTTCTTGAGATATCTCTCTGACAATTTTTACATGCAGGTTAACATGCTGAAATCTTCAAAGTGTCGCCATGACCTGAAAATTAGGTGAAGGTCACCAAACCTAACTGGGACCTTTCATTTACTTGAATGAACCTAGGTACCAAATATGAAAAGAATCCAGTCAACGGATATTCCAATACGTACGTACGGATGCAGTTTGTGAGTTAGAATTTTGTAAAACGTTTTTACATGGAAATACTGATCCTTTGTGATGAAATCAATACAGTAAGGACATGCTTGAAGGTGATCATTTCATTAAAGGGATACAGATTGGAGAATTATATATATACCCGATCCTTACCATCATATACTGAAATTTTACTCCTAGGGCAGCGTACTTGAACATCTCTGAAGGTTACCAAGAAGCTGGACACGTGAACGGGAGCAGTGAAAGACCAGCGGCATGTCATGGAACTGAAAAGAAAGCCAAACTATTCCATGATCCTACTACAGGTGTAGTGAGTGCGTTTAAATTTACGCCGCTTTTAGCAATATTCCAGCAATATCCTGGCAGGGGATGCCGGAAATGGGCTTCACACATAGTACCCATGTGGGGAATTACAGCCAGGTCATCTGCGCGTACCCCACCGCCCGCTATAGGTGTAGAAGAACCCAGAACCAACATGTTTACTATAGTCTGTTTGCAGTGAAAACGTGCCGATGAATATTGCTTTAAACAAAAAAGTAAATCAAATTAAGTGAAATTAAGATTGCGAATCCTCATAAGTATACCTTGCCAAATGAAACTTTTAATCTTATATGTTTATTCAACTTAGTGTAAAAGTTTAATAAACAATCATAGATTCAAATCGCTATTATTGGTTTGTATTACAAGGGGGTAAGGGCAGTAGATGGAACAGTGAAACAAATGCACTTGCGGTACTTGATGAGCATTAACTTAGACCAACCCTACATGTTCTCGGTGTTTCATTTAGAATACATGCCCCCTTGTAATACAAACCAATAATAGCGATTTGAAACTACGATAGTTTATTACACAACTTTTATCCTAAGTTGAATAAAATTCTGAGATTTAAATGTTCAACTGGCAAGGAAAAATTATGAGGATTCGCAATCTTAATTTAACTTTATTCCATTTACTTTTTTGTATAGAGTGAAATTCATCGGTACGTTTTCACTGCAAACAGACTATAATAGGGATAAAATACCTGAAGGATCAAATCAGGGTTGTCGGGGCAACATGCTAAACATGCATCTGATCAGGAGATTTACCAGTGTTCCAGAAAATGATAAGCAAACACATTATATACAGGGTTTGTTCAATTTATCAGCCATCAGATTTAAGGCACTTTAGAGGCATTTTAAGGCCCCATCAACAACTTAATTGACTATGAAAACACATATAACACATAAGTATTTGAATACAAACAAGGATGGTCAAATGTGGGACCGACCATCAGGTCGCTTTTAGCTACATCACTGCACTGGGACAGTTTTGCTTCTCGATGGAGATTAATTAACATCTAATGTCATTGCAAGGTATTTATTTTATGGATTAATTTCCTGTAAAATCGTAACTTCACAAGTTTTACTAAATATAGGGCCTTTTCAGTGCAAATCACTGGCATCTAGGGACTCTCAAGGCTGAAATGAATTTAGGGACTTTTTAGGGTAAAATGTCCAAATTTGGGACTTTTAAAAACCTGTATGAACACCGTATATATCTCACTCTTTATGAGATTATATTTCAAACAATTTACTGCACCAACATTAAAATGACAACAGCACCTCCAAAACCACATCTGAGACGGGATAATATAAATCCCAGCAGAATCCTGAAGTGGTGCCAAGGGTTATGTTTCACCATGTGATAAATTACTTTAAAAGCTATAAACTCTCTACTCACTGGCTGAATTGGTTCTCGCGAACTACAATTTTCCCTGTTTGGAAATAATCTGTGTGAATCCTGCTTCCACACCTGTCTGAAAGTAAGAATAATGAAAGGGTGAGTGAGTGTGGTTGAACACTGTATAGAATAAATATTTATAATGTAGTAAAATGGCAGGACAGAAAGTCAAAAGCTTCACACTCCCTAAAAAGGGACACACGCCCAGTTTATTGAAACCTATGAGCAAGTTGGTTGGTTAGTTAGTTTGTTGTTTAACGCCACACTCCCTAATATTTCGGCTATATGGCGTCAGTCTGTAATTAACCCAAACGCATCAGTTCCATCGGAGTTCAAGATCTTTTTCAAACAAACCATACTTAAGTTAAAAAATACACATTGTTGACAGAAACATTTGTTTACAGTGCCCCATCTGATTATTCCAGATCCAGAACATTTGTTTCACATTTTCGGTGACTTCATCATCGTCAGAATTGGTGGTGGATGGAGACAGGTGTCTTCTGATGCACATTTGCCTGCATGAGTACAGTATCGTCCAGATCTAGTGCAAGAGTGTTATCTTGTCTGCAATGAGTACAGTATCGTCCAGATCTAGGGCAACAGTTATCTTGTCTGAGTGTCTGCAAGAGTGTGTGAGTGAGTGAGTGAGTGAGTGAGTCTGTAACTAATCCAGTGATCAACAGCATGAGCATCGATCTACACAACTGGGAAGCGATGACAAGTGCCAACCAAGTCAGCGAGCCTGACCACCTGATCCCGCTAGTCACCTCTTACAACAAGCATGGGTTACTGAAGATCAATTCTAATTGATCTCAGGTCTTCAATGCACATGAACAGGAGTATGACGAGACTCAATCACTTACAGGTCGCCTGACACACCTGGAAAGTTAATTTCCTTCTTTCAGTTTCCATGACAACTTGACTAAAACATTTGTAACTCCTGAGAGCCGTAGTACAAAGCAGCCTTAGCGCCACGCCAAGTCTATGCTAAGGCAATTGAGTTACTTATCATCTTAGTTTTGTACAGCTGGCACCCTATTTGACTGCCTCCATGGATGTATTATGATCATGATGTACTTTATCGCTGTGACATACCATCTTGAAAGCTTCGTCGCGGAACCCTGAAAGTCTGTTGTTGTTGTCCTGGCTCACAAACACAACATACAGTTGTTGTCTCAGGCTGTGGAACGCCGGTAGATCGGAACCGCACTCATTTCCCAAGCAAAGGGCCTTTCTCTGAGTCACCTAGATATGGAGGAAAAATGTTAACTAACACATAATGACAACGCTTGATAATATCTGAAACCTCATAAAACCCTAAACTAAGAACAAATATGCTTATCATAAAAAGTCAAGAAATGAATAAAATAAACAACAACAAAATACATAAAGACATTAAAAACAATGTCTAAATCAAGAATATTCAAAATATGTGACTTTGTTTCATTATTAGCATTCATTATTCATTACATTTATCAAAGGATATCATATGCAAATAAACAATTTAGAGTTTTACTGTCAGTGTGTTTTGAAGGTAGTTGGACCGTGGAAGGTCTGGGTTCAGTAACCCATGCTTGTCATAAGAGGCTGACTAACGGTATTGAGTGGTCAGGCTGGCTGACTTGGTTGACACATGTCATCGGTTCCCAATTGTGCAGATCAATGCTCATGTGTTGATCACTGGATGTCTGGTCCAGACTGACATTATTTACAGACCACCACCATATAGTTGGAACATTGTGGAGTGCAGTGTAAAACTAAACTCACACACTTTGAAGGTAGTTGAAAATATATAATAGTAGCTTTCAACAATAACATTGATCTACGCATTCATCGTTAAACCAGAACATATGCATATGTACAGGACAAGCTGAGATCAGAATTGAGGACGCCCAGTCTGATATTGTGGTAAGGCTAAGCTGTCCTTATCCGTATGTGCATCTCTGAAAACTAAAAAAACTTGACAGTTTCATTCCGTTACATTTCTCCAAAGTGCAAATTCATGATGTAGACATTACTTGCAAATGACGGGCATAGATATATGGAGTACAGCTATTTGAGATAGCTATAGCAATAATAGTTTAGCAATATTTTGGGATTACGGTGACGACAACGCTTGAAATAAATGTCTCCCACAAGATCAAAGGAAGTTGACCTGGAAGTTGGCCTGAGGTTCTAAACTATTATGGGTCTATGTCCTTGTCACAAGCTATAGAAAGGAGGGACTCGAAGGTATAGGCCAGCCAGATAAGTTTTTCTATTTTGAGCACTTGGTGACTTTAGCTGCCACAGCACCTTTGAGGAAAGTAACCAGAAATACCACGTTGTTGAGATTAGTTTTACCTTGGACATGGTTACCTGAGTTTGGGCACCTTGAACATTGTTGAGATTAGTTACCTTGGACGTGGTTGAGTTTGGGCACCTTGAACATTGTTGAGATTAGTTACCTTGGACATGGTTGGAGTTTTGAGTTTGGGCACCCTTGAACGTTGTTGAGATTAGTTACCTTGGACGGTTGAGTTTGGGCACCTTGAACGCTGTTGTTGACATTAGTTACCTTGGACGGGTTGAGTTTGAGCACCTTGAACATTGTTGACATTAGTTACCTTGGACATGGTTGAGTTTGGGCACCTTGAACGTTGATTGAGATTAGTTACCCTTGGACATGGTTGAGTTTGGGCACCTTGAACGTTGTTGACATTAGTTACCTTGGACGTGGTTGAGTTTGGAGCACCTTGAACATTGTTGACATTAGTTACCTTGGACATGGTTGAGTTTGGGCACCTTGAACATTGTTGAGATTAGTTACCTTGGACGTGGTTGAGTTTGGGCACCTTGAACATTGCTGAGATTAGTTACCTTGGACATGGTTGAGTTTGGGCACCTTGAACATTGTTGAGATTAGTTACCTTGGACGTGGTTGAGTTTGGGCACCTTGAACGTTGTTGAGATTAGTTACCTTGGACATGGTTGAGTTTGAGCACCTTGAACATTGTTGACATTAGTTACCCTGGACATGGCTGAGCTTTTGGGCACCTTGATGGTTGATTGCACCTTGACATTAGTTACCTTGGACGTGGGTTGAGTTTGGAGCACCTTGAACATTGTTGAGATTAGTTACCTTGGACATGGGTTGAGTTTGGGCACCCTTGAACATTGTTGAGAATAGTTACCTTGGACATGATTGAGCTTTGGGCACCTTGAACATTGTTGAGATTAGTTACCTTGGACGGGTTGAGTTTGGGCACCTTTGAACATTGTTGAGATTAGTTACCTTGGACATGGTTGAGTTTGGGCACCTTGAACATTGTTGACATTAGTTACCTTGGATCGGTTGAGTTTGAGCACCTTGAACATTGTTGAGATTAGTTACCTTGGACGTGGTTGAGTTTGGGCACCTTGAACATTGTTGAGATTAGTTAACCTTGGACATGGTTGAGTTTGGGCACCTTGAACATTGTTGACATTAGTTACCTTGGATGGTTGAGTTTGGGCACCTTGAACATTGTTGACATTAGTTACCTTGGACGGGTTGAGTTTGGGCACCTTGAACATTGTTGACATTAGTTACCTTGGACGGGTTGAGTTTGGAGCACCTTGAACATTGTTGACATTAGTTACCTTGGACGTGGTTGAGTTTGGGCACCTTGAACATTGTTGACATTAGTTACCTTGGACGTGGTTGAGTTTGGAGCACCTTGAACATTGTTGACATTAGTTACCTTTGGACATGGGTTGAGTTTGAGCACCTTGAACATTGTTGACATTAGTTACCTTGGACATGGTTGAGTTTGGGCACCTTGAACATTGTTGAGATTAGTTACCTTGGACGTGGTTGAGCTCTGGGCACCTTGGATATTGTTGAGATTAGTTACCTTAGGACTTAGTTGAGTTTGGGCACCTTGAACATTGTTGACATTAGTTACCTTGGATAGGGCAGGGGATATAACGGTGACTGGACATAGCGCTTTGTTGTTCCAGGAAGAAACAGCTCCTTACTGCATGATGTTTCTGGATAACAAAAAGAGAATACACACCATTAATTTAAACATTTAAACATTAAATATGTTATCCTCCAGAAACAGGGAAATAATCGGGTCCCACTTAAACACACATGTATCTGACAGGCATGGACAAAGAAAAATTCAGATTTGGTCATTTCTAGATGTAAATAATTTTTGTCATTTTCCAAACAGCATATTCAAGAATTATCTGGAAGACCATCTTTTCAACCTTGCATTATCATTGTTCATGTGGAATTTCATCCTAGAGAAGCATGGGTTTCCTGGTTGTTTAATGTGTGGAAGTTGCACTGCAGAGTCACATCCCTTGGCGCATACTGGAACCTGTGATCATGGGTTTGAATCCTGGCTTGCCCAAACCACATTTCTATGTTCACCGACCAGCATTGTTTGGTCTCTAACATCAAGCTCTATGTGCCATGGCATAACTGCAATATTGTTTAAAGTGGTGTTAAATCTCACTCATCGCAGTAAAATCCTACTGAGATTTGTCTAACATCGGTCATCTGGTAGACCATCTCAGAGACCCAACTTTACAACCATCAGCTATTTCTGCAGTGAGTCAAGTATAACCAGGCTATTGGGATTAAAAATTGATTTAAATTTCATAAATGTTTAGGGTAATATCTGAGCTGAGTTAAGGAGAGGAATGTATTTGGAAGGTGCACTGAGTAACCAAAATCTTATTGATTCAGTTCTCTTATAAATAACAGGTGAGGTGAGGTGAAATTGGGTTTTACGCCATACTTGAGAATATTTCGCTTCATATGACCTACATGCATGCAGTGTATGTGTACGCGGCTGCTTGTACTAGCCCAGACTTAAGCTGGTTTTATACTGCTAGCCCACTAAGATACCATGCCGCAGTGAAGCATGAATACCCCACTCAGACACATTATACTGACTCGAGCCCACCGGGTCCTTGTTGTACCCATTAATGCCGAAAGGCCAGGCAGGGACCAACAAGTACCTATATTTTTAACGCCTTATGGTATGACACGGTCGGGATCGAACTCCATGACCTTCTTCCAGGCGGATGCTTTAAACCCCTACACTAATGAGGTATGTCCTTATAAATAACCACATGCATGAGTGGAAATAAGGAACAGGAACGATGGGACCTTGTAGTCTTTACTAACCTTCGAGGAAACAGGTGGTGGTCATTTTGAAACTGGTAATCAGTAAAAGATGTGCAGCTGGGTTAGGAATGATCCTGTTAGTATCTTCTGGCACCTGCCAGTCCTCAAGTACAATATGGTTTATATGTGCATATATATGGTTGACCAATTGTTAACTGAGATATTCACTAAGCTTCACTTGCCATCACATATATAATCATGCCACATGCTTTGACCATTTTGACAATACAAGTTGTGGGAAATCACTACCATCATGCATCAGGTACACAACTTTTAATCTGTGATTTTGAGTCATGTTCTAACAGATGTATCAATCATCTTGGCAGACAATATCAATGCACTGGCTCACAATTGTCCATTAAGATGCATACATTTTTCTTGTATGTCCAGCTTTTACTAAGACAAATTGGATATTTGGACTTTACAATCAAATAACCTAATGATGACCTGAAAGGCTGATCTTTCATACTGAAGAATATTAAAGCTGACAGTCTTGTCCGAAAGCAAAATTTGAAAACTATTTAGCGACTGGTCACAGAGCTACAGATAATGTGTTGGGTCATTGAGTTATGTACTCGCTTGTGGTCATCTCAATCGGTATCCTAATTTTCCTTTGAGTAACCAAATAAATTGTACCCACCCTCACTCAAACCTCAATTTGGGTATTTTGTCATTTTCCTTACATTAATTATTAAAAATATAATAAAGTTTAAACGTTAGTGTTTGTTATTTATATTTGATCTGTAATAAGAGAAACAATAAGGAAAACTGCAGGTTGTCAAGTTCATGTCCTAAAAATAGAACCTCTCAATATACCTCAGTTATGTTATCTATCCATAGGTATGCAAGCGAAGATTTGACATTTTCGTGTGTACGCATGTAAGATCACATTTATTGAGTTTTTATCAAAATTCAAGCATGCTTGTAGTGCAATACGCTTTAATAGGAATTGAGAGCTCTCATAAACATTTTATGCAATTACGCAGATACATGCTTACCCTGTACCTCTTGTCACATGAGATCACACATGTTCGGCCGTGCTCATCATCCAAAACAGATCAGTCAGTGGCTCTGCACAGTCTCGGCCTCACCATCATCAAACATATCAGTCCCTATTTGTCTCCCACCATCATCAAACATATCAGTCAGTATTTTAGTCTCATCTCACCATCATCAAACATATCAGTCCCTATTTCACAGTCTTGTCTCACCATCATCAAACAGATCAGTCCATATTTCACACAGTCTCGTCTCACCATCATCAAACATATCAGTCCCTATTTCACAGTCTTGTCTCACCATCATCAAACATATCAGTCCCTATTTCATACAGTCTTGTCTCACCCATCATCAAACATATCAGTCCCTTATTTCTACAGTCTTGTCTCACCATCATCAAAACATATCAGTCCCTATTTTACAGTCTTGTCTCTCACCATCATCAAAACATATCAGTCCCTTTTATTTCACAGTCTTGTCTCACCATCATCAAACAATATCAGTCCCTATTTTACAGTCTCTGTCTCACCATCATCAAACATATCAGTCCCTATTTCCAGTCTCGTCTCACCATCATCAAACATATCAGTCCCTATTTTACAGTCTTGTCTCTACCATCATCAAACATATCAGTCCCTATTTCACAGTCTCCTGTCTCACCATCATCAAACATATCAGTCCCTATTTCACAGTCTCTGTCTCACCATCATCAAACATATCAGTCCCTTATTTCACAGTCTTGTCTCACCACCATCATCAAACATATCAGTCCCTATTTTCATACAGTCTTGTCTCACCATCATCAAACATATCAGTCCCTATTTCACAGTCTTGTTCCTCACCATCATCAAACATATCAGTCCCTATTTCTACAGTCTCTGTCTCACCATCATCAAAACATATCAGTCCCTATTTCTACAGTCTTGTCTCTCACCATCATCAAAGATATCAGTCCTCTATTTCACAGTCTGCCTCTCACCATCATCAAACATATCAGTCCCTATTTCACAGTCTTGTCTCACCATCATCAAACATATCAGTCCCTATTTCACAGTCTTGTCTCACCATCATCAAACATATCAGTCCCTATTTCACAGTCTTGTCTCACCATCATCAAACATATCAGTCCCTATTTCACAGTCTCGTGTCTCACCCATCATCAAACATATCAGTCCCTATTTCACAGTCTTGTCTCACCATCATCAAAACATATCAGTCCCTATTTCACAGTCTTGTCTCACCATCATCAAACATATCAGTCCCTATTTCACAGTCTTGTCTCACCATCATCAAACATATCAGTCCCTATTTCACAGTCTTGTCTCACCATCATCAAACATATCAGTCCCATTATTTCACAGTCTTGTCTCACCATCATCAAAGATATATCAGTCGCTATTTTCACAGTCTTGTCTCACCATCATCAAAACATATCAGTCACTATTTTACAGTCTTGTCTCACCATCATCAAACATATCAGTCCTATTTCACAGTCTTGTCTCACCATCATCAAAACATATCAGTCATTTTTCATACAGTCTTGTCTCACCATCATCAAAGATATCAGTCGCTATTTCACAGTCTTGTCTCACCATCATCAAACATATCAGTCCCTATTTCACAGTCTTGTCTCACCATCATCAAACATATCAGTCCCTATTTCACAGTCTTGTCTCACCATCATCATATCAGTCATATTTTACAGTCTTGTCTCACCATCATCAAACATATCAGTCCCTATTTCACAGTCTTGTCTCACCATCATCAAACATATCAGTCACTATTTCACAGTCTTGTCTCACCATCATCAAACATATCAGTCAGTATTTTACAGTCTTGTCTCACCATCATCAAACATATCAGTCAGTATTTTACAGTCTTGTCTCACCATCATCAAACATATCAGTCCCTATTTCACAGTCTTGTCTCACCATCATCAAACATATCAGTCCCTATTTCACAGTCTTGTCTCACCATCATCAAACATATCAGTCCCTATTTTCACAGTCTTGTCTCACCATCATCAAACATATCAGTCAGTATTTTACAGTCTTGTCTCACCATCATCAAACATATCAGTCACTATTTCACAGTCTTGTCTCACCATCATCAAACATATCAGTCAGTATTTTACAGTCTTGTCTCACCATCATCAAACATATCAGTCAGTATTTTACAGTCTTGTCTCACCATCATCAAACATATCAGTCCCTATTTCACAGTCTTGTCTCACCATCATCAAACATATCAGTCCCTATTTCACAGTCTTGTCTCACCATCATCAAACATATCAGTCACTATTTTACAGTCTTGTCTCACCATCATCAAACATATCAGTCACTATTTTACAGTCTTGTCTCACCATCATCAAACATATCAGTCACTATTTTACAGTCTCTTGTCTCACCATCATCAAACATATCAGTCCCTATTTTACAGTCTCTGTCTCACCATCATCAAACATATCAGTCCCTATTTCACAGTCTTGTCTCACCATCATCAAACATATCAGTCCCTATTTCACAGTCTTGTCTCACCATCATCAAACATATCAGTCCCTATTTCACAGTCTTGTCTCACCATCATCAAAACATATCAGTCCCTATTTCACAGTCTTGTCTCACCATCATCAAACATATCAGTCCCTATTTTTTACAGTCTTGTCTCACAATCATCAAACATATCAGTCCCTATTTCACAGTCTTGTCTCACCATCATCAAACATATCAGTCCCTATTATTTCACAGTCTCTGTCTCACCATCATCAAACATATCAGTCCCTATTTCACAGTCTTGTCTCACATCATCATCAAACATATCAGTCCCTATTTCACAGTCTCGTCTCACCATCATCAAACATATCAGTCACTATTTTACAGTCTCGTCTCACCATCATCAAACATATCAGTCCCTATTTCACAGTCTTGTCTCACCATCATCAAACATATCAGTCCCTATTTCACAGTCTTGTCTCACCATCATCAAACATATCAGTCCCTATTTCACAGTCTTGTCTCACCATCATCAAACATATCAGTCCCTATTTCACAGTCTTGTCTCACCATCATCAAACATATCAGTCCCTATTTCACAGTCTTGTCTCACCATCATCAAACATATCAGTCCCTATTTCACAGTCTTGTCTCACCATCATCAAACATATCAGTCCCTATTTCACAGTCTTGTCTCACCATCATCAAACATATCAGTCCCTATTTCACAGTCTTGTCTCACCATCATCAAACATATCAGTCACTATTTTACAGTCTTGTCTCACCATCATCAAACATATCAGTCAGTATTTCACAGTCTTGTCTCACCATCATCAAACATATCAGTCCCTATTTCACAGTCTTGTCTCACCATCATCAAACATATCAGTCCCTATTTCACAGTCTTGTCTCACCATCATCAAACATATCAGTCCCTATTTCACAGTCTTGTCTCACCATCATCAAACATATCAGTCACTATTTCACAGTCTCGTCTCACCATCATCAAACATATCAGTCCCTATTTCACAGTCTTGTCTCACCATCATCAAACATATCAGTCCCTATTTCACAGTCTTGTCTCACCATCATCAAACATATCAGTCAGTATTTTACAGTCTTGTCTCACCATCATCAAACATATCAGTCCCTATTTCACAGTCTCGTCTCACCATCATCAAACATATCAGTCAGTATTTTACAGTCTTGTCTCACCATCATCAAACATATCAGTCCCTATTTCACAGTCTTGTCTCCCCACATGATTCCCCACATGGGTTCAATGTGTGAAGCCCATTTCGCTCAACTAAGAGCAAAAGCACCAAACCTTATGAACTCTCACTTCACTCACTCACTTGCTTTTGACATACCCTCAATCATCTGGTACATCATCGTAAAGCCTTTTTGCCCCGTGCAACTCTAGATCCCGTCTTGAACACCACCAGGAGGGACTGGATGAAGAACTCATATTTTTCTTCTTCACGCCGCTGCTGGCACAGCACTCGCTAGTTTTGGTATTTCTGGTTGATGTGACTGGTGACAAAGGGTCAACATACATTTATCATTCAAAACTGTGTTCCACTGGAGATATTGCTTGTGTGAGATCAAACGATATGTCAAGCTGAAAATTGGTCACAGACATTTTCTCAAAACTGGCAACAGGTCATTAGACCAAATTCATTTATCTAAAAAGAATGCATTGGCCCAACAATTTGCAGAAAATGAAACTTTTGACCAATATCAATGTCTTAATGGACTAATATTTAGGTATTTGTATACCAAACTGTGTTAAGTTAAACTGCGAAGTAAGGTTTTGTTATCGGCAACAGTAATGAACATCAGCTGACCTATTTCCTTAGCTGTAACAAATATACTTTGGGGCTTATTGGACTGTTTAAGCATGATGTATGTTGGGCAGTTTATACTGATAACACAATAACATTTGCTAATTAAAAGAAGCATGGCGGTGACAGCATTTGCACCCCGTTATTGAGAATGAGTCCTGTGACAAAGAATGACTTATCAGATTTCAAACTGATACTTCAAGCAACATACATTTCACCTGAAAGGCAGAAAAACAATCCATATTTTTTGTGTCTATACTTACAAGCAAAGACTGTGACAGATTCTATTTCACAGTCATCAGAATCTTCTATGTCAACCATAAATCGCAGTTTTATGGTTTTGTTCTGGCTATACATTTGTGTTGCGTCAAGCTGCCAACGGCATTCTTGATTCCTGAAACAAAAATGAAATGCTGTCAACATCCACAGGTTTTTGTTTCTTTCTTGTTTAACAATGCGCTGTGCAATTGCCAGCCATATAACAGCTGTCTGGAATTAATCAAGTTTGGACAAGACAATCCAGTGATTGACACCATGAGCATCGATTTACACAACTGTGATATGCATCAACCGAGTCTGTGAGCTTGACCAAGTGATCCAGTTAATGAGCTCTTACGACCTGCATTGGTTGTTGAAGACCAATTCTAACCCAAATCTTCATGGGTACATATGAATGATCAACCTTGTTTGATAATACGGATGTCTCAAATCAAAGTTTGATCAACCTTGTTTGATAATACGGATGTCTCAAATCAAAGTTTGATCAACCTTGTTAGATAATACGGATGTCTCAAATCAAAGTTTGATCAACCTTGTTTGATAATATGGATGTCTCAAATCAAAGTTTGATCAACCTTGTTAGATAATACGGATGTCTCAAATCAAAGTTTGATCAACCTTGTTAGATAATATGGATGTCTCAAGTCAAAGTTTGATCAACCTTGTTAGATAATACGGATGTCTCATATCAAAGAAGTTTGATCAACCTTGTTTGATAATATGGATGTCTCATATCAAAGTTTGATCAACCTTGTTAGATAATACGGATGTCTCAAATCAAAGTTTGATCAACCTTGTTAGATAATACGGATGTCTCAAATCAAAGTTTGATCAACCTTGTTAGATAATACGGATGTCTCAAATCAAAGTTTGATCAACCTTGTTTGATAATACGGATGTCTCAAATCAAAGTTTGATCAACCTTGTTAGATAATACGGATGTCTCAAATCAAAGTTTGATCAACCTTGTTTGATAATATGGATGTCTCAAATCAAAGTTTGATCAACCTTGTTAGATAATATGGATGTCTCATATCAAAGTTTGATCAACCTTGTTAGATAATACGGATGTCTCAAATCAAAGTTTGATCAACCTTGTTAGATAATATGGATGTCTCAAGTCAAAGTTTGATCAACCTTGTTAGATAATATGGATGTCTCATATCAAAGTTTGATGAACCTTGTTAGATAATTTGGGTGTCTCAAATCAAAGTTTGATGAACCTTGTTAGATAATTTGGGTGTCTCAAATCAAACTTTGATGAACCTTGTTAGATAATATGGGTGCCTCAAATCAAAGTTTCTGGGATACCATTTATCAATCATTATTTTCATTAGAGTTAGGATTGTCTGTTCGTCATAGTGACAGGAAGGAAAGATGTACTATACAAATGTCTTACTGTTGATACTCTGAAGGGGTACCCTTCTGATGTGATTGTGTGTCTGAGTGGAGTCTGACACGGTGACCTTAGTAGTGCAGCCACTATCTGTGAAGGGTAAAAGAAATGCAATATCATGATACTGACAGGACAACGATTTCACAAAGGGAATGTTTTCCTGAACATATTGTTTTGTTGAGTATGGTTACTCTGTGTGAAGCACCAATTAAATGTTACACATCAATTACTGGGATTGAACCTCGGACCTTCTGATCTGAAGCCCTGACTGCCACCTTGTCCACTTGACCAATAGAGATTAATATTATGAGCAGGATGACAAAGGTAAGATGTCATCTGTGGGATGACACCACAGGGGTGGAAATAACCCATTGCCCGACGTCCGAGTCCAGTGTTGTTTTTCTGTGAGGGCAATCTAATTTGTATATCACATTGTACCGGTGTCCAGTTGACTTTCCAATGTTAATTATGTTGTTTATTTAAAAGATCAACAAGAAAATCAGCTGGTATAGTGGAAAATTACCAGGGCAAGTGATTTTACATGTGCCACTGTACCAGAGTACACTAGCAATGTTAAAAGTTATTTCCTACCCTGCACTGCACCCTACTACACTGCAGAACTATAACACATATCAACATTGTTAAACACCTTTCAAGATGTACATTCTTGACTCCTTAGAGTTTCTGGGGCTTCACTTAAAGAGAAACAAAACTCTAGCTTTGAAAATATCGAGAATATGGATCGGTTGTTTTAGGTCAGAGAATACAAATTTGCTTATAATTGACTTTACTTGTACCTAACTTCATTCTTGCTGTTCTGTGTGAAGTGACACCTATTGTTTCAGCTGTTGTAAATAGGTGTCATGTCTCACTGGTCACAGGCAGTGTCGCGAAATAGTCACTGGCCCGCTCACCCGTGGATAAGTAAAAATTCAGTCAGGCCAGTAAAATTTCCACAGTCAATGGCCCAACTGGCTGAGTGAATTTTCATGTGGTCACTTTGCAAATACATCAATCTCTCCAACTGGTTGAAGTTATAACACACTTATAGCTCAATGATGACACCTGTGTCTACCTTCACATTGCAAGCTAGTGAACTATTTTGTGGGCTGGTAACTTTCAGGGCATAGCTAGCCCAAGTGGCTAGCAAAATTTGGAAACTATTTAGCACACTGGTCACATGAGATAGCGTTATCTATTTTCATGACATCCAATGTTCTTTAAAATACTCAGTTTGGAGTTAGACAACAATGAATCATCAATCAACAGATTATCAACCAAATCCCTTGAATACAGCATGTTGATTTTTGCCTAGATGGGTGCATTAGGTGTCAGTTTCAGTTAACCTACATACATAAACACTTTTGACAAATCCACAGTGCAAGATAACAGTGGATTAATCAATATATTATCAGTTAATTCTTTTGAT